GATGTAATCAGAGTGTGCGAGGGTGAAGGAGTATGAAGGCCTGGGATGACTTCAAATGACCAACTCTGCCTGACGTGCTGACAATCCAACGATCAATTAGTTGGAGGCAGACTGAAGATTAAACCCAGAGGCAACACAAAATTGTATCTCTTCATACTTCAAGATTAAAAGCCACAATTCCAAACAAGGACCTGATGATTCCCAAACCTGCAGGAAAAAAAGTCAAGAAAACCCGAACTGAAGTCTTACAAACCTGACTATCAGAGTTTTGGGATGTGCATATGTCTTTCTGTCTTCTGACTTGTATTAAAAAACACTTTTTGCACCTGGCCTTCGAGGAGGAGCTGCATGTACCGGGTTGCAAAAGGGCCTCCTCAATCTCCTGCAAGAAGCTGCTGTCCCTGTCTCTTTTCCTCTGACGTGGGTTAAAGGTAAACAGGCGCTCATGTTTCCAGCAGTGGCCTCTGCAGCTGGTAGATCGGCTCGCCCTGTTTCAGCTGAAAAACATGACTGTAAAACAAAAGGTCAGGTGTTTGGATAAAAGACGGCACGAAACAGGCCATTCGGTGCAGTCGCTGGGGCCTACTTTTGCCATTTTTGGCTTGCTTTACTATTTGCAGCTAGCGTTAGCCGGAATGTATTTAACATTAGCCTTTGTCTCGAGTGACAAGTTATTGATTGAGGGCATTTTGATCCAGATCCACAGCAGAATTCTTGTTCTTCCAGTGCCGGAGAAGACTGGCCGGTGTCCCAAGAGCTGTTCAACCCATTTATTTGTCCTCCTATCAAAGTCACGCTGATTGTTGTAGTCTTTGGTCTTTTTATCGTCTTGCATGATCTTCTTTATCTTTTTTTCGAACTTGTTTAACTGTCGGACCGATGCTCAGCTCTGCCAGGCGTAAACTTGGATGTCCTGGGCCTGCATCTCCTCATCGGTCAACTGGTTGTGCATCCTCTTGTCTCTGAAGACGTCGAATGCATTCGTTTCGTACATCAGTCCATGGAGCATCATGGGGTCTGTTTTTTGTGGTTAGGTCTGTCCGTGCCGCATCACAGCCTAAATCAGAACTTTTTCAACTGTCCTCGGTTTTGGATAGGTTCTGTTTTTTAAAGGGTCAAGCAGTTTGGAGAAGATGTTAATTTAGGCCTTAATGCACAGCCGTTCCTCCAACCCACAAAAACACACACAGTTGTAGACACACTTGTAAACCCACACACAAATGATCTATGTGCATGTTGGGAATCAAATCAGCAGTCTGAGTCAGACTTTCTGTGGTTTTAAAACCCACCCACACACACTCACACACACACACACACACACACACATACTCCACGATGCGTGGTGCTGCTAAAGAGCGACAGTCACTCCGTCTCTGCTTGTTCGACATTAACACTAGATCATTAACTGCTAATTCAAGGCTGGTCTTCTATTTTCCAGAGAGCTGGTCATGAATCAAACACATTCTCTCGGACCCATCCAGTCCAGCAGAGACCCTGAACACGACATCACCACATCTGAACACTCAGTTCTGCCAAAACGCACAGATACAACCAGCTACTGCGAGCTCCATAACCTCCGGAGATTTCTTTTATTACCCTTAACTGCCGCTCGAGGTGCATGAAAATTCTGTTTGATCGCGCTGCAGAGAGCCAAGAGAATAAACTATCCAGTGAGGACCATGTAGGTGGGCTGGAGGACTTTGAAGTGTACGTGCTGATGGACTAATAAATTCGTGAAATTTACAGCGTTTTGTTGGGTTGGGTAAAAGCTAACTTAGGCATGCAAACCTCAATAGAAGTAATGCACAGATACATAAATTTAACAGCAAATGCAAGCTCAATAGTTTGCGGGAAAATGCTGTAAAGAATGAAACGACCAGTTAATTGATGACAGGCACTTTCGAGAACAAGCTCCCAAAATGAGCTGCTCAAGTGTTAGTCGTATTTAGAGACTCGTTAGGGCGGCCTGACAAAATGGAATTAAAGTAATCCAATAGGTTAGAAATGAGTGGACTAGTTTTTCTGTGTCGTTCTGAGACTTGATATTTCAGGCAGGTGAAAAAGGCCGTTCTGGGGATCCTGGTGTTGATTTCCTCAGATGGGTTTACCTGTGATGGACAGTTCTGACTCTCGGACTTTCATAGAGTTGTTGAACCTTTACCTTTCTGTTCATTAAATACTATGGGAATTTGATTAAGGATGCATTCTAGGACTGGGTGATAAACCAAGAATTTACGGATACCAAAATTTACGTCAATAACCAACGTCATTTTGCCAATATCGGTATATTCTGTGTCAAAAAAAATAATTAATTAAAGTTGGTTTTGGATGTGTGTAGGTAGGCTATGGTCTCATGTCCCTTTAAGACGCTGTCCTACGTCAGGGGGTGAGCAGCTTGTGGAGTAGTTATCGTCCATTTATCGTTATCGAGGTGAACTGATCAATGTATCATGATATTGATTTGGGGCCGTATCGCCCAGCTCTAATGCGTGCTAACAGGAATGCTGATTAAAGATTGATCTAGTGCTGGTTTTCATGTTTAGCATGGTTGAAGTTTATTTTGTTAGCTGTTGTAGGAAAATTTTCATGGAACAGAAAGTCAGGAACATAGTGAATTTTTGGAAAATGTGCTGGGAACACCAAAGTTTTTATAACTTATCCTCTAAATGTCCAAACTGGATTTTATGGCACTTTATTTGGTGGTAAAAGCTGTGAGGTACTTCAGTCTGGACCACAGCGGTGGGCTGACTGACTGACGGACTGGCATCACCGTCTCGTACCAGCAGCTTGGCAGAAATAAAATCACGAGATGTGCTCACACTGACAGCTAACCTCCTGTCCTCATCTGGATCCAATTAGCTGAGTTCAGCTTTTTACCATCAAACCGTGCCTGTCTGAGACGAAACACCCAGACCGAGTCTCCTGTGTCAGTTTGGACTCGGGTTCTGAGTTTGGGGGGTCTTTCTTGTGGTGTTTTCAGAGATTTTGAGCCTCTCGGTGGTTTTCGAGGACAGCCTGAGTGGCTTCACCACACTTTGTTTGTCTTGGATCACCAGAAAAACCATCCAGCTCCGAGAATTATGAAACTGGTGCAGAACCCAGTCTGAGGAAATGCTTTCATAAGACGACGTGAAGAAAACTTCTCTGGATGTTTTCAAGGAAAGATGTCAACTTGTGCCTCTTTCTCCGAGTCCTCTGTCATCCTCAGACTTCTCCTCTCAAACCCTCCCCAGAGAAGAGCTGGCTCCAGTCTCTGATCCACATCCAAGACTGCTGGGATCATAAAGTTCTCGTGCCATTAAAGTCATTAGAAAACATCATCCCCGGGCCAGCGCTTCCTTAGATGAATGAAAAGTTGAAATGATCGAAGAAGCCTCAGCCCACCGGCGGTTTCCTGCCCCTCTGCTCCACTTATGATCCCACCAAGAGAATGATGGGAGATTTTCCGTGGCTTCCTTAGAGGCAACCTCAGTGGCCATGTTTCCCAAGAGCGGGGTCACAGTATCTTTCCCCCAACTCTGGAAAAACTGAATTATGAATTAGCTGCATGTGAGGGGGGCGCCAAGGGCAATTATCCGGGGAGCTCTTACATAAAGAGCTGGAGGGAGCAGTTTGGGAGGAATGTCAGAGGAGAAAATAAAAGGCAGAGCTACAAAGAGACTTTCAATGAAGTGGATTTGTTACTAAATGAGAAATGAGCTTTTTTTAAGATGGAATTGTACTATGTTAGGAAACAAGGCCCCAATTTGAAAGCCGATCTCATCTTGAAATTGAAAAAAGATGCCAACAATAGATACTCTTTCTTTGATATCGTGGTGTTTAAGTGTTATTTTTATGTTCTGAACCAAACTCTTGAGGATGGTCATCAGTTACTTGATCTGTGCATTAGAAGTTACCTGTGTAACTAAGTCAAGATCCAGATTTGAAGTATTAGGAAATATTAATGATCAGGTCTTCTTGATGAAAAACAAACATGTCCACATGGTCAGATGTAACTCAGGGGTGCATCAGGGTAACGAGCCGTGGATGTAGAAACAAACTGTGTACGCAGTCAATGGTTTTTGAGGTGATTCTGAGTCCATTCGGCGATTCCCACTCCAGAGCCCTTTGTGTTTTTAATGTAGTGCTGCCTGACGGTCTAAAGATCAGGACTATCCGGTCTTGGTTTTGGTCCTTGCACCTTTTGTACAGAGATTTCCCTGGATTCTGAGTCTTTTGATGATGTTGTGTACTGAAGATGATACTGTAGATAGAAATTATGAAATTGTTGAACTATTCACTCAAGCAGTCTCTCACAAAGAGGTGAACTTCTTTCCATTTTCACCTGAGAGACTAGAAAATGTTCTTCCAGGTGTTTTAAAAGCATTACACACCTTTTCTGGAATGAAGATGTAAAAATTAGCATCTATATCTTTTCACAAACAAATGCATTTTTAAGTTTATTTTTTATTTTTTGTTGATATTGCATCCCTTACAATTTAATCTTGGCTTTACATGATGTGCGCAGATGCAAACCGCGTTTATTTGGAGGTATTAAGCCACTGACCCAGCAGCTTTATTTTGTAGATTTGGGGTTAGACTGGGCTTTAATTTTTAATATCTTCATACGATCATATTTGTATTCACAGTACAGATTCAGAGGCTGATCTTCACAATCTGAATCTCTTCACATTTACCAAAATATCAAAGGTTTTTTAATTGTTCAAAAGAGTTTTACGAGGTGTTAGGTAACTGAAATTTGGTGAGAGCGTAGATTTCATTGAGTCCATCCAGCCCAACCATCTCTTTGGGATTTGAATGCCCCCCTTTTCATCCGAGTCCTGCTCCCTCTGAGGACAGACGAGCCTTGTGTTTTGTTTTGTTGTGGAATTTGGAGCGTTCACTTCACCTCACATTATCTCTGCTCCTTCAACCTCAAAATAACGTGTTTATTTTCTCTCCAAACATCTCTGCCTGTGTTTAGGACAATTAATTGCTCCATGAGGGATCCATGAGGGGCCATGGAGCGCCGCCTCCTGGTACTGGTCTTCTGGGTTTGCGTGGGAGTGGAGTACCATGTTGGGGGCGACCAGATGAAGTCGGCAAGGGCGCCTCTGATCCCTCACCGGCCTTTTGTGGTCGTGTGGAATGCTCCCACCGAGTCTTGCCGCCTTCGATTCAAAGTGGACTTGGACCTGAGTGTTTTTGACATCGTAGCAAATCTCAACGAAACCCTAAGTGGACCAAATGTCACCATTTTCTACCACAGCCATCTTGGATACTACCCATACTACTCCAACTCTGGGGATCCCATCAATGGTGGACTCCCCCAGAACCAGAGCATCTCCAAACACCTGAGCAAAGCCAGGGCGGACATTGACAAGCTGATCCCCCATAAGGATTTCCGAGGCCTGGGAGTCATCGACTGGGAGAACTGGAGACCACAGTGGGTTCGAAACTGGGGCTCCAAGGACATCTACCGCAACAAGTCCAAGGAACAGATTCGGAAACTTCACCCAAACTGGCCAGAGAGTAAGGTGGAAAACGAAGCGAAGGAAAGTTTTGAAAGGGCTGGACTCGCATTCATGAACCTGACCTTGTCATTGGCTGAAGGTCGTAGACCAGACGGGCTGTGGGGGTTTTACCTTTTCCCAGACTGCTACAACTACGGATACAAGCAGCACCCACAGCGGTACACCGGCGAATGCCCCAACATTGAGCACGTGCGGAACGACCACCTGATGTGGCTGTGGAAGGAAAGCACCGCCCTCTACCCGTCAATCTACCTTGACTATGAGCTCAAGTCTTCCTCGAACACGGTCAGGTTTGTCCACTATCGAGTCAAGGAGGCCATGAGGATCGCATCCATCGCCCGGACAGACTACACGCTGCCTGTGTTCGTCTACTCCAGACCTTTCTACGCCTACACCTTTGTGGTTCTGTCAGAGGTAATCCACCTAACATTCTGACCAAAACACGGTCTGGGTCTTTGTTCCTTTCCAACCAATTCACTCGTCCATTTTACACCCAGTGCTTGTGTTGCATAATTAGCAAATGAACTTGTACTTACATTAGCACCCAACGGTATACTTGTTTTGGAATGAGGTGAGCTCAGGCACAGAGATAGTGTGTTGCTATCTAAAGAGAGCAGAAAGAGACTACAGAGTATTTACAGGTTTTTCCATGTAGTTGTCTGTCAGATGATGATTTTATCAGCCAAAATGTTTCCATCTCTGAGATCCAACCGAATGGAGACCAACAGCATCGATTATTCCAAAAAATTAAAGCGTCTGTGATATTCTGTTTCAGAGTGACCTGATTCACACCATCGGAGAGAGCGCTGTGTTGGGAGTATCGGGTGTTGTGCTGTGGGGATCATCTGAGTATGCCCGGACACAGGTAAGAGTGAAAACACAAACAGAGGGTCAACTCGGTTTTTATGCACCGGAATGAGCAATGAAGGTTTAGCAAAATATTACAACAATCACTCAAATAAAGGGACTCTGAAACGACTTAATTCTCTTTCTGTAATATCAATCAGCTTCAAACTCGATGCTTATATGATCTCAACATGCAACAGCCACACAGCAGAGACCAGGTGTAAGGCCAAGCCATCAAAGTAAAAAATGTTTAAAAGGACATTTCAATGATGTATGAAAAGAGACTTTTTTTTTTGCACAGGACTAATATGAGCTAAAGATCTTGCAGAGGATGTCTCATCTTTTAATTCAGTGTGAACAAACCATGTTGTCAGTATCATATGTCAGTGTCAGTATCCTCATATCTGGGCACACACAGAGGTCCTCTGATGTTCTTGTGTCACTGAGCCCTTCTGCCATAATTCTACTTGGTGGTTTGCAGGAAAAGTTTAGATAAAGGATTAAAAACTCTGCTGTTTGCATTTAAACGTGCAGTACACCCTAAAAACTGCAGGAAGTTTCATGCATGTGTGAAAACATCTTGTAATAAAATGACTTTATCCCAGGTTAAGCAAAGAGGTCAAACATTTATTAGTGGAGGAGGCACTCTGGAGTTTTTGTTACTTTCTTGGACTCAGCTGTGAATCTAGAAAATGTTAAATCTCAGTCCTTATTTTTAAATTCCTTATTTGCAAGATAAAAGCAGGATTTGTGACTTTTAAAGGAGTATTGATGGTTCTCGTTGTTTTCTCTCTGTCCCTCTCAGAGGAACTGCCTGACCGTAAAGAAATACATCGACGGTCCTCTGGGACATTACGTCATCAACGTCACCTCCGCCGCCAAGCTGTGCAGCAAAGCACTCTGCAAGAAGAACGGCAGGTGTGTCCGCAAGAGTCTGGACTCAGGAGCCTACCTGCACCTGAACCCGAGGTTCTTCCACATTCACCACAACCCGGGCCCCAGGGGCCCCCGCTTCCACGTCAGAGGTCACCTCAACAACCACGACATCCTTGACATGAAGCACAAGTTCACCTGCCAGTGCTACCAGGGCTGGACAGGCGTTTACTGCGAGATGCCCCAGACGGCGTCTCGTCCTCCTCCTCCTCCGCCCCCTCCCCCGCCTCAGCCTGGCATCCCTCTGCCTCACCCCAGAGAGCACAGCCTGCTGGGAGACATCCTGCTCCTGCTGTCCCTCCATTTCTCCTGTCTGTGTGTCATCATGTTCCTGGGACTCTGTCTGATCATCAAGTGTCTGATACTTTAGAGAGAAAATAAAGGTCTTTAGAGCAAACATCTACAACTACATGTAAAAATGTGTCCGGCTGCAGTTCCTCTGATGTCCACTAGGGGCTGCTTCAAGAAAGTTTCTGAAATGGGTCGAAAATGTTTAATTTTTTGCTCCGAACAGAAAACAAATGCAGTCATTAAAATACAAAAGTTGAGTTCAGTCCTTCTGATGTGTCTCAATCATGATTTAAAAATTTTTTTTTGGCGTTTTTCATGCAGAGTTAAAGAAAAATTAAATACTTTTGCAAAGGTATCAAACGGTTATTTTTACAGGTATGAGGATGTCGATTATTCAAATACGAATACGGGGATATGATGCATTTAATTCTGTGTTAGAGGAAGTCGACCAGATGAGTCGCAGTGAGCCGCAGCCGGGTGGGTCACATGACCCTAAAGGAAAGGGTGGAACCAAAGCTGTTTAAAGAGAGGAAAGGATGGAGGAGAGAAGGAAGGAAGAGTCTCTGTTGCAACTGTAGGTTCATGATACATGTGTGGTGAAGTCAAACTGTCAAAACAGAGGATAACAGGAAGTGTTAAAGTCAGCTTTTTATCAATGAAAGTCTTCACCAACTCCACTCCAAGCTCATCTGCTGAACAGTTATTCTTAAGCAAAGTCAGTGCACCCATCAGACAGCACAGTCATATTTAACAGACCCAGGATGAAAGCTACAGGTGCGATAGCCCAAAAGTAAAGGGATCATGTCTGCATGGTGAAGAGGTGGTCAAAGGAAACTCAGCAGATAAGACAAGACTGTCCTGATAACGAGCAACTTTTTAAAAATGATCACTGAGGATTATGGGAAAAATGCGTCAAGGCTGCGTTTCGTTTCTTAAAAGTCAAAGGAGCCCCACAGTCTACGAGGTGTTTCCTCTGTGGACAATAAACAATTTCAAACCCTTCAGAACTGTTCAGGAGTTGAAGCGTCTGAATCAGGAGTGAAGCTGACTCGGCTGAACTGTTTAGACGGCTCGGCTCTGTCGGAGTTATTATCGGATTACGATGATTGACAGGCGGGGAAATAAACAGCCGGAGTATCTGACATTCACTCTGCTCTCAGTTTGGTGTCAGTGGTTTCTCAGTCTTCGTCCTCTAAACACAGACACAAAAATGTTGTCAGTGAAAGTTACATCAGAGGAGGAACAGTGTGACCTAACCTTCACAGTTTTCCCTTTTGTTTCCTTCAGCTGTTTTTTACAAACTAAACACTTCACCGTCTCTCAGATAAACTCCTGAGGTGCATAATTCAATTTCTTGAATACACAGAAACCGGACACCTGTAATTTTACAAACCACTGACTCCGTTTAGCTCCTGTACTCTGACTAATAACCATAATCAGCTTGAGCACAGTGTCAGCACTCTTTCTGGATCTTCGGCTCATGTGTGGACTCAACGTGAGGTTTATGTTTTCTTTGTAAGTGAGGACGACAGGTGTGACGGAGAGCGCTTTCTCACCAGAAGAAATCAAACCAGAGTTGTAAATGTTACTGTTCTCATGTTTATACTGTACATATTACTGCCCCCTATGGGAAATAACTTGTATCACTCAATTTTTATCCAAAGAAACAAATTGGATCAGAATCCTCTGATCGACATATTTACATGACGCATTTTTATTCTGATTGGGCTTTTATTCAGATTATTTGTGCCCATGTAAACGCAGCTACTGACAAACTACATTCTGACAACAGGGATTACAACAGCATGGCTCTGTAGGAGAAGGGTCCTGCTGATAAACTGGACTGATGCGGTCCTGACTTGTGACCTGAAAGAATCATTTGACATACCATGAGACAAAAATCACAATTTCATTACTGCTGCTATTATCACTACCTCATATGGTTCAGTTACTCTGTAGGTACCGGCAGTTTAAAGAGGCTCTCACCAGCTCTGCTGCTGTTGGTGCATGGATTGCAGGACAGTCACTTTTCCCTATCCAAGACTATTTGGGTTTGGCGTCTCCTCAGGCTGCTCTCAGAATTATGCCTGCTAAGGTCAAAGAAATACTTGTTGTAAACTGCATGATGGTTGCCACCCACCCTGCGGCTTTGGGCCGGTGAGTAAGCTGTGCACGTCTGCGAAAATTCAAGGTTGTGAGGTCTATGTGCATTAGCAGACGGTGTAGCATTAACTCCTGGCTAACATCAACAGCGATCTTTTAGGAAAGTTAAACTTGATGTAAAATTGAAAAAAGTTAGATTTCTGGAAATTGATGTTTGCTAGAGCTTAAAAATATCCCAAACATAAAGGTGCAGTTGTTAAAATGACCACTAGAGGCTAGAGACAAAGGTGAGCCAATCCCCACAGAACCCCATATTAAAGTCTGATGTATTCACAGCTTGGACCTAAAGGTTTTAGTCTCTGTGGATAATTTCTTGATTCTTAACAACTGCTTATTTAATGAATTAATGCTTTTATTTAAGTTTTTATAATAATAATACGGCACAATATAATATAACGCATTTAAAAAAAACAAGATCATTCAGAGGGAAAGTCTGCATTAAAATACAACACTTCTGGATATTTCCCTTTTGAACAAATATTGTCTATTCAGAGTCGGACAAACAAAGCTGGTGATGGCAGAAATACAGAACCTAAAGCTCTAAAACAGCAGCCCTGAAACTCCACACTTAATTGCTAAGTTGCCTCCTACTTCCTTCAGTCTTTGGTGTTTGCAGGCAGGAAGAAAAACTTTCTCTAAAAGTTGCAGAAGAAAAAAACATCAGCCAAGAAACAGGCTAAAAGTTTTTGATCTGCGTGTATTAAGAAGAACAGAGTTCAAACTGCGGCTCTGACCGAGTCTTTATCAGCTGTTTCTTCACCTCCATCAGCTGCATCTCGATTACAGGCTGGGAGGGAAAGAAACCAAATATTTCAGACCTTCATACACAAACAATTATCCAGCTGTAAACTCAGACTTGTGATAATCTTGACAGATAAGACGGCTGAACTTCAAAACCGCCTCAGATGGAAAAATAACTTATTTCAGAGGGCTGAAAGAGGAGCGCTTAGATGTTATGATATCCTCTGTGGAAACACATAATCTTCTTATTGTAAAACAAAGACTTGGAGGTGCAAGAATCAAACATTGAGAGTGCTTTTGAAACAAATTTGACTATTTTGAATTCTCTCTAAAGTGAGAAGAAGTCGTCTCCTCCAACTTTTTGCTGGCTCTCCAAGCAGCCCGGCGTCAGACTGTTGACTCTGAATCCAGTCGAGCTCTCAGATCCTGATCCTACATCAACACAACATCTCTCTGAAGCGCCCCAAGGGTCATAAAACGCAGAGTCAGGTCGGTGGGCGAGGATGGCATCAGAAACAATAATATAAGTTCAGGGAAAACTGGCAGCGTCTGCAGTGACACACACATGGACTGTAAACTTCGCTGACCTGCTGGAGAGGAACCACAGACCGAGGCGAGGTCGCTGGACTTTTCTGTTCGACACGTCTTTGTATGTGCTGACAGGCTGGGCTTTAGCTGGAGGAGCTCAAAGGTCAGGGCCACAGCAGACAGAAGAAAAAATCAAATCCTTTTCCTCCATTTTTGCTTGACTGCAAACTTTTAACTAAAGTTCATACGAAGAACTATCTGGTTGTGTTGATTTTGGCGCCCTCTGGGGACAAAGTGGTAACCCATTCACTCACTGTGAATGTTTGCTGTTTCTTCAGCGTACCGACCCCCTCACAGCAGTTACAGATGTTTAAAATGATGATACAGAAACCGTCAGTGTTGTCATTTATGCTCTTGTTTGCTTAAATAAATCATAGAGAGGCATCAGCCTAGTTTTCCCCTCAGCTCCTCCTCTCCCCTCCCTCTCTGCTCCAGCAAGCTCCGCCCACAAACAGACGCTCCTGCTCGCTCATATCGCTCCAATTAAATTCAGATATAATGCAGATAAATACTTCAGATCATTACAAATGGGGCCCAGTCAAGGTGAAAATCAAAAGCATTGGTGCTACTGTAGATGCCAACAGACTACCAGCAAACACAATGTTTGCAGGACTTCTACAACTAGGATAAAGTGACATAGTCCAGGACGCGAGGTAAACTGTTTAGCGGCGCTACAACACGCTACAGCAGGTCCGTTTGACAAGAAACACTTCTGTTACAGACACTTGTCTTACTTTGTTAAAGCGGTTTACCTGTCCAGCAGAAAGGTTACAGGGTCACCAAGATCCCCAAGCGTCCCCCATCGTTTATGTTGACCCGGCTTTTAAACTCTTGTCCGGTCGACCTCCGTTTTAAGCGCCCGTTATTCCACCAGAGTCCCCGGTATTTACTTTGTTTTCTTGCTTGTGTCGGCAGTCGTGGCCAAAGGAGGATTCAGACAATTTTCCAAACTTTCTGGTTGGTTTCTACTGTCCGATATTGTAGCACGCTAACTCTGTTTGGGCTCATGAACGTTATTCCAGGACGTGGAGCGTGTCACAACACGAGGGAGCAGCGTCTGCCTTGCAACCAATCAGGTCGGGGGAGGTGGCGAACGGCTTTGTTTACAGTCAGAAAGAGCGGACTGCTCACAAAATTTAAAATGTTGACTACACAGACATAACAAAACACAGCGATATCGTTATATTACCAAATGTCATCAATAACTAATAGCTATTGACTGATAAAGAAGCTTTTTTGGAATATACACCAAAAAAGAGGCTTCTTTAACGGATTCCTGCCTACCCCACCTTTAAGACTTCATCCAACTATGAGTAAGAAAATATGGTCAGTCTTGCCCTTTTCTGCTTCAAGCTCTAGATTTGTATGGGATGGTCATTTCCCAGCATGCTCTTTGCAGGGATTACAGGTGTTGTCGATCTTAAAGGTCATAAAAAAGGCCTCAAAGTAAAATTTATCCTGTTTCACAGCAGGTTTAAAAACCACTCAGGAGCTTTACTTTCAAAATACATTTTAGAAAAGACAAAAGCTAAAGCTAAAACACGATCTGAAACTTTTTAAAGCACAAATTCTATTAGACTAAATCATGCAAAATTACATTAAAGTGAAGGAGAACCACAAGTCTGCACAGTGGAGATGGTGGAGGGATGGTGACCTTCATCTGCAGCAACCACAAGAATCAGCTTGCAAAGTAAATTCAGTTTCTGTCGACCACCAGTCTGCAGGAGGAGAAGTCATGCACATTTCACAGATGAAAAGTGTCTCCGTTTTATTCAGCATGTATCAAACACAGACCGACTCGAACCATCACTTCTTCCTCGGGCAACTCGATGCTTCATTAGAGCTGCAGGAGGATCCGCTGAGTCTGAGCGCAGATATTTCCATAACTCGCTCCATATGTTCCTGCGGAGGACTGCGACCACCTCAGCCAGGGACGCCGAGGGTGTGAGGGTGTGAGGGGGGTGAGCGTAGCGGCCTTTCATCCACTGAGGTGGTGGAAACGAATCTGCAGTCAGGATCACAATGCTGGAGCCAGAGGAATCCAAATACACCCCCCCCCAACACCATCACCGCCAACCACCCTCCACCCACTGTGGGAATGTGGTTTCCTGAACACACACACACATACACTCACAGGGGAAGAGGTATTATGAAATGTAGGTGTGTTTTCCTGTGAGTTTGCATTTCTGTGAACATTATATGAGGACAAAGAGTGTGTGAGTTCAGTATTTCCATCAGTGTGTGTGCTCTGACTTTGTTTAACATCTCCTTTAATCACAGATGGCTTTGAAAAGTGCAAACATGTTAAAATCACGTTCATGGGAGGACTGGTGATGGGGGAGCAGTCAGAGTGAAAACATGAAGAAACATTCAAAAACTACAGTCATGAGAAGTCAGAATATCAGAAAAATAAGTTATTATGTTATGAGAATTTAGTTCAGATAAGTTGTAATTTGGGTTCATGTGAACAGCGAGCCGTCTGAACCAAAATGAGGAATGTGGAGCGTCTAATATAATTGGTTTAGTTTATTGGTTCAGTCACGTCATGTCAAGTTAAGTTTAGTGTAGTTAGGTTAAGTTTGGTCAAGTTTGGGTTGGTTTGGTTTAATTAGTTCAGTTGAGTTCAGTTTAGTTAAGTGAAGTTCAGTCATGTCAAGTTTAGTTTAGCATATTTAAGTAAAGAGAAGTAAAGTTTGGTTTAGTTTAACTAGTTCAGTTGGCTTTAGTTTAGTTTAGTTTGGTCTACTTCGGTTTGGTTTAGTTTGGGTTAAGTTTAGATTAGTCAAGTTAAGTTTAGTTTGGTTTGGTTTAGTTCGTTATAGTTCAGTTACGCTATGTACAGTTAAGTTAGATTTGGTTTACTTTGGTCTGGTTTAGCTCGTTAAGTTTAGTTTGGTCAAGTTTCGTTAAGTTAAAGTTGAGTTAAACTTAAGTAAGGTTTAATCTAGTTAAGTTGGTTAAAATTTAGTTAGTTTACTTACAAGTTTACTACAAGTTTTATTTAGTTTAGTTAAGTTTCATTAAGTTGAGCTTGGTCTATTTTTTGTTATGGTTTACTTAAGTTGGTTTATGTTAAGCTTAGTTTGGTCTACTTTGGTTTAGTTAAATTAAGTAAATAAATTGAAGTAAAGTGAAGTTTAATGAAGTGAACTGTGGTTTAATTTTGTGAAGTCGATTGAAGTTAAGTTTAGTTTAGCTTGGTGTAGTTTGGTTTAGGGAAGTTTAGTTTTATATAGTTACGCTGGTGTAAGTTTAGTTCAGTTTGGTATGGTTTGGTTTAATTAAGTTAAATTAAGTTTATGTAGTTTAATTTTAATGCACAACCTCTGCCTGAAGTCAGTGAACTGTTTGTTGGTCAGAACAATCATTTTTGATGTATTTTAGAGGGTCAGATGTACCTTCAGAAGGCTTTTATAGAACAACACCAAATAAATGTGTTGTTTAAGTTAAAATAACCGAGTAAAGGTGAACATTTAAGTTTAAAAACAGGCATCTTTTAATGTTATTTAAGGGCATGAAAATACATAGTCATATTTCTTCATTTATCCCAACATGATAATGTGAAGGTCATATGTGACGAATCTAAAGATCAAACATTGAAAAAACTCCCTCTAGTGTTCGTTGTGCTGTGGTCTCGTTGAACCACCTTTTACTGACTCTCACATCATTAGTGAAGTTTAACGGCTGAGAGACTTTTGTAGTTCCTGAGCTCTTCGGCTGCAAACAGTCACAGTTATTTACTGGAGGCTGACGTTACTGAGACGAACTGAGCTGTCACTGCCGAATCAGAAAACACATCAAACACGTATGATACCACCAAACATTGTTGATCAGATTTAAAGAAATTTTAAGAGGACTTTTACCCATCCCAGTGCAGCTTCTATGACACATTTACTGTCACTGTAAACCGGCCAACTTGGAAGTGCCTCAATTCTCCCCATCAGGCCTGCGACCCACCACGGCGGATGCATCTGTGAACACACAGGTTCTCATAGGTGTTTGTGGACCAGAACCAGGACTGTGTAGACAAATCTAATCTAGCTTTAAACAGAGTTCATCTTTACTGTGGATGTGAACGTGCTGATCAAAGGTTTTCAGATCCACTATGTGGCTTTTCGGCCCCCTCTGACGCTGGATAGAAAGATGGATGTATATGTATGTCGTATATTGTGGTTGTATTTCTTCCTGCAGATAGAAACAGCTTTTAACTTGGCTGACATATTTACTCGCTTTGAAAACACACTTCTCAAAAAAGGGAAAATCCATGTGTATATTTAACAGAGGGACTCACAGGGATCCGCTTTACTGAGACTTTTGTCTCCTGCTTGTAAATTTGCGTGGTGAACCACAGGAATCTGAGCTCCGGCTGGGTTAAAGCGCCGGGTCTACATGTAATGTCATTCAATCAGTTCAGCAACACCAGGAGTGAGGACTGAAAACACAATGAAGGAGGAACAAATGAACTCTAGTGCTGCGTGTTTGATTTGGCCGGAGAATCAAAACGATGTGTGTGTTATCATGTGACAGTTATGGCTCCTTAATGACTTCCTGAGCTCACAGATTTTCCCAGGACTTTCAGAGTTTATGTGGTTTCACTTATTAAACTTGTTCCCATTCAGAAGTTTAACAAAATCACAGAGACAGGACGGTTACAAAAGTGCACTTAGTGGTGAAAACTGCACAAAAAATGCTTTATCTTCTGCTCATGTCAGCATGACTCCCTCGAAACGTTACAGCCTGTTCTCTGGACTTTTCTCTCACACCTCCAAAGCCAAACGTGTTTGTCTGAACTTCCTGAATGTTAACCTTGAAACTTTGAGAGACCGTGTGCTCTAAAAACTTCATATTTCAGACAGTTAGAGCTCTGAAGGACTGTTTCTTGGTTCCTCATTAAAGATCCCCTGTGGCGCTCTCTTCTCCACAAACGTTAAGTTTATTTATATCTACTTGTGCTCAGAAAATACACCGTATGTGTCCTTAGTGCTTTGGAGCATGTCGACTTCATTCCCCTTCCCATAAAACATGTGCTGTGCAGATTTTTCAGTTTGAATCCAGCTTTGTTTGCATTCATGTTTACTAGCTGGCACTTTTCTTCTTCTGCTGGATTAATATATGGATATTTTTAGCTTCTACTGCTGCCCATAAACAATTGTATAGTTATAGGAAGGAATGTCTGTTCTGTCAGCCACAGATCCAGGCGTCTTTGTGTCAGGGCACAAGAACAGACAAAAGAGAAACCCACCCTGAGAGACAAGACTGCAAAAAACACATGCTAATCAGAGCCAGTCCAACAGGCACTTCTTTTACGATGGTAAAAATACATATACGTGTTTTAATGAGTTCAGGATGGAACCAGCGAGAAAAGACTGAACTCAAGAGCAGCTCAGGCAATGTATACAGAAATGAGTACTGTGTGTCTCCACAAGGTGGCGCTATACCTGCAGTTGAGAAGTGATTTCATAGATATGCTCAGGGGTGGACCTTGATCATGTGACTTCCTGTTTTATGGCTTTAAAGGAATATTCTGGCGTAAATTTGAGTTATGGTCAAACACACCATAACACCGAGTTAGACACCCCCTCAAGAGATGAATGTTGTCGACTGCTTGCTTCTCTAGTTATACCAACTTTAGTAACGACCGCACGATAGCAATACACAGCGGTCTATGTCTCCACGCGCAAACTTCAACCAAAACACCACTCTATAGCCACAAATAATGCTCAGAACAGCACCTAACTTCATCAACAGCTGCTTGTTTGTGGGAGGAGCCCTGACGAGTCGATCACCAAGTGCAGCGGAAAATTCATGATTATTACTTGGGCGGTAGTAGCTCAGGAGGTAGAGCGGTCGGCCAATAACTGAGTTAGACTGACCCAATCTCGAATTTTCTTCGGTATTGGGACTGATACTGATATCAAATATCGGATCAGTGCATCCCTACAAAGTTTACATGTGATCATGGTCGGCCTCCACTGGTGTATGATTGTGAGTGTTGTGTGTTAACGAACAGAGAGTCCGTAGGTGCAAAATGCGAACCACGTTTCTGATGGTCTACCCCAGGGTAGCTGTGACTACTAAGGTAGTTTACCACCACGAAGGCGTAACTGTGTGAGCGAATGAATGAATGATGTATCCATTGTAAAGCACTTTGAGGAACTCTGATTACATTTCCATGAAGAACTGATCATAAATTTTCCGCTGCACTTAGTAATCGACTCGTCAGGGCTCCCCCCACAAACAAGCGGCTGCTGGAAGAGAGTGGGTGAGCTGTGTTTGGTCTCTTTGGTAAAGAAATTAAGCAAAGTTAAAAAGATGTTTGGTGGCTAGTACTATGGCTGGGACCCTATATGTACTGTTGATGAAGTTAGGTGCTGTTCTGAGCATTATTTGTGGCTATAGAGTGGCGTTTTGGTTGAGGTTTGAGCGTGGAGAGGTAGACCGCTGTGTATTGCTATTGTGAGGTCGTTACTAAAGTTGGTACTAGAGAAGCAAGCGGTCAGAAACATCCATCTCTCAAGGGGGTGTTTAGCTCGGTGTTACGGTGTGTTTGACCCTTAATTAATTTTACGCTGCAATATCCCTTTAACTCTGGAAGTGAGGCCATCAACGATTCAAACCAATATGGCCGACTTCCTGTTGGATTCAGGGTATTGGTGCAAGAGGACTTTTTGTGAGTCTTGGTTTGATTCATATGTCTGGCAAAAATCACGCATGTAGGATGAAGCTTGTGGAGGAGCTGGATGTCTGAAAATTGGAGGGGCGGAGTTTATATTAATGTGAGATTTAACTGTCATCACACAATCACACTCACGTGCTCATGTGCGTTTGTTGTTGTTGACGTGTGTTTACATCTGTCTCGTTGTCTCAGGCTGATTAAAGTGGATCAGTCCAGACTTTTCTTCCAAGGAGGATCAGACCTCAGAGAGGAGCTCAGCAAACTCTCAGGGATTTAAAACCTCTCTCTCTCTCTTTACTCTGCGTCTCTCTCCCTCTCTCTCTCACCCCCTCCCTCCCTCCCTCCCTCCCGCTCTCTAATCGCTGTGTTGTGGTGGTGACGGTCCCTCCTCCCTCCCCTCGTCTCTCTTCTCCTCTCAGGCTGTATAAAAGTGTGGACGCCTGGCTTGTGTTTCAGACAGAGGGAATGAGTGCGAGCCTCTCGGACGTACGGCGCAGAGGGCCACTATGACCCCTGCTGTGACCCCAAAGAAGAGACCCCCACCTCCCGACAGGCTGCTTGTTATTGGTCGGTTTGCAGCGTCTACAGGTGAGTTTTCAACCTCATGTTCAAAGTTCAAACCAGCTTGTTTTGCCAGTTTTCGCCGGGCTGAACTACACTTTTCTGCAGCGCCTGTTTAGCTGCACAAAGAGGAAATTAAAGTGTATTTTTAAACCCTGAGGGAGGCGGCAACCCTGGGTGTTACAGCATGGTTTGTGCGTCTGTTTTTGGGTGATGCAGGAAGGGGGTGGAGGAGGAGGAGTGTCCTGTCATGCCAGGAATGTTGGCTCCCATAAGAATACCCTCACCATGAGAAAGTTTGCCTTATTTTGAAATCAGCAGCTCCTTTGAAAGATTTAAGCGAGTCTCCAGTCTGCACATCAGCGGGACTTTACAGGTCTCATTTTCTTACAGTTACAGTCGTTTAGCAGATGCTCTGACTCATAATGACTTACAGTAAAGAGCGAGAAAGCTGACAACACGGGAGGTCACAGTTTTCTGGAGCATCAGAGAGGCTATAAAAAGCTCTTTTGTGTTTATGGGAGCCTGATGTTTTTCAGCTCGCCTGAGGGTGAAAGTGACAGGGTGAGAGATCAGAGGCTGAGCCTGGAGGCTTGATAAGCTGACAGGATTTCAGGATTGGGATTTAAGCTCTGCAGGTAATCTGAAGGATGCTCTGCCTCGAGGTGTTGAATAAAGCTGCAAGAAGAACCGTACTTCTACTTTATTGAACAAAAACGACAAACAACACAGCTCCCATTAAAGAAATGTCCGGTTCTTACGGGATTCGCAGCGTTAGTTAAAATGTTTCTGCGCAGGGTTGGATCAGCTGTGCGTAAATTCAATCGCCTTGTTTTTTTAAGGTAATTTTTCAGTGAAGATGGAGTCAGCGCGCTTCTAGTTTTTTTGGGTCACACTGTTTGAGGCGTATAAGTTACAGCTTTAGTCTTACACTTCAGTCTAAGGAGGTAAAGTCTGATGGTACATTATTTTTAAAGATGGGATAACTTGAGAGAGGATGAGGAGTAGAAAGCAGACATGTCCCCCATAATCAGAAATACATGAACATGGAGCACCGCTGCTTTTATATAAACACTAGGGGAGTAAAAACACGAACATCTCAGTTCTGAAGCCACAGTTTGGTTCAAACCCAAGAACTTAAACTTCAGGATGAGTCCTCTGGTGTCCAGACTGTTGCTCTCTGCACAGATTTTACTTGACAAACATTTTATCGAGAGGTTTTTAACTAATTATTTTGAGTATCAGAGCCAGTTTAGTTTATATCACTCTATCTTTAAATGTTGAACACCTATTGTGCTTTTTTTTTTAAAAAAGTTTGTTGAGCTGAATTTGTCTCTAAACGCTTCTAAAAAGAAGGTGGTATCACACGGATGGAGATCTATCATTTATAAAGAAACTGATTTTTCAGAGACATGGTAATTTGATTTGTAAAATACAAAAATACATTCATTCATTTTCTTATTTTTGTTCATGTGTTTGTCTCATCTGACGTCAAATTAAGTCCTAAACAGTTGTTGCGTCATAAATACAAAAGGGAAAAAAAGCAGCCTCGTCAGCAGCGGTACTGAGATATCTTTAGTCTGCAGAGGCTGAATTTGTGGTCGAGCCCCTTCCAGCGGCTCCTTCAGGCAGAACTAACATTTTTTCATGATGTTTTTCTCCTGTGGCCTCCAAGAAACTCTGAATTATGTGGATATTTTATAAAATCAATGCTGTAGGTTTACCTTCTGCTGATGGACAGAAACCTTGAGACTCCAAAATTCCAGGAGGACATAAAACATGAATGTCACGGTCACACCAAACATGAATAAAGTTCTCTACTAGCTTTATTTGTATGTATCTGAACACCTGAACATACTGAGTTTACTCACGTAATTTGTGGGTCATATATTGCGTCTCCAACAGTATCCAAACATATGAATCTATGCAGGATAGGAGGGGTTTCCTTCATGCCACTTCCTGTTGTAATATTTATAAAAACACTGTTGGATCAGGTAGTTGAAAAAGCTGCACAAAGTCACAATCAGTTTATACCTCCCAGGCGAATGAATGAATCTCGGCTGGTCTGTTTTTGTTGGATCTCGATGCTGATTGGCTATCGAAGCACAAATGAGTTGTTTAATTCCAATTATTTCAACTTTCCCGAATGACGTAAGTAGAATTAGACGAGCTGTGAATTTAAGTCATATGTGATATCTGTAACACACTCATACTACGACTTTAATCGATTAATTCATGAGGCTGTTTGCACTTTGAGTTTTTTCCCTCCCAGCAGCATCTCTTCGGCTCGTATTTGATCGCTCCCTGATTTCACTGAATGATCTAGAGCAAAAGTTGTCTTGTGCATCTCTAACAGTGCACATTATCCTTACATACTTAGACACTGGCACGACTATCGGCTTCAAACATGCAGAAATCTCCAAGCTCTTATCTACAGAAGTGTGGGTGGACTCTGAGCAGCAGGCATTCAAACTTTCCAAAAAGAAAATGTCAAATCTGATCATCTTTTTAACCCTGAAACTGCCCTGAAGAAAAAGTCCTTGATGGTTTTTGAGCCGTTGTTTCTTTGAGTGTGTTTATCTACAACCTGCTGAACCAAAGAGTAGAGAGCACACAGGCTTTTTAAGTTCCTCTTTAGTCTTTATGGTTTTTAACGTTGATGGTTATACTGTCGTCAAATATACGCCACTACGTTGGAAAAAAAGAGTTTAAGCCTCTGGCCATCCAACTTCTCCCAAACCCCTGTGATCTGATATTCGATATCGGTATCGGTTCCAATACTGAAGAAAATTTGAGATTTGGTATCGTGACAATGGGCCCGATGCATAGGGGTCAATCTATTCAGTCTAACTCTATGCTATGCGCCGTGAGGGGCATCCACAATTAAACACATTGAGCGGATGCCCACATTGTTTTCAAAATGGAGGGAACAAAGGGGTCTGCTATCTTGAACTTTATCACAATACCTTAGCCTACAAGCTCGACGGCCGCTTGCAATACCTGCGCGGTAAACGTTCCGAGGGGCGAACGGTAAAACTTCAGGCTACAACAAAAGGTAATTCAGCACGTTTTTTCTGTATCTGAATTAGATCGGTATTGGCCGATACTAAACTGTAGATATCGGTATCGTATCAGAGGTGAAGAAAGCGGATCAGTGCATCCCTAAAACTTTGGGTGTGATTTCAAGGAGAACTTTGAATATGATTAGAAGAAAATCAACCCTGAATGGCTAATGGTCGGGAGCTCATCAGCGTTATGGTTCACGGAGAGCAGAGATGCTAACAGCTGGTATTATCTCAAGCCTTGTCCGCATGGAAACGAAAACAAACAAGTTTCCATTTGAAAAAGTTTTCAGTAAACACAGAATCATTTCAGGAACTCCACTGCGGAAACATGAAACCACTGAGGACAACTGAAAACGATGTAGTGCATATGCCAAGCCAGTAAGTGGTGCTGTAACGCTATCGAGGAAATGCAAAAAGACAGAAGAAGCATACGAAGCATGCGTAAAATGGTGTTTTGGACAGACACGTGTAGGCGCCTTAAGAGAGTTTCAAGATAGATCCGGATAGGCGTCCATGCAGACACGAAACGGTAGTCGTAAATGATTTATCCATTCAGGGACCCGTTTATATATAGTATCGTTGACAGAAATGCCGCTATGACAAAAAACTTTTGCGTTAACCCCTGAATTTGTTTCTGTGTGGATGGGGCCTAAAGCACAATGAGATGTCAACTGACGTCAACTGCACAGAGACGACCTCTGATGTGGTTCACCTTAAATCTTCCCTAAAGGCCGTGAACCCGGTCATATATCAGGTTAAATACCTGATATACCCCGTAGAGTTCGCCTGGAGTCAGATATTTGTCATGTTTGCACCTTCTTCAAATCGACCTTCAGTGAAACTCTGCAGAAAGATTCACTGACAGCGCCTTTTATTTCTGTAAATAGACGACAAAAAACCCGCTCCACCTTCCACCGTCTCCTCTAATCAAACATTTCCTCCAACCTAACTTCTTGACTGACAGTTTGAATTGACGTCACTTTGGCCAAAAGTACCGTCAGGAAGCAAACAAAGGGATATTTTGGAAAAAGTAAAACAAAAGTAAACATTGTGAGGATAAACAAAGGCGCTCAGCTCAGACTGAATAATATCCCATCATCCCTTTCATTATTTTCACCTCCTCTCAGTTTTGTCGTCCCTCTTCCTCTGAGGTCATCCGTCTGTTTTCTCCATCTGACAAATCCACCTCAAACCAGAACTCGCCAATCATGTCCGTCCTGGCACGCGGATCTCTGCGCTGTGATTAGCTCTGGCTCTGCCGGTGGAAAGATTTCAGACTTCTCGCTCCGTGCCCTCCGTTTTAGTTTTTTTGCGTGTCCAGTTTCTTTATTTTTTGTTGTCAGGATCTCCGGTGACAAACATGACTCATGACCACATCCAGTCACCAGGATTATTTGCTGTAAATGCTCCTCTTTGCTCTGGTTTGAGGTGATTTGTGGAAAGTCCTGATGATGCAGAGTCATGTTACTGAAGAGATGATGGAGGAGGAGGACAGCCACAGTTCAGTTTAGAGGAAACACTGAAGTCAGCCAGAGGAACATGGCTGAAGATGAGGAGCAGTATTACGCTGTTTTTGTGCTGTTTTATGATTCAGCAGAAATGTTAGTGTAGGGTTAGTGTTATTGGAGGCTGGCTCCAAGAAACAGGAATATTTCATAATATCTAGAGGACTGAACCGAGATTGAAGTGCTCCCTTGCTCACCCCTCATGTCGGTGAAGTGACAAACTTAAAGCTCCTGTAATGTTCAATGGGTTTAACCCTCAATTTGTCGAATTTTTACCATCAAAAAGTCCCTTATCTTTCGACCGGTGTGTTTTGTGCATCCAGCTACCAAATACCAAATACAAAGACCTCGATGTTACCAGAACCAGAATCTGTAAATCACATTTTAACAGCAGGTATCAAAGCGATACCTAACAGATGTTTGGTAACGAAGTGGTCACTAATGGCTAACCCTGGATATTTTCTGTAAAGATGCGACTTTCAGGTTGTTTCATGAATACAAAGCTGTGTCGGTGTCAGCAGGTCAAGCTTTTTAAAGATCAGTGATTGGCCAGAAAATTGTGATCAGTGCACCCCTTAGTAAAAAGTAACACCCAGTGGAAGAGGCTGAATGAGGACTGTCACAAGACTGCAGTACATCGACTCTAAAGGTGTTGCAGACTGACATGATGACATATAAAAATGAGTGTAACAGGTTCCCTTTAAACTTGAGTGTGTGATAGTCAGTCAGAGCGCAGATCCTCATCCTTCAGGTCCTGGTTTCTCTCAGGTTCTATGTAAAGGAGGTCATCAGCTCTGAGCACTGGATGGATTTTTGGCAGACCTCTCTGGTGCTCTTATCTGTAGCGTTTGTGTATATGGTGTTCAGTTCTCTAAGTCCAGCAGACAGCTCTATGAATGTCTGGGTGTCATTACTGAAACCCTTTGAGGATGTTTGAAGGAAGAAGAGAGCGGATAGATGTGTTTGGCAACATCTTATTGGTCCAGCGATGTTCACATGGATGCCCAGGATAAGACCGGAAACAGCAGGCTGTAAATTTAACTCCAGGAGTCGACTGCACTCCCATCACTCTGTTTGCTTATTATCTCAAGTTGTTTAGCAGTTACATTTGGACAGTTAAGTGCTTCAACAGAGATTGTATCTGTCATCTGGTGCATGGGAAGAAGTCCGTTTGGTTTATCGAAGGTCTGGAAACTCACCTGTAGGGAGGCTGAACTGGACCAAGCCTTTATTTGCTGAAGTCGGGGGTTCTTATCGTAAAGACTGGAGGGAGCAGTCTCAGATAAAACGTGTGGAGTTCATGTTTAGTTCAAGTTTGGCTTTGTGTCAAAGTGAATTATTTATCCAGAGGAGCTCGGAGCCGTGGGCCGGTCTGGCATCGATTAAGATAAGACTGTTGATGTCTGTGGTTCTTGTGGAGCGGCTCGGCTCATTCAAGAGAAACAAAGAGCGAACGTTTCATTCCCAGAGTCTCTGCTGGAAAATCTGGGCGAGTTTGGAGGCATGGCTGCCAGTGATTGGAATTTTTACAGATCTTTGGGTTTGCGGCGATGTCTCTGAACCTGATTGATGATGGGGGCAACAAGGGAGGAATGTCTGGACACCAGACTGGTCTCTGAACAGCTGTGATCAGATCAGTTATGAGCTCTAATCTGGACTAAAGTAACACCAGCGTTTATCTTCGATGTGAACATGCTGCTGTTTAACCTCTCCAACCCTGAAGGATTTCAGCTCACACCAGTTTGTCCTGGAAAAGGAGCGAGTTTCATCCCCAAAGACAACATTTTTGAATCCGGGGGTAAGTGAAACTGTCAGTTTGATGGAGGGAGGAAAAGAGGAAAAAACTCGGAGCACATTCAGGGATGCCAGCAGAGGGAGAAGCCGGTCCGGGGTTTGATGTTTGGGAATGGAGCCGAAAACCCCTGATGGAGGGCCGAGGGGCAGGAGCCAGAAGAACAGATTCCCTCACATTCGCCATCTGGCATGTAAATATGTTCCAACACTGACCGGACATCACCAAGGCACATTACCCCTGCATGAGAGCATCAGAACCACAAAAGGACGGGGCATTTTACACTTTCGCTGTCAAGTAATTTTACCAGGCTGCACACCTGAATTTAAAAGAAATACCTGTAGTTTGTTCAAGTCTGCAAAATATCATGGGTTTAGTCATCTCTTCCCTATTGCTGAGAAAAAAGCATTAAAACAAGAACAAATAAAAGAGTTACAAATTCTACTTGGAGTATAATGTTCATAAAAATGTTGGGATCAGTGTTTGATCACCTGGATATAAAAATGCTTTTGTTTAATTGGTTTAAATTGAGCCTCTTCTATCTACATGAGATCGGGTTCACTTGGTTTCTTCAGTATCACAGAACGGACAAACTAGTAACATATGCTTTCTGGTCTTAAAGGTGGGGTAGGCAGGATTCCGTTAAAGAAGAAGAAGAAGAAGAAGAAGAAGAAGAAGAAGAAGAAGAAGAAGTCAACATTTTTAAGAAGGCCCGCTGTTTCTGACTGTAAACAAAGAAGAAGAAGAAGAAGAAGAAGAAGAAGAAGAAGAAGAAGAAGAAGAAGAAGAAGAAGAAGAAGAAGAAGAAGAAGAAGAAGAAGAAGAAGAAGAAGAAGAAGAAGAAGAAGACTCTGGTAGAATAACGGGCGCTTAAAACGGAGGTAGACCGGACAAGAGCTAAAAAGCCGGGTCAACATAAACGATGGGGGACGCTTGGGGATCTTGGTGACCCTGTAACCTTTCTGCTGGACAGGTAAACCGCTTTAACAAAGTAAGACAAGTGTCTGTAACAGAAGTGTTTCTTGTCAAACGGACCTGCTGTAGCGTGTTGTAGCGCCATTGCTAAACTGTCCTCCCTCGGGTCCTGGACTATGTCACTTTATCCTAGTTGTAGAAGTCCTGCAAACATTGTGTTTGCTGGTAGTCTGTTGGCATCTACAGTAGCACCAATGCTTTTGACTTTCACCTTGACTGGGCCCCATTTGTAATTATCTGAAGCATTTATCTGCATTATATCTGAATTTAATTGGAACGATACGAGCGAGCAGGAGCGTCTGTTTGTAGGCGGGGCTTGATGGAGCAGAGAGGGAGGGGTGAGGAGGAGCTGAGGGGAAAACTGGTTGGGAGGGGTAGAGTTTACATTCAAGATTTCTCCTAAAAACTGGAACAAACTCAGATCCTGACTACCCCACCTTTAAGGGATGGTGTGAAGAAGAAGCAGAAAGTGATCTTTGAAGAATTTGTCCTCTACGGCCACTGTTACTCCTGTTGGATGGAGTGGGCAGGGCATCATTTTAATCTAGAATGAGACAGCTAGATGTTGTTGAATATTTCCATTTCTACTCTGCAGCTGTAAACCCTGTAGAAATGCATGACTCTTGTGTGCCTGCAGCTCTATCTTTCTACATAAAGTGATCCATCTGTCGCTCCTCGATGTTTCCATAATCAGGATCAGTGTCAGGACATCTCCGGATTTCAGTCTCACAACAGAAACCTAGAAAGAGAGTAATCAGAAACATTCCTCCCATCAAACTGAGTGAGATCGTTTCTCTGCCAGGCCTCTGATGGAAGTGGTTTCAGCTCCATTAACCAGCCGTACATCCATACGTTCACTCTTAAAGCTGGGCTAGAGCCGCCTTTGAAAAATGATCTGTTTTCGCTGAGTGCAGCGGTCAAATTATTCCCAAACACGGAGGGGGAAAACTGGCAGAGACAAAAAGAAAGGAAAAGACTCTGAATCCAAACCGACATAACTCTGATAGGAAAGAAAATGAGGAAAACCAAAATGAAAACGCTTCATCGAGCTTCTCGACTATGAGCAGGGATGGGGCTAGGATAAAAATGAATTTTATTGAAAAGCAGAAGATCGTGCAGAAGTGTCGATCTTACACACTGTGTAAGGATTGTGTTTTGTACAGAGTGACACAGAAACTAGGCCAAAATGACTTCAGACATCTTATTGCTGTCTGTCTGTCCCTCTGATTGGCTGTTTAGTATATGGGGCACAGAGATACAGCTAACTCTAAACCTCACTGGGACATTTGGCAGCGAGGTCTGTCATTGCGGCCTGAGGCTTCGGCTCTGGTCAGAGGAGGACTACATGTGGACAGGAAAGCATCGGTCTGGGCAGCTGAAGTCCTACCTCCAATCCCTGGGTGTCAACTGACTTCCTCTGTGTGACCTCTGACCTTTGGCTGCCCTGGAGACAGCCAGGGACTATTTAAACCTCTGAACACTGCAATGGTCAGAAGACAGGGCATGTGTGAATGTTTAGATTCATGTATTCACAGGGAAACAGCTGCATGAAGTGCCGGGTTTGAACGTGAATTGTTGTTTGCTTGTGCTTTATCAACAAAACGTAACATCAGATTTTGCACCGTGCTGCATCATACATTTTTAATATTACTGAATGCATCAAATTGTGACATATAGTATTGCTCCCTGTTGTTATTGTAACATATCGTAATGCATCAAAGCATAAAGTGGTGTTTTGCATCCTTTTGAATCATAATATATCATAACATACTGTAATGCATCATATCAGAACATAATGCATTGCATCTTATTGTTTCAAATTCTATTGTTTTATACTAAAATGCAACATTTCACTGTATAGTATTGTATCTTTATGTATTTAATTGCACCGTGTTGTATTGCAAACACCAGGATAGCGCGGTATCATGATGTTCCCTACTGTATTGTATTGCATGGAATCATATTATATCATATTGCAGTGTACTGTATCACAGCATTGCATTGCACGCATGTTATCCAGCTGGGTTGTAACTTGTCAGGTATCTCTCTATCTATCTATCTATCTATCTATCTATCTATCTATCAAGTTTTAAAATATCTCTCAGCATCTGTTGATTGAACAAGGACTTGGTTTTATGCTGAATATTCCAGATGTTTTTACAGACTGTGACACTGAAAGTCAATAAGCTCATAAAATCAGCTGTTAAGTAAATACAGAGGCTTTATGATCCTCTATTGTGCCGTAAGTCAAACACTCAAACCCTCACAGACAGTTGGAACAGTAAAACAGACGTTTATTTGTATGACAGAAGTTGTGAAAGGACAGATTGGAGAGCATTCAGAGGAGCTGCTGAGCTCATGCAGCTGCGAAATCCATAAATTCATAAAATAACAACATTATAAATCCAGCCAGAGGAGAACAGAGTTTTGCAGATGGGCTGAGTGTGTCGTCGGATTTTAGTGCCTCTGCAGCATGCGCTGACTGTCTGTGAGCATTGTGAAACACTACAGGAGACATGATGCCATAGTTTCTTCACCCACGGTCAGGAAACAACCACTGGGATGTTTGGAAAGGACAGACATCCCGAGAGGTTTTTCAGTAAACACTCCTTCACCGCAACAATTACATCAGGCTCAGACAAAGTCCTCTGGTGATCCATTTCCTCACTCAGCCCAGACGTCCAGAAGACTGCTGTCTGATATTTAAGTTGACACTGTCTTTGTGCTTGACAACCTGAACCAAAGATCTTGGTTTGGCCAGCTTTGAGACTTAACTCAGGGCACAAACAGCCGACCGCTTGGTGAAAGTCTTTAAACCTGAAACTGTGCCAAGAAAGACTCAGGCACTCTCATGTAACTGTTGTGGGATATCTTTGGACGATCCCGCAATGCTGGAATGTGTTTCCGATTTTCTCATCCTCTCTTTTTCATCTCTTTAGGATGATTGACAGCCGCTCCTCCTGATCCCAAGGATGCCTGTGGTGCCAGTGGGCGGGTCATCCTCCTCCCAGCATGTGGTACCCGTCGCCCTCACCTGCTCCTGGCTGGTCCTGCTCTTCCACGCCGCCTTTGGTCAGAAACCTGCCAAGTTGCCTCTGATTGGCCGTAAGCCATTCATCGCTGCCTGGAACGCCCCTCTGGACATGTGCACCATCAAGTACAACGTCACTACCAACCTCGACCGCCTCTTCCACATCCACGGCAGCCCACGTGCTGATTGGACGGGACAGAATGTAACAATCTTCTATGCAAACCGGTTGGGTTACTACCCTTACTACACACCGGAGGGCGTCGCTGTGCATGGCGGTCTACCGCAGAACTGCAGCCTAGACCTCCATCTGTTCAAGGCCTACCAGGACATCAACCACTTCATCCCTGCGGAGGACTTCAGAGGCCTCGCTGTCATTGACTGGGAGTTCTGGCGCCCACAGTGGAGCCGCAACTGGCACAAGAAGGACATCTACAGGCGGAAATCCAGGGAGCTAACCGCCAAGGCGTATATTAATGTGACAGACGCTCAGGTGGAGGAGCTGGCACGGCGGCGCTTTGAGAAGAGCGCAAAGGCATTCATGCAGAGGACTATACAGCTGGGGACACGCCTTCGCCCTAACGGCCACTGGGGCTTCTACCTCTACCCCGACTGCCACAACTACAACCTGCATGAGCAGAACTACACAGGGCTCTGCCCCCTGCTGGAGAGGCTGAGGAATGACGAGCTGCTGTGGCTGTGGAACAGCAGCACGGCGCTCTTTCCCTCCGTGGCGATCAGGAAAAGTCACACCAACAGCATCAGCAACCTGCACTTCTCCCAACACAGGATCAGAGAGTCGCTCCGAATCGCCTCGCTGACTTCCAAGGAGTACGACCTCCCCACCTTCGTGTACCTGAGGCTGGGCTACAGAGACGAGGCTCTGACCTTCCTCACTGCAGTAAGGACAAAATTCAGCTGTCGGTGGTCGTGTTTTACGGCGAACACACAGTTTTCATTCTGAGCTTGCTTTTGTAAATCGCACTAATGCACAGCAAAATACAGTATTTAATTCTCTGAGGACACTTACTGAACAGACTAAAAACTGGCCCTTGAAAAGCCCCAGATCCTAATTTCTTTCATTTTGTAGTGCTAATAGTTTCACTGAAAACGACCTTGTTGAAAGTTTGGAGAAAATTCTATGTCATAGATTCTAATAATGGACAAATGTCAGTTTTTGTATATTGTGACAAAAGGCCAAATATAGAGTAGAAACACTGAACAGAGCACCACCCTGTGTTCATATGCAGTCTTTAGTTTTGACCTCATTGGCATGATTTATCTCCACTCCTGTCCTGCTCCTTGTCTGCAAGCACCAGGCAAGAATTTCATCATTTAGAGAAGCATGTTTGTCTCCCCTAGAGTAGGTGGCGACATGCCCCCTTACAGCTTCTTACAACTAGATCGTCTTTGGGATGAACACTAAACAACGAAAGCACTGTCACTTTTACAGCCTCGGGTGGTTGGATCGACAACACCTGCCAGTGATATCACACAATAAGATTAGCTGTATGTCAGAGAGTTTAAGTTTGTCCCAGTGGCATTGTTGTACCAAGGGCACGGGACCCTGAGCCAATCTGACCACCAGTAATACCATAGATAAAATACAGTATTATGCTGTCAAAGTTCTCCAGTCTTCATTATATAGTGCTAGTTCAGTCTAAGACCCTCAAAAGCCAATTTTGGTGCAATTTCATTCTAAAAAAGCCAATTGACTCACTCCAAACTATTAGCTTTCAAAAAGGAAACTGAGCAAGAAACCATTTCCCTTTTACAAACCTAAAAGCTACAAAGACTTACCTGAGGACTCCACCTACCCTGTTCTGACTTCTTATTAGGTAGATGGATAACTTGGTGCATTCCTTGTCTATTAAACGAGGAAATCTACATCCTTAAACTAAAGTACTGAGTCTCCAACATAACCCCATTGTTTTAGTTTGAAATTGCTGCAACTCTCAGTTCTGTCATGTTTAGGAAAGATCTTCTACTGGTTGTTGTTTGTACTCTGAATTGACTGACTGCTGCCATCTGGTGGAGAAACCAGCAAACACAGCTAAACACAATGACAGATGAAGAGATTTTTTCTCCGGCTGGTCATTCAAGGGTTTAAGAAACAGCCTGGGAGGTTTCGTTTCTATACTTTTCACTCCAAAAGCTTTGAACCTCAAGTCCTGGTGTTGTGTGAAGTCTTTAAATACTCGTTTGAAAACTACCATTCTGTCTGATTTATATCTATGTGCTTCTGCAGAAAGACTTGATCCACACCATTGGGGAGAGCGCTGCTCTTGGAGCGGCAGGGTTCGTCATCTGGGGAGACCTGAACCTGACCTCCTCCAGGGTGGGTGTCCTTTACCTTTTATTCTGAAAAGCCCCATAAATCATTCTTCCTCTTTTTCTCTATTAAACCGGCAGACTGACTCACGGACAGAATCGTAAATTAAGTTGTGAACTTTGGTGCCAAAACATTCTTTCCAAAGCTTTTTGAAATTTTTTGGCCTCCAAACAAACCACAGCAAGAAACAGAGACAGACAAAAGAGAGCCAGCTTTGTGAGAGTGGTTTAAAAACACACAAGGGCCGCACATTTAGAAAGCTATGATGCAGAAGTCCTGTGTGCACGACAGAAAACATGATTATCCAAACAGCAATTTACCGAAAACCAAAGAGAGCCAAAGGACTTCGCAGCAACTTTTGAAAAATATACGAGTACATAGAACTACACTTGTATTGTGATTATTTTAAAAGGTGGGGTAGGCAGGATTCCGTTGAAGAAGCATCTTTTTTTGTGGTGTATTTACAAAAAAGCTTTTAATATCAGTTAATAGTTATTAGTTATTGATGACATTTGGTAATATAACAATATCGCTGTGTTTTCTTATGTCTGTGTAGTCAACATTTTACATTTTTGAGCGGCCCGCTCTTTCTGACTGTAAACAAAGCCGTTCTCCACCTCCCCCAACCTGATTAGTTGCGAGGCAGATGCCGCTCCCTCGTGTTGTGAGGCACGCTCCACGTCCTCCAACAACGTGCACGAGCCCAAAGTTAGCATGCTACAACTAACTAGAGTAGAAACCAACCAGAAGTACGAAAATCACAAGCAATAAAATGAAGTAAATACCAGAGACTCTGGGGTAATAAAGGGCGCTTAAAACGGAGGTAGACCGAACATGAGCGAAGAAGCCGGGTCAACATCAGCATAAATGATGGGAGACACTTTGGGATCCTGGTGACCCTATAACCTTTCTGCTGGATGGGTAAACCTCGTTAACTAAGTAAGCCAAGTGTCTGTAACAGTTTATCACTTTATCCTAGTTGTAGAAGTCCTGCAAACATTGTGTTTGCTGGTCGTCTGTTGGCAACTACAGTAGCACCAATGCTTTTTACTTTCACCTTGACTGGGCCCCATTTGTCTGAAGTATTTATCTGCATTATATCTGAGTTTAATTGAAACGATATGAGCGAGCAGGAGCGTCTGTTTGTATGCGGGGCTTGCTGGAGCAGAGAGGGAGGGGAGGAGCTGAGGGGAAAACTGGTTGGGAGGGGTAGAGTTTACATTCAGGATTTCTCTCCAAAACTGGAACTTCCTCAGATCCTGACTACCCCACCTTTAACTAGAATACTGTCCTTTTTACTCATGGCACCAAAAAGGTAAACTGGCAGATCCTTACCTCCATGTACTTAATAAAAGCCTGGGTGTGTTAAAAAGTGAAGGAAAGCAATTTTTATTGGTTGTTCTTATTGGATTAAAGCTCCTGTGAGTAACTTTTAGTTTGTGTAAATTTTGGCGCCCCCTGTGGATAAGGTAGTCTCTGCTTGTCTTGAGCTTAAATGTGTCATTTGAATGCTGTTTCTGAAGCTGCTCAGCACTTATGGTGTATCCCTAATCAAATTAAGAACACTGTAAACATACACACAACGACCACATGTTGAATTAAAAATAAAGAACCAAGATTATATTACTGTACCTTTTTTTAAAGTCCCTGTTGGTTGAAATCTCTGAGCCTGAACCCGACAGTAAACGTCACGTGTTGTTGTGTTTCCTCAGCATAACTGCTCCAAAGTCAAAGCCTTCCTGAACCACCGCCTGGGTCAGTACATCACCAATGTGACGCGAGCCGCTGAGGTCTGCAGTGAGTTTCTCTGCCAAGCAAACGGCCGCTGTATCCGCCGGGACCCCCTCGCCCACCATTACCTCCACCTGAGCTCCAAAAGCTACCGCATCAGACGCACCGGTGATGGGGACTTTACTATCACTGGGTGGCACTCGCAGCACGACCTGCAGCTGCTCACGGAGAGGTTTAGGTGTCACTGCTACGAGGGCCACGAGGGCGAGCGCTGCGACAGCATCAACAAAGTGAAGGAGGACGACGAGCCGTGGGGGGAGGACAAGGAGGACGAGCAGGAGAGGAGGAGGACAGAGTGGGAGGACGAGCAGGATGAACGGTGGGAGGGAGGGGAGAACGAGGCGGCAGGGAGTGGGTACAGCCTCCACCTGATGCTGTTGATGCTCCTGTTGAACTTTTCGTTCGCAAAAACAGTCGTATGATGAACCATGAGAAAGAGAGGAGTCATTTTTCAACTCAGCTGTGTACAGGTGTTACTTTTCAACACACATGATCTATAAAAGTAAATTTTAATATTCGGGCTAAATCATAGGGCTCTTAATTTAGGTGAATGAACTCACAACTTAATTCTCAAAATAGTTTGTGTTAAATCCCATAAATTATGATACTGATCAAATAGAACAAGATTTTCTTTTCTCAAAGGTTTACAACTTAATTAAGTAAACTTCTTAATTCTCATTTGATTTTAATCCTGTAAAATTTAGACTTTGACATCAAATATTTGATCAAATTCGTTAAGGGCCTGTGTCCACTGACTGCATTTTTGCACTGGCAGCAGCTACAGCTATCTTTCACACAACCAAAGCTGTTTTTTTTTCAAAAGAAAAAAAAATCACTTGAGTGTTAGCTCTTGTATTCACTATCCTCTCAGAAATATCAGCTCATGATAGTTCCAATTTCGGAACTCCTGAACGCACATTTATGTCACTCTTCTGCACCAGCCAATCACAATAAAGAAGAGGTGGGATTGCTGATATCTACTCTGTCAGCAAAATTTAGTTGAAGCACATTTTTGAGTCGGCAGTCGGGATGTCCCGATCCAATATTGATGTCAGATATTGGTCTGATATCAGCAAAAAAACGAATATTGGATTATTTTGGCCTGCATCTATAATCTCCGATATCAGCACTCCGATACAAGCAAGGAGAAGGAGTGATGTCAGCCATGTGGCAGTATTTTTCGCCTAATTCTGAAAAAGACATTGCAGCTAAATGCTTGTCATGCCCAAGTTGGTGCCAATATTGGATCAATATAGATATTGGCCGATACTAAAGGCTACAATATCTGTATCATATCGGAACAATGTAAACAAAGTTAATGATGACTGACACGAAGAGTGGCACAAGACAACTTAAGAACCAGCACCAGTGAATTTAGGGGTTGTGGGTGCTGACAGCCCCCCAAAATGCTTCTAGTGGACACAGGCCCTAATGCCGACTTTTGGAAACTCAGGAGATTGTGTTTACATTTGAAAATCATAAAACTGATCTTTTATGGGGATTATGTTGCTAAAAAACTAGTTTATGAAATATAATTGTATTTCTGAGATCTGTTTAAAATCTTTTTCATGATATAAAAACAAAGAACAGCTGATAGATGAAGCCGATGGGACACGTTGTAGTTCTGTCCAAACCCGTTGTTAGGTCTAATGAGGGTTTGAATGTGTGTTGAAGAGTAACACTCGTAAATCTTGACACTCCATCTCTGAGGGGTGTAATGGCACTTAACATGAAACAGTTTGACACGTTGACTTGAAACATGAAGGTCCAGTTGATTGTAAAACAGTTCACCTGGTTGAACGATCTGTGCTTCTGTTTGGAAATGTTGAATTTGAGCTTTTGTATACTGTTTTAAAACTGTGGCCTGATTTATGTCCAGTGAGGAGACCAAATGATCATCGAGCTCTGGTGCAGAATCATGAGTTTAACTTTTCAAAGCTTTAGTTTAACAAAGGTTCAGTATTATCAAAATAGACTTGCTGCAGGATAATCCACTTTTTATGAGAGGATAAGGGAAACCAAAGGGTGTGAAACTAACCACTCGTCATATGTAGGAAAATAATCACTAACATTAACTCGGTCTGAGGTGTTTCTGGGGCGCCATTTAAAGGGAATTTCTGATCGTTTTTATACACCTTGGTTTAGAAAATATCAGAAAGCCTGTAACTGGATTTCTGCATGAAGAAGGTCCTTTCTATCTTGCATGGCATGGAGGTAATAACTTTGCACACAAGATGAACATTTTTTCACGGAGCTTCGGGGGCCCCACAGACCTGATCTGTAATGGCATGAACAAAGCTGTTATTTCACTTGACATATTTCATATAGTGTGTATCTTTTGTACTGTTTTGTAAACTGTGGTTGTGCAGCTCATCTGGAAACGCCTCGTATTTGAGCCTGGGCATGATGCACACACCTTACAGGTGCTTCTCATTCAAGTTTTCATTTATCTGTATCTTATCTTTTATTCATAGTTTGATTCATTAGCCTTGAAGATCCCATATGTGGAGGACAGAGTTTCTTTGTTAGGTTACGTAGAAGTCGATGTTTCTATATCTCAGTTCAGAGGGTTCGGATCCACAAACCGTGTGTACTTTGTGATGATGTCTCATCGTGACGTGGCCGAGAGGACCAAGCAGTGATGTTTCTGTCTCTGAAGCTGCTGAACGGTACCGACTGTAGGAATGAAGAAACACTGAACAGGATGTAAAAGACGGCACATACTGTTATCGGTTTATACCTATTTCTCAAGGTCTTCAACGCCTTCTTCTTGCCAAAAACCAAAGATGAGGTCTGAAGCATCAGATTAAGTGTAGATTAAGGATTGTCTCCTACAGGAATAGCTATTAGCAAGCTTAGAGATGGATGCAGGAAGTCAGGGTGAAAACAAAGGGATCTTGCTGGGTGATCTTGTTGAATTTTACAGTCATACACAGCCCAAAGATCCCTCAGGTTGGTCCAGTCTACAGCAGAACAGATTCTTGTGTCAGTCATGGACAGTTGAAGGACTCTCGAGTGTCAGGTTTTGAGTTTATTTCTCACAATTCTATTCAGGAAAATCCAAACAGGAGCCTTTCGCCTTTGTTCGGGTTACGACTTAAAAAAAAAATCATCTCTTTAAGATTGTGTAAGCTTAGCAACTGTCAGCATCAGAAACCCTGATCCTGGTTAAAACTGAATCAGTACTTTCATCTCACAGAAGCCTTCTTCAGCTGAGGTTCAGGTCTCGAGAGTTTGACTTTATACATCAGTGGCTGTTTCCTGCACTTAATCTGTGTTTTATTATTATTATGATGCAACAAGGACTATGCAACACATGAGAAATGTTACCTGAATGTAAATGCACTGCAAATAAATACTTTTCTTCAATAAACGCGCCTTCTCACCTCTTTTTGCTAAGCACACAGACGACTTCATAAATGCCCAGTGGATAATCAGTGATACAATGTATGACTTGGATAAGACTCTTGCAAGGCTTGCAGCAAACACAGATAAGAGTTTCATTACAATCCTGATACCCGATTGGTCACTCCTGGTGCAACCATGGAGTCCTGTGATTGGCTGTTTGCATTTACAAAGACAGGTCTTATGTTAAAATTAACTATTTGGTCTGTGAGGTAACCAGGCAGCAATCTGGGCTGATGCATAAACTCAAACATCAGCAGTTCCTTGAGTGTCCACTAGAGGTCGGCTGCAAAAGCACAGGGAGCCACATACACACTCATTTAAAAAAGCCTATCATTACAGTAGTAAGACACATGCTAACAGCCTGGTACAAAAAAATGATTTTGGTCTGAATAGCTCGTTTCTATGTCTGCCCACACTGTACAGAGTGAATTTATATAAAACTCAGACGTTTTGCAGATATTAAGGCCAAGATAAGGTTTTGCAGTATAAGGGACATTGCTTATTACACTGGCTAGCATGCACACTGCAGCTGTTTGTACAGAAGGCTAAAAGCCCTCCTCATCTCCAGCTCTTTGGTTCATGCAAAGTTGACCTAAAATGATGTTAAGTCAGCATTTCCAACTTGTCAGCTGCTGTCAATAGTAGGGGTGTCCCGATACAACTTTTTAAGTTCTGATATGATACCGATATTGTAGCCGTCAGTATTGGCCTATACTGATCCGACACTTGCACAAAATTTTGCATGCAAAGTTTTGCACTCAGCTGAAATGTCTTTTTCGGACTTATACAAAGAAATACCGCCACACGACCGACATCACTCCTACTCCTTGATACTTAATCTCCGTAGTACACACTGTTGTCGTGATTACGTGGGCTCTGCATGCTAGATCCCGGTGCTGCTAGATAGAGGTGCCAGAGTGGAGTCTGGAATGGACTGCTGGTATCGGAGTGCTGATATCTCAGATTTTGTTAAAATCCGATATTCGTTTTTTTTGCTGCTGTCGGACCAATACCTGATATCAATATTGTATCAGGACATCCCTAGTTGATAGGCTTCAAAACTCAGAAACAAGTGGGTAACATTACTTTAGCAACATTCATGTTTACACAGTCCGTAAACAAGTTGCTAGTCACTTTCTTTGCATTTTAATATAGTGGCATGCAAATAGCAAGTAACTGTTGGTGCAAAGATGCTGTCAGTGGACACAGGCCCTAAAGAACTGAGTGTTGTTGAGTGTTGTTTTGTTTTGCAATCAGCAGAATATGATTTCCATATGACACTTCAAAGTCAACCATGATAAAACATGAGCTAGAAAAGGTCAATAGATGCTATCTATTCACACAAGCACAAGCCAGACCCCAAGCTGAGCCACCCAAGTCACAAAGTCTGGACCCCACCCTGCTCTCACCTGCTGTTTACACCAAAGAGGAAGAGGTGTTGAATTTTCTTCTTTCACACGAACAATGACATGTGAAAAAAACCACAATTCAACCACGATGAATTAACAACAGTTCAGAGATCTTCTACGAACTAAACCTTTGAGCACAACAAGCCTCCTGATATCTGAGAGGAAACGCGTAAAGACAGAAATTCAGGATGCATTCAAGACAAATAAAGATCTAATCAAACTTCTCACACTCATATTTCGTGCAATCTCTAACTCTTCTAAAACTGACCGGATGAGGAGTCTGAGCTTAACACGAAGACAAAGATCAGATAAAGATCGGACAGACTGAAGACACGGTTTCCTCTCAAACTTGACGTGGCAAAAACAGAGACAAGGAGAAGATCAGAGACATCAAACTGTCACTGAGGAGAGCAGCAGGTAAGACCTGACGACACACCCTGAGATAATTGCTATCCAAAAATTCAGTATTAGAGTCTTGGAAAGTTTGTTTTTCTGGAGTGTTTGTGCAGAGAAATAAAATCATTTAGCCTCCTTATCAAATTCTTTTAACCCTGATTTGTGAAGTTGAAAGAATTTGACTTATTGTCATTTTTTTGGGACTGATTTCTGATAAAGTTAGAAGGTTTAACAGGGCAGTTACTAATCAATATCCATCCTTTCTATCCTTGTCTGTCCACAGCCATCATGACAGCCCTGCCTTTTCTGTCCTGCCTCTTCTGTATCATTGGATCCACCGCCCCGGTCCTAACACCGCTTCCCACAGAGCCCCCATTGATTCAGGGTCACCCCTTTGTGGCCGTTTGGAATGCGCCCACTGACGCGTGCCAAGAGCTCCACATCCCATTGGACACTGCAGCCTTCCATGCAGTGACCACGACCAAACTGGTGCAGGGTCAGTTCCTCACCCTCTTCTACGAGGAGAAGCTCGGCCTCTACCCCAAATTCGACACCGACAAATGCAAAATCCACAGAGGTGGAGTTCCTCAGAAAGGCAACCTGACGGAGCACCTGGTGAAAGCCAAAAGTCAGATACATTACTACATCTCCAAGGATTCCTCTCCTGGGCTGGCTGTCATTGACTGGGAATCTTGGCACCCCCTTTGGGTCCTGAACAGGGGACATAAACGTGTTTATCAAAAGCAGTCCATCGCTCATGCCACGAAGATGGTCCCATTTCTATCCAAGAACAAAATTCATGAACTGGCTAAGAGGCACTTTGAGCATGCCGGGCGGGGCTTCATGGAGAAGACTCTCACCCTTGGAATTGTTGAGCATCCAGTCCGTCGCTGGGGCTACTACCTCTTCCCCGACTGCCACAACTATGCCTGGAGGGAGACCAACTACACTGGGAAGTGCTCAGCGAAGGTTCAGACATGGAATGACCAGCTGCTGTGGCTGTGGGAGCGCAGCACCGCCCTCTTCCCCTCCATCTACCTCAATGTGCGCCTAAGAAACTCCCCAAAGGCGACAATGTTTGTCCGCAACCGAGTCCAGGAGGCAGTGAGGGTAGCCAAGCTGCCAAAACAAGCGTACACAGTACCCATCTACGTCTACTCCAAACCTATGTACCGGAGCCAGAACCAGAAGTTCCTCAGTCAGGTAAGCCAGTGAACTCTGGTGGACTTTGGGTCAGCTCAGCGCCTGGTCCGTAGGACTTCAGTTCTGATGACTCGCTTTGCAGCATTTTGTCTCTCTGATTTCTGGGTTTGTATATTTATGACTCTGTATTTCTTAAACTTGTTTCATGACTGGAAATAAGAACATTAGTAAAAGTGCATCTTTGCAGGATTCAGTTTCTTCTCCATCTTCTAGAAAGATCTGGTAAGCACTATCGGAGAGTCTGCAGCTCTGGGAGCTTCAGGGATCATCATGTGGGGAGCGTCCCAAGACTACAACAACAAGGTAACCACACCTTCTTGAAACATACTTGCTGTTTTCACATTCATTAAAGGAGAGGGGACATTTAACAGTATTTGTCTGTTATTTTAGTGCAAATTCCTGTTGTTTTCTCAGCTCATGTTCATTTGCAGAAGTCCAGCAGATTAATAGAGTTAAAAATCAGGGGTTTGAGCTCCTTAGAGGAAGCACAGACTAATCATGTCTGCATCCACAGCAATGACACTGTGTCTGTACTCTTTAAAAGTGTGAAACAAAAGAGGAACACAGATGACGAGGCTTTAGTCAGCAAACAATTAAACCTCCCTTTGATTCCTCTTTTTGTAGAAAGTCTCAGCAGTTAAAGAATTTTGGTTTCCCCGCCAAAGTTTCATGCATTTCAGATTTCGATGTAAAATTGATTAAGTTTGATGGTCCTTCTTGCTTTTACACATCACAAAAAGGCATCAGGGTGAATTTCTGTCTGTTAAATGGAAGTCAGAATGGAGATTTAAGATATTTAAATTCCTTTTAGACACAAAACCTGAAGCGTAAAGTGAGAAAAAGACAACTACAACGTCCAAGTGTTAGGATTTTGAAGTTGATCTTGTACAACGGCTGATTTTTTTGCATTGTCTTCTGACTTCGTCAAGCTTGTTGGGGTTCATAGTTTCCAGTAAAACCAGCTTTTACTAAATCTGTGTTGGTCTACAGCATGTTCCTCTAAACCCCTCGTCTTCTTGACTCAAAGTAGCACCAGGAGATGGAGGTCTTTGTCACTCACATGTTTGTTTGCAAACTGAAAACATGGCAGATCCATCTAAAGAGCTCAAGAGGCCCAAAGTGAACCTAGAGAGAGCTTAAAATCAGATACCTGCAGGCAGGAGAAAGAAGCACGAGTCTTACACTAAGAATGCCTCAGATATATCCTTACGATCGTATCTCATAGCTCGCCTCTGACACGTCCTGTCTCCGTGGAAAACATGTCAAGTCTCTGTCCTTGATGTGTGATATATCAACGTCCAGAACATGTCAAAGCATCAATCACTGCATCATGACAAGATGAGCCCCCCCCACCCAGCAGCTGTCCTTCAAGCTGAACATGCTAAACATTTGGAAGATTCTGGCTCCTCAGGTCGGCGCCTCTTCAGGTTTCACGTGGACGGCTGACATTTCTGCTATGTGAAACATTCGGGCGACTGCAGCTACCTTTCCCCTCTTTACGGTTTATTCTCTTCTCCCAAGGAAAAATGAGACTCACTGTAAGTTCACAGTATTCTGGGTATAGGGGACAAATCCAGTAACTGCTATTAGTCTTATAATACCTCTTACTGTCTCCACACACCAAGCACGAGTAAAATCATTCACATGGACGGATCACGTGTTAAGTCAATGCAAAGACGCGATGAGAAACTCCTACGACTGGTGGCGCGAATGACGCGAATTGGGCAAATCTCAACTTGAGCAGATATTTGCATTGCGATAACTACTCAGCATGAACGTTGCCGGGTGACGTATGAAAACAGACGGTTGTTCACTGGTATCTAAAATGGAGGACAAACTGATCAAGTCAGTGTGTGTGTGGGTGGCCCAGATTCTATGATACCTTTTCTTTCAATTACCGAAACCGGAATAAAAAGGAGCTCGCCTGGAGGCAAGTGAGCGAGGAGGTCAGACGACCTGGTAAGTTGTAAAAAACCATTGAAATTACCGTTGACGTGCGAATGAAGCCAGTCAATACTTTGCATTCACATGTCTCGATTCACGCAAATTAAGGGATTAGACAATTTTACTCATGCTTGGTGTGAGCGCCCCATTAGATATTAGGATAGTTTGTGATTGAGTACAACAGGGCTCATTTCTCTGCCCTATAGATTCTAACCTGTGACCTTGGTCTAACCTTTAACCCTGCCTCCTCTCTTCAGGGCACCTGTCAGTTACTGTCCAAGTACCTTGAGTCCACCTTGAACCCTTACATCACCAATGTAACGGCAGCCGCCATGCTCTGCAGCGAGGTTTTGTGTCAGGGGAAGGGCCGCTGCGTCAGAAAGAACTACGACTCCGCTCACTACCTGCATCTGAACCCCGCCCACTTCAGCATCGCGAAGGTTGACGGGAAGTATGCAGCGAACGGTCTCCCGTCTGCTGCCGATCTGAACGCCTGGGCTGAAAACTTCACCTGTCAGTGCTACGCTGGATCCAGCTGTTCAGCCAAACTGAAGCATCCAACCGCAGCTAGAAGTATCTGGGTTTGATCTGTTTACCGCTAAATGATGGTGCTATAAATTATGTAAATAAATACAACTATCAGTCTGTCATTATGTAGAAACTCTTAAGACCAACTTTAGACAGAAACTTACATTTTTACCACCGTGTCAACAGGCAGAATCTTTCTTTGAAATGATTTGATGATTTCCTTAGTGTCCCATTTGTTGTTGAAAGTTGAACATATAGTTTTGACCAATCAGACATCAGTATTTCACAAGGCCAGAGGCGAGTAAAAAATTTTTTAATGCAATTTTAACTGCTGTCTAAAATTGGGTGAAATTCTCTTTTTGATGACGTGTTTAATGAAAATAAATATAATTCAAGATGGAAACCTTCCTGTCTGGTGAGTCGTGTCTTTAAGTGCGTCTGAGTAACCCTCTGTGCAAACAGCATGGGAATCCCCCAGGGGTCAGTTCTGGGTCCTCTACTGTTTGGTATGTTTAGTTACGACCTGAGAGTCGTCATGCTGATGAGTTAGCGGACACTTTGCACACTGTATATTCTCTTTTAAATACAGATTCAATAAAAAAGGAAAAGAAAACATTTAAAGCATCTTTCTCTATGTAAAAAAAAAAAAAATCTGGCTTTAGAAAGTACTGTAATCACGCTGACAATGTCGGACTCTTCTAAATCATCTGAGATTTGTCTTAGAAATTATCTCTCCAAAAAGTTTAATCCAGTTTTAAATGTTTCAGAAACATCAGAAAATATCTTTCATTGACATATCCCAACAACAAGAGTTTGATTTGTTTTATCCAAATACCAGCAAACCAAATATAGAAATATATATCAGCTGATGAAGACTAAAAAACTATAAAACATAACCCCTTTGGGGTCGCCTACAATTTCTAATTACTGATCAATAAAAACTCATAATTGATCATCACATTAAAACAGTCAATTTAAATCAGTTGTATTTATCATTTTTATGTTTCCTCTTTGAATCAAAATCAAATCAAATTCTCTTCAAATGACATAATATTGTTCTAACACACCTAAAGTCTGGATCTAAATCAAAACACCACATGACTGGGGTCGCACGTATTTCCCACAGTCCTCAAACACACCATGTAACTTCACTTCCCACCTTTTATATAAAGGCAATAACTATTTCCCTTTTCCTGCTGCGTTTTTGGCTTCACTCAGACTCAGGATTAAAACAAACACAAGATTGAACAAGTAAAACATTTTTACAACAAAGACTAGTCCAAAAAAACAGCAGAGAGTCCTTATCAAGTCAGATTCAGATCCACAAAAGGGTCTGAGACCAGACTAATAAGAGTCGGATTATCTGACATAAATGATATTGAGGATTAAAATGAGGCGTGAACATCTGGGGATTTGCTCCTCTCTTTGCCAACGCTCGGGCTGCCTTTTGTGCCTCCTTGGCGTTTTCTAGCTCGATGTTGCAGTTTGGTACTTGACAGTTAAAGACCTTTCTATCAGCGAGTGTTTTGACTTGTTGAAGCAGGATAGAAGCTTGGGTAAAGTGAATAAGTTTCATGACAGATCCTCTCCGTTTAGGTGTGTCAGTGAGACAGCACGTTCAGTATGAAGGACCTGGCATGGGCGAACATCATTAACGGAGCAGAGTCATTAAGATGTCCAAGTTGCCTCTCCTCTGTTTGAGGGAAGTTGAAGCTTAAGGGCACAATGTGAAAGGGATAATCCAGTATTATGTAAGAAAATGAGTACATACTGAATCAGTTCTGATCTATTCTACATTTTTAACCTTTTAAATAAAAGTTTTTTTCTGTTGAAAAGCTCTAATCCGGCCAGGTTACACCCAGGTCCTCAGTCTAAACGGAGCTGACCTTTCAGTGCACCCTCGCCATGGAGTGCATCAGTGCAGGTGTGAGGGGAAAAACACACCTCACACAACAATAGAGGAGATAATGAGCTCAGCTTGATGAAGGCTGCAGGTCCAAACCCATCCACCTGACAATAAGGATGTTCTCTGTGGTTTAAGCTGTTGTGGTTCGGACTGTCCCAAAGATTGGGAGGAGATAGGTGCAGCCCCCTGATGTCAGTGTCCGACTGGGTTCACCATATTCTAACACCACAAACACAACTTTTTTCTTTATTTACAGTCAGCTCAACATGTTTGGTCTCTGATAAAGAGTCTGTATAAAGGAGTATGACACAGTTTTCTAAGCCCAGCTGTTCAAACATCATCTGATTGGACTGACGCCATCGAATGATCTCAATTCTGAGTGTTCAAACTCATCAGGTTCAGCTTATTAAAAACTGTAACGAATCTCTAAAAATCACTGAACATCTGAAGGTTATTTGCATGTTAGTGCCTTGAAAAGACCAAAAACACAACTTATTCACAACACAGTGAACATATTATCCAGGTAGAATTCAATTCACTGTTTTTAAGTGACTGAACGTCTGAGGAACTGCATCAGAAAAGTCACTTCTTGCTCCAGTAGTCTACACTTCTTAGGTAATGTTGCTGCTCCTGGTCAGCTACGGTTGCTGAAAACTAGCGCTGCTGCAAATAAAAGAAAGAATGCAAAAAAAAAGAAGCCACAATGGAAGTTACCGATGCAAAAAAAAAAAAAAAAAAGGGAGGCGATGGAAAAAAAAAAGTTTCTTACTGCGAAAATAAAAGGATGCAAAAAAAAAAGGCACAATGGAAGTGAGCTGCCAGGGACCAATACCGATAATGCATCAGTGTTTTACGATCTACCCACAGAAGACGACGGCAAAAAGACGAGCAAAGAAGTTAGTGGAAAGGTTATTATTCAATGTCGCTTCGTAAACTTTTCAATGTGTCGTTCGGTTAGACCATGTTACGCCCGAGTTAATATGAAGTTGAACTGGAGGATGCCAGTGTAGTGTTCGCTTTAGTTCTTTATTTATTCATTTTTGCATTGGGACTCTTTTTTTTTTTTGCATCGCCACTTTTTTCTGTGACGTTAACTTCTGTTGTGGCTTTTTTTCTAATAAGCACGGTTTCTTTCTTTTTTATTGCGTTAGTAACTTCTGTTCTGGCTTCTTTTTTTTGCGTTCTTTATTATTTGCAGCAGTGACAGTTCTAGGCCACCGTAGATCGGCTGTTTGATTTGTCCAGTAAGAGCAGCAAATTCATAAGTTGGTAGAGAAAATGAGTCTTAAACAGCATGTAGAGAGATGTGGTGTAATAAACTGCTTCAGTGTGATACTGAAGTCTGATATAGATTCAGTTTACAGCTCACAACATTATAACTACTGAGTGTACACACTTTACACACACACACACACACACACACACACACACACACACACACACACACACACACACACACACACACACACACACATCACTAAGGCTGGTTTTAACACACACAGCAGGTGTATCACACTTGAGCGCAAACATGGACTTATAATCAGAACATTTTCACTGACCTTGGAGGACTCAGCTTCTCTTCGTTAGTATCTTGCTGTCCAAGAGTCCATGTCCTGTTAAAGTCCTGGATCTTAAAGAACGGTCCAGGTTCAGAAGGGTCCGTTTAGAGGTCCATCTAGGTTCACAAAGAGAAGTGAAGTCAGGCTCTCCTCCTGTAACCTGAATCTGAACTCAGCAGTCCTGAGTCTATAGTTGTTTTTCTGCTGCAGGCTCCATGTATCAGGACCAGAAACTTCCCTCTTAACCCATCCTGGTCCGAGTCCAAGGCTTGGTCCCGGTCCCTGAGAATAGAGATCTTTATTTTTTAAGTTCATTCTAGTCTGATTCTCTGTCTTAGTCTGCAGGCTGATAAAGATGAGGACTCACCGTCGTCCTGAGGGGAGTCCAGACCCTGACCCGGACGGTCAGTTAACATCTTCAGTCTGCTCTAATATCTGTGGATCCGCTGTTGTTGTTCCGATTCGGGTTCAAATAAATGGTGAAAATGGAGTGAAAAACAGTAAAATGCTGTTTAATTTGGGCTAGTTGGAGGCGATATGACAGAATATAGCAGTTAACGAGTTCTTGAAGTTTAGTTAATGGTAATAATGTTGTTACATTTTTAAAAGGTAATTGACTTAACTACAAGTTTCTGTCAACAGTAGCGGACTTACAGCTGATCGTTCTTCCGGTTCTAACCGGCTCCTATCGCTTATATCGAGGAGAGGGAGGGCGCATGCGCAGCAGGCCGGAAATACATGATCGATCTGTGAACGTAGACAGGTATAAAACTGTAAATCTGAATTTTAACTAAAGCTCACTCAGTTTACTCAGTTGGTAAAGATACTCGCTATGTATTTATTTTTTCCTTTTTTACTAAAAAATATTTTCCAACAATAGTCTGTCATTTTTCTTGTCGTGAGTGGTGGGGCAGCGTCGCAGCGCCCCCTACTGACCGGTCGCCACTGCTGCAAACATTCTACAGTAGAGGACCAGGGCCACTGAAAATAACAACTGACATTAAACTCAGAATTCTGACTTCGATTTAAGAATTTTGAGAAACATTTTTAGTTTTCATCTCAGACTTCTAAAAAGAAAATAAACAAATGTGAAAAAGAGAGAACCCACACATTTTATTCACAGAAGTCTGAAATAATGCAAACTCTGAGAATTAACTAAGAAGAAAAAAATTATATCAAGATTGTTAGGTTTTAGGATTTAAAAAAAAAAAAGATGTCTGGGGAAAATCTCAGCTCTGAGAATTTAAAAGCAAAATTATTAATAAAAAGTCAGACTTCTCAGATGGACGTTAGAACTGTCGGATGAAAGTGTGAAATTTACAAAAAATTTAATAATTCTGAAAAAAGTTAAAATTCTGACACAAACATTAGAATCCAGATAGGATCTTCAGATAGGATCTCTCACGATCGTTTGTCTGTTACAGAACAAGACATGCTACAGAGGGTAAATTCACCTTACCCAAAGTAAAAACAAACAAAATGAAAGGTACAGTAATGTATAGGGTCATGGTGATATGGAATGCTCTGCCAGGACATATTATCAAAGAAAACAACAAATACAGATTTAAAGATCTATTTAAAGAACATCTACTGGTCAAACAGCTCCTTATTTAGATGAAGCTCGGTTTGTCTGATCTACGTATAATAATGGAAGTCTGCTTATGTGCTATGTACTGGATACTGTTTTCGTAAATTAATCAACTCAATCATGTGGAATGTAAGTTGATATTTAAACATCTGATTATTTCAGAACTACAGCTACACTGTGGAAATGTATAAGGTCCAGTCATATGTGTATGGTGTTTGTATTGTTCTACTTTCGTTGTTTTGGTTTTGTCTTGTAGGCTGTTGTGAGTTGTTGTGGTTATCAACGTTGTCTGAAAGTTGATATGGAAAGCTAACTGTATATGTAGACTCCAGGAAGAATAGCAATGGCCTTAGCCAAAGCTAATGGAGATCTAAATAAACGAAACAAAAGAAAAGAAAAGTATGGGTTTTGACTCTAAAAGCCATCACTAATCCAAGATAAGAGTCAGTTTATATAGAATAAAAGTGCGGGTCCTAAAGGGGTTTGAAGAAAATACAGTCACATATCGTCACTTTTACAGCACTGGTTATCTGTGGTGAATAATCTCTCAGTCTGTCAGATTCAGGTTGATCCAATCCAGATTTCGAGAATCCAGGTAAACTAGATTACCTGATTCTGAAGAGCAGAAAAAAGTGAAATTTCAAATCGGTGTCATCAAACTTTGATGCCCGGGTGGGTTCTCAGGTAAACCTCTGTGTTGACCTTTGACTGACTTTAAACATGAATCAGAAGTTGATGTTGATCTGTGATGGAATAAACCCGTGTCTCCACGTGTGATTCACCTCAGAGCAAACTTCCCTAAACTTGGTGCACCTCTCACCACAGCTGACCAAGTTCGAACTCTCACTGCATTCTTTGCGTGTCCGGACAGAGCCGTCGGATATGAGCCACTCTTGTGTCCACACATTGTCCTCATCCCGGAGCTTCCTCAGATATCTTCCTGCGGGCAGGGAGGGAGGGGAGGGAGGGGAGGAGGGGCGCTCATCCTCAGCCTGGAACACATCAGGACGGCCCAATAAATAACACAACACCTCAGGCCTGCAAATCATTCTGCTCTGACATGTTTCCACAAGTGTGCCGTGCCTGTAATTGAAGCTCCTGCAACAGCTTATTTAAAGGGAAGCTTGAAACTCCCAGAAGAGAGCGAGGTTCGACTTTATGACCAACAGGTAATAATTTCACGACCCAGCGAGTGAGCAGATTGGACGGCAGGAAGTTGAGCCACCACAGCAGGTCGGTACTCAGTTCTTACTGTCTCATCTCATTATGGTTCAAAGGTTTATTGGTGTTTTTCTCACCTCAACATTACTGGGGTCGCCTTCACCTGCACCCGTACGAGAGTGTGGTTTCTCCCTATAGAGACAGAAACTATAAAACTGTCAGGCTGTAACCTGCCTAGAGACAAAGCTACTGTAGTTACACACCAGATTCTGTGACCTCGTAAAGATACTGTAGCTAACACTGTGTGTAAAACTATCACTCATGGCTTTTACAGTGAGACCTGTTTTTATTGGCTCTTATGTTTGTCAGGCTGCAGAACAGGTGAATGAAAATGTACTCACTTGGTAGTGACAGGTGCACAGACACGGCTGTAAAGAGAGAAAATAAGGAACCAAAGTCTGCGAGGAAGAGACACAACTTTGGGAGACTTATTGATAGCAAACTATAAATAGATGGAAAAAAAATGTCGCTGCAGCATCTTTAGAGAGTCAAGTTTCTGTTTGCTCTCGTTGTTCTTAACTGACCCTTCCTGAGCGATGAATTCAGCTCACAAATGTTAAAAAAGAAACCCTTGAAACACCGAAAGATATCGCTCGTAAAAACAGAAATAGAGTGAGATACATCTCTGTTGAATCTGAGAAAATCCTGGTGGTAAAGCGACCTCCGATAATATTACTTACATTGTTAAAACTGTACTGGCAGTGCCTCATTGAATTAAATTATAATTTAACTACATGTGAAAATGAAAAAGGACAGAAATGGAAATAAACTGTTAGATTATTTGTGATTGATCCATCACTCTCAGTTTAAAGACAGCCCTGTATAACCTCTAGGTTTTCAGCTCTGGTCGTGTGCTTTTAAACACAACACTTCTGTTTAGGAACAGCTCTGAAATCTCTCGGCTGCATTTATAATCACCACCTCATTTCAGCATCTCAAGTCCACAGGTTGACTAGCCTCGCCCACTTTGGAGACACTTTCCTCTGGACGATTGCCATTTCTTCCTGTCAATGACAGCTGTCAATCATGCTATACTTTTTAAATTAAAAAAAAAAAATGTTTAAATATAACTACTGCAATTAAAGTTTATCTGAGTTAACCAAAGTGCATTTCAGACGATGAGAAATACGGTATTATACTGTAGATTTGGAAAGTCTGAAAACAAGAGGAAGCAACAACACATCTACAAGTCAACCAACTCACCACAACTACATGCAAAAGTTATGCAACATTGTGTTTAATTTTTAATCCTTCATATTATCTTAAAGGATCTATGATGAGGACAATACAAACCAAACGTTCCTCACTGCAGCTTTAATAGATAATACAGATGATGATCATGATCACAGAGCAGGTCAACCAACAGGCAATATTGTTGTTTTTTATTTTGGCATATTATAAAATAAGTGAATATGTTCGCCAGAAATACGTTTAGATGGATATTTAATTTATCAAATAATCAAATTTATTGGGTTATATCATATATTTAACGATACGACTAATATTGTCTTTTACTGTTCAAATACAGCAGAACAACATTCATATCAGACAATAATCAGAAACTGCTTTAGATTTGATATGTCGTCATTCAGGAGGGCAAACATGTTTTTTTAATGGGGGATATTAAGAGTGATTAACAGCAGCCGTACTGTTGAGGCTGCCTGCAGTGTCTGCAGACAAATATCTGTTCATATCATCCCGACTGATTCACTCACTCACTCTTAAAGCTCCTCTCTTTATTTATGGCTGCTTTAAGGTGGGGCTGCATCTCCAAAAATACATAAATATGAGGGGATTGGACCGTGGTGAATCGACTGACGAGCGAGCTTCGAGTTTATCTCAGTTCAGCCTCTTTCCCTGAGTCGAGATTAAGCTGAAGCTATCATTCCCGATATAGCTGCCGTGGCTCTCTGGACTTGAAAATGCCCCTAGCTGCAGAGGATTTCTGCAAAACGACACAGAGATAAAATGGTTTAGTAATCTGAAGAGGTCTACGGTCTCAGCCTGGACAGGGAAAGTGGTTTGGATATTTCAAACCTCTAACAGCTGGACTGGTTACTGCCGTGAACAACAAGCAGCCGATGCCTCATACCTCAACAATTACCGAGTCAGCCATTCTTTGTCAGGATATTAAAAAAAACACATAAATCTCTCCTAAGTGAAGACATGTGGCACTATATCACTGCTGCCACATGAAACACTTTCTCCGTGTTTTAACTTGATCTGAAGGCCCACTTCAGTTCACCAAACATGACGCTCCTGGAGGAGAATATTTGTAGGGTGAAAACATACCAACGTTAATAATTACTCAATAAAAACTGTAAATAACTCAAAATGAAGTCTGAAGAGAAGTCTTGGACTTTGTTTTTGGTTACCTGAACGAGACCGTAGATTCCAGTGCCTGAAACCACTGAGAGGGTTTCGGTCTACCAACCTCTGTTTTCTGACTTTCCTGGTTTCCTTTTTCAGACTACAGTTTCAGAAATGAGTCCAGTCCAACTTCTCAGTGGCAGGCAGCGATTCTTCGTCATCCTCGTCATCACGTTGGCCTCGCTGTGCTCCGGCCAGGCCTTACCGAGGACAGACCCTCCTATCCGCCCAAAGCAGCCCTTCCTCTTCATGTGGAACGCCCCGACTGAGCTCTGTGAAACCCGCTTCGGCATGCCTCTCGACCTTTCCTACTTCCACTTCGTCAGCAGCACCCTGAAGAGTGCGACGAACCAGAGCATCTCCATATTCTACACGGACCGCTTTGGAATCTTCCCTTACATCAACGAAGAAACCGGTAAGATATTCCATGAAGGCCTGCCACAGCTGGTCGACCTGCAGGACCACCACCAGGAGGCCGAGGATGACATCGAAAAATACATCCCTGGAAACCTTCCAGGCCTGGCTGTGCTGGACTTTGAGGAGTGGAGGCCGCAGTGGGTCAGAAACTGGGGCAGCAAAGACATCTACAGAGATATTTCCGTCGAAATAGTGCAGGAGAAGAACTCGTCTTTGTCCCCTGATGAAGCCGAGGACCGTGCAAAGATTGTATTCGAGGCTGCAGCTAAGAAGTACTTTCTCCGATCCCTCCGCATAGGGAAGAGGCTGAGGCCCAACAGACTCTGGGGTTACTACCTCTACCCTGACTGCTACAACTACGACTACAATCAAGACATGCTCGGCTTCACTGGAGAGTGTCCCACCATCGAGATGGACAGAAATGATGAACTACTGTGGCTCTGGAAGGAGTCCACGGCTCTTTTCCCATCCATTTACCTCGAGCTGGTACTCAGAGACTCCCTGCAGGCCCGGATGTTTGTCCGTTACCGTATCAAGGAGGCGTTGAGGGTGTCAATGCTCCCAGACAGCTCCTACTCCATCCCCATCTACGCCTACATCCGACCTGTGTACAAAGACAGTGTGGACAACTACATGTCAGAGGTGAGGCACAACTGTTTTATGAGCATATGTTAAAAGTCAAGGCAGGGAGAGCAGCAGCGAAGACTCCGAGGTACAGAAGCTTGGAGAACCGGAGGCAGCAGGAAGCGTAGGCCGGCTAAATCAGAGCATCAGATTACGTCATCAAAATCTTCAACACCTGATCAGAGGACGGTGCCAGTCTCAGTGACTTATGACAGTCTGACTGAACCACCTTTTTGTACATTTACCATAAATCCATTAAAATCTTATATGTTGATTACAGTAGGGGGTTTTAGACTCTGGCTCTGCAGTAAAAAGTCTAAAATCTAAAGTCAAGGTGAGACTGCACCAACTCTTTATCTGTTATGATGGTCACTGTGTCAGATCAGGTGACCTCAGAGCCAAGACTTGTGCAGCAGGCTGACACCAGACCAGCCATCAGTGTGATAACCTTGTAAAGGAGGCGGGTCAGGTCAGACAGTGGTTTCAGACTGCACTGCAACTATTACTCAGCAACATTTCTCTTGACCGCGACAAACTGATACCATCATCTGAGAACTTCTTAATTCCTCTTCTGTTTTTGGTTCATCTGCACTCGTGGCTATCGCATGATCAGAGCTCTGATTGGTCAACATCACTGACATGACAGAACCAATCATAACTGTCAATAAAACAGAAGAGGAAGAAGCAGAACAGATGTCCAGGGGCCTTCCTGATGCAGCCTTGATAGTCAATCATTATAACACACAACAGTTGATTAACGATCAATTTTCAAGGCTGATGGCGTCCAACATTTTATATCTGTAACTGTGACCTTGACATGAGATTAGGACTCCTGAGACGGACAGTTGAAAAGATGTTGAAAAGCTTTTAAAAGTTTGATTTTGATTAATTCTACAAGGCCTGAGCACCAAGTGTTACCATGACCCTGTTGGACTACAAGTATTATCATTGTCCTTTTTCATCCGGCCTAAAACTCCCAAAATTCAGAGGTTTCAGCTTCTTCTAAAACTCACCGTATATTTAGCATTGGTCTTGTGCAAAACAGGAAGTTCCTGTAACCCCTTCATAATATATATAAATCTATTTGTAATATCTAATAAATGATAGAGGTCCATCCCTGATCCCACCTGTATGCTGATTTTTTCATCTGTAGTCATAGCACCACCCTGTGGAAGAACTAGCTTTTGCATACATGTTCAGCATGCTTTAAAGTTTCTCAAGTTTCAAAGAGGCTCCAGCTCTCACTCAGCACAGATGACGGCTCCAGCCTGAGGTTGAAGCTTCAGTTTGTTGTGTTGAAGCTCATTGAAGAGTTTTCTGATTAATCAGTCATCCAGGTGTGGTGGTAGACTTCTTCCAGCTGGTCTGACTGTTTGTCTTCGTCCTCACAGTTTGATCTCGTAAACACCATCGGAGAAGCTGCCGCTCTGGGCGCTGCAGGAGTCGTTTCCTGGGGGGACATGGACCTCACAGACACAGAGGTAAACCGTGGCACCTTTTATGGATATCCTTCAACTGTTTTAACTCATCTAAGAGTTTTGTATGGTTGCTGAGAACTGCCACTGCTGCAAATAGAAAAAGAAACGGTGCAGATTTTCTTTAAAAAAAAAAAAAGCCACAACAGAAGTTAACCACGCAAAAAAAAAAAGTGGCGATGCAAAAAAGAAAAAAACTTACGGCGAAAATAAAAGGATGCAAAAAACAAAAACAAAAAATAATAATGTACCGGTGTTTTACGATCCAGGCACAGAAGTGTACATAATCAAGAGTTTTTCCCATAATCCTGCAGGACTCTTGCTTTGATGCTCGCCGCCACCTGGAGCAGGTTATGAACCCGTACATCCTGAACGTCACCACAGCTTCAGAGGTCTGCAGCAAGGCCATCTGTCAGAGCCGGGGTCGCTGCGTGAGGAAGCACTGGAACGAGGACGTCTACCTTCACCTGGATCCTCGGCGGTTCAGGATCCAGCGGCAGCGTCGAGGCGGCCCTCTGACCGTGGTCGGCGGCCTCTCTCAGGATGACATCAACATGTTTGACCGCAACTTTGACTGCATGTGTTACAGCAAGGGGCCGTGCAGGTCGGTCCTCATGATCAATGAAATCCCCGAGGCTTTTGCAACCACGGGGAACCGAGGAGCTGACCGGCCTCGCTACCTTCTCCCGCTGGTTATCCTGCTCTGCCTGAAGTTTGTCGTCATGGAAATACAAAGTTAGGGATGGGAGGGGCCAGGAAATTAAAGAACATTTCAGTATTATTGTTTTATTTTTGTCTTTTTGTTCTTTTTGAATCTTCTTGTCTGTGTTACATTGTCAGACTAAACATGCTGATACCATAGACTGTATGTACTTTGGACAACTTGGTTCCGCCTTCCGCTAGTCTATGGATTAGACGCCAAAAAGCATTTTTTTCTGCACTTCCTGAAACCAACATTGTGCAGTAGTGTTGTACGCATTCGGCAGGACAGTCGCGAAAAGTCGCTGTGATGACGCTCGGCTCAAACAGCGTATCCCCCCGCTGAGCTAGCCATTCTTGGTACGCACTCAGGCTGTATCAAGTGTCAATCATAGAAAACGTGAACCTCCGAATAACTTTCAAAAACGGAGCTGCACAGAAAAAAAAGGACTTGAGCACAAACCAGTCTGACAGTAACTTCATGTCAACATCACAACAAGGGGGGAGAAACATTTATGTTCTGTGTAATAAATTTCTAAAGTTTGTCCACAGCTCCATAGGGATTGCTGGGGGAGGCGGGATTTATGACCTATACTGCAGCCCGTCACCAGAGGGTGCTGTTCTTGCGGTGGGTTCACCCAGCGAGGAGGCAGACGGCGTCTATTCTATATACAGTTTATGGCTGGTACTCTTGGCCTTTTAATTCCAAAACTGAATTATTTTTACAGATTCTTACAAACGAGTTTTTTCGAGGTAAGTGACCACGAATAGAAAAACATCATTAGATCTCATACTTAGCTTATCCGGTTGATTCTGGCTGACTCTACCTGGTTGTAGGTCAGAAATTATCTATATCTCTCTCACTTTTTGTTACGAGCATGCATGAGAAATATTTTTGAATAAAAAAATCTTCATTTTCCTTTCTTTACCTACTTGTTGTCTGTACTTTTCCCTGTTTAATTTATGTCTTTAAAGCACAAGTTGTTTTGCATTAATTGCTTAATAAAGTTGTTTCTTAATTTGAGTGGATTTGGATTAGCAGCAGACGTGAGCGATCAGGCCAAGCAGTTCAGATGTGGATTCTCCATCTTCACAGATTATATAATAATCAGTAATATTGAGTGTACTTCAGTATGAGGAGTCTGAGCTGTGCTGGAGGTTCTTCTCCTGCAGAGGGCGCCAGAGCTCTCTCTCTCTCTCTCTCTCTCTCTCTCTCTCTCTCTCTCTCTCTCTCTGTTCAACAAATGCCTGAAAAAAAAAACTGGTGTTAAAAAAGGAGAAGAGCAGTTTTCTTGAATACCACAGAAAAAAAAAAAACCTCGCTCTCAGCTCCTGGGCAGAGCGACAACTTGAAGGCTGCGGACACAAAAACCTAGACCAGTGCTGTTGGCTCAACTTGAGCTTTCAAGTGTCACTTAAGGTGGATAAATAAAGTCTTTTATTTGCCCTGGGTTTTGTCTTAAAGGCTTAACTTCCTCACAGGATGCATGAAAATGCCTTGTCTGTCTTTCCGGGGCCTTACCAGAGACCAAGTCTGTTCAGTTGAGTCGTTAAATCAGCGAACACGATTTACAAAACACAATTTACCAAGTATTCCGACCTCCTCACTCACTTGCCTCCAGGCGAGCTCCTTTTTATTCCAGTAATTGAAAGAAAAGGTATCATATAATTCGACTGACTCGATCAGTTTGTCCTCCATTTTAGATACCAGTGAACAACCGTCCGTTTTCATACGTCACCTGGCAACCTTCATGCTGAGTAGTTATCTTGACGCAAATATCTGCTCAAGTCTGGATTCGCCTAATTCACGTCATTGGCGTGTGTTTCAGAGTGCATTTTCAGGCTGGTATGATCACAGTGGCGTCTGAAAGCTGCTTCAAATGTGTCCTACTTTTCTCTCACCCCAGTTTACTGTATGCACTGGTTGCATCCCCCATAGCCCGACATACCCCTGTGATTCAGCGCACGCCAGCTCAAAGCAGATGGCGAAGGTCCAAGCAGCTGGGTGATTCAGTTTCAAACCTACGTATTTGGTTGAATCGCTTTTGTATAATAATTCAGGTGAAAACAGAGGGTTCGGTAAACAGAAAGTCCTCTGCAGAACAGACCTCCTCATTTCAGTCTACAAAGGCCTGACCCCTCAGCCGAGGTCAAGAGTGTCATTCGACAGTCAGGTGGCGGCGGGAGCACCTTCAGCTTGTTGATGTGCTGATAAACTCTCTTTGAACTGAAGACACTTCCACCTCTAGATTTTACCCTCCTTATTAAAATGCAGCTAATCATATTTATATGTCTGAGCAGCAAACGTTTCCATAAAAGGTCTGTGTGTAGGTGACATGAATCTGTCAGAACTGCTGAAGACATCCTTCTGTAGTGCAGCCAGTAACTGATGCAACATTAGAGACAAAAATGTGAGTGTGGATCCTCAGTATGAGGAGAGTGGGGATATGATGCTGTGTTCATGTGGGCTGCATAACTCCGTGTGTCACCGATCGTACCGACTGTGTCCCGGAGGCAGCAGGATTTTCTTCTGTCCTCAGTTCTGCTGTCAGGAACATTTTCCTCCTCCAGCGCAGTCTGCGATCGTCCTGCTGCGTCTGATTTCACACAAAATCAGAGAGAGATCAGAGAGAGAGAGAGAGAGAGAGAGAGAGAGAGAGAGAGAGAGAGAGAGAGAGAGAGAGAGATCTGCACCAACACAACCACAGGATAAGATTATTCTAATTTCATCACAGCGCGCTCCATATGATGAAAAAACACACAGACATGTATCAAAAGTATCAGGAGTGAAAAGTTTAAACACAAAATAAGTTTAAATGAAAAAATGATCCAATAAAAACGCAGAATCTGCTTTAATCAACGTTTCAATGATAAACAAGATTATTAGGGACAGGAAATGTGAGAAATTCATGAGAACAAGAAAAAATATGATGTCTTCTTTTTTCTCTTTATTTTTTTCTTTTCTCATTCATTTTTTCTTTTTTTTCTCTTTTGCTCTCTTTCTCTGATTCCTTTCCTTTCCTCCTTCCTTCTCTTTTCTCTGACTCTTTTTTCTTGCTGTCTTCTTTTTCTTTGTTTCTTTCTTTCTTCCTGCCTGTCTTTGTTTTGTTTTTCATCATTTTCTTTCAGTTCCTTTACTGTCTTGTCTTTTCTTTTTGTTTTATCAATCAGTTTTTTCTTTCTTCTTTCTTTCTTTTCTTCTTTGGGTTTATTTTCTTTTTTCCTTCATCAGTTAAACAGGATTAAATCTTTCTTTTTTCTCTTTCTGTCTTTCTTGTTTTTCTTTCTTTCTTCCTTTCTCCCTCTGGCTCCCTTCCTTCTTTTTTTAAACACGGTTAAATCTCTCTTTTCTTTCTTTCTTTCTTTTTTCTTTCTTTCTTTCTTTCTTTCTTTCTTTCTTTCTTTCTTTCTTTCTTCCTTGTTCGGTGAAACCTGATAAAGTCTCTCTTTTACTCCTTTTTCAAAATGAATTATCTGCTCCTCCAAAGAATCTGATCCGTCAGAGTTCTCCCTGAAAACTCTTTTATTACATAAAATGTTAAAAGTGCCTCAGGAAACTCTTACAGAGGATTAAACTGGAAAAAATGACTTTCTTTTTTTTTATCTATAGACTTTGTGATTTTGTCAGGATTTAACGGACTGTTGAAAGCTGTTATTTCTCCCTCAGAAACAGGCGATGCTGCAAACGATCATGATTAATTCTACAGATTTGTGCGATTTTAAGAAAAAAGAAACCAGTCTGTTTTTGTGGAGGGGATATTGCTGCACTTTTCTACTCACCATTCGATACTGGAGGCTCTTCAGATACTTGTATCCTGCACAAACAGCTCTAAACTGCTCTGAACTGGAGGAAACGGTAAACTCAGTTTAGTTTCACACGAGTTAAAAAGGTTTTTGGTCGAGAAATAAACTCTGTGCAGCGGTGAGGAATGTGCTGAAACACACCATCATTGTTGAGTGACTGAGTTTCACAGCACAGTGAGATTTTATGACACAACACATCATTTCACGTCCTCTCATCCATATTCAGGACTCGTCAGCATCAGCTGCTCCCTCAGAAGGATCCAGTGTGTGAGAGACCGAGCTGCTCCGACAAACAGCCGGCCTGTTGTGTGCGCCGTATGAATATTTCATGTCTGGATTTTCTTCCTGGTTTCTGCTCCGACCTGCATGTCGGACAGAAAGTGTCACAGCTGATAAAGACTTGATCTGGACTTTAGTGTATACGACCGTGTTTCTCACAGATCTACAGATGTTTTACAGCAGCTCATTCACTGTTACCTTCAACCCTCATCAGAGTCACTAATCCAGTCTTTTCTGGGAGTCCCTGAGCTCCTTCATGCTGCAGGTTCCTCTGGATTGCTGCTGCAGATGTTTTGCTGCCGTTGACCTGCTTTAGCGACAAGCATCTGTCTCCTGACGTCACGTTTGCAGAACATTTTAAGGAGAAATCAGTGAAGAAGGTGTATGAAAGGAAACAGCTTTGATATAACAGGCCGGAGACAACATCATGAGGAGGTTTTAGAGACCTTCATGCAAGAAGAAGCTCTAAAGAGATGCTGATTTCTTTTTCCAGCAGAACCTGGTGCCTGCCTACAGCGCCAAAACTACCAGAAACCACTTCACTCTGTTTCACTGGCTTGTCAACTAGTCTGAGCTGAACCACACGGAGGATCTTGATGATTTCTGGAGTATCATCATGAGAAAAATGAGGGTCACCCGAGCCAGCAGTACCATTTTTCTGGATTTGTGGGGTAAATATTGATGTGGGTGTAAAGACTTACTTTGGCTTTAAAGGGATATTCCGGCATAAAATTAAGTTAAACACTGAGTTAGACAACCCCTCGAGAGATTAATTTTGCTGCAGACCGCTTGCTTTGACGACTGCGCGATAGCAATACACAGCAGTCGGAGAGCCATAAACAAACGTCAACCAAAACGCCACTCTATAGCCACAAATAATCTTCAGAACAGCACCTAACTTCATCAACAGGACATATAGGGTCCCAGTCATAGTACTAGACACCAAACATCTTTTTAACTTTGCCTGATTTCTTTAGCAAAGAGACTAAACACAACTCACCTACTCTCTTCCAGCAGACGCTTGTTTGTACAGAGACCTCCGGGCGAGTCCATCGACTGCAGCGGGGTGACGCAGCTCAAGGAAGAACATTTATGATCATTTCTTTATCATTTCCTTGAAGTAATAATCAGCATATTAAGTATTTTACACTGCAGTTTCTGTAGTTCTTCTGTCTTAGCGTCTCGGTCTGATTGCATTTCCATGAAGTAATGATCATAAATGTTCTTCCTTGAGCTGCGGCACTCCGCTGTAGTCCGTAATGGACTGGCCTGAGGTCTCGTGACAAATAGGTGGCTGCTGGAAGAGAGTAGGTGAGTTGTGTTTAGTCTCTTTGCTAAAGAAATTAGACAAAGTTAAAAATATGTTTGGTGTCTAGTACTATGGCTGGGACACTATATGTCCTGTTGATGAAGTTAGGTGCTGTTCTGAGCATTATTTGTGGCTATAGAGTGACGTTTTAGTTGAGCGCGTGGCTCTCTGTGTATTGCTATCCTGTGGTTGTTACTAAAGTTGGTATAACTAGAGAAGTAAGCAGTCGGTAACATTCATCTCTCAACGGGGTGTCTAACTCGGTGTTATGGTGTGTTTGACCCTAACTTAATTTTACGCCGGAATATCCCTTTAAGTTTTACAGGAGAGTCAGACCAAAGCTGTCACCACCAAATCTCAACACGTGTGTGAAGTTTTGGTCTTCAGTTCTTGGTCTTGGACAGTAAAGTTTCTATCTTGGGATCATCGCAGCGATATGAACCACTGAACACTCCCCAACAGCTGATTGCTCGCTGATCCACAGCCTCTTCCTGGTGGAGCTGTCGCCCTCAGTGCCCCTGCAGCCCGGTTCGGCCCGGCCCGGCCCAGTCCAGTCCTCCTCCTCCTGCCTGTATGATCTGCTGGGAATAAGAGCTGTATTGTCCCGGTTCTCCTCTTTTGTTGGGGATTGCAGCAGCAACATTTCTAGGTCACCGGCTGTGACTGAACGCCCCGCTGCCCAAACCGATTCTCCACTGAGGGAATTCACCCCCCCACATATTTCACCCAGTGCTGTGTGGAGGAACACAATTAGAAATTCGCTCCCAGCAACAACAGCCGGGCTGCGATCTGTCAAACGATTCCAGCTTCTGTTTTCTGTCAGAGCAGATCCATTATGGACGCCGACTCCAAGTGTTCGTCAAAAGGCTCTTTCATGACGATAATTGGGCGGACGGGCTCTCAGATGCTTTGCCTATTCTCATTTCTCCTCATAATTATCTGCAACCTTTTCCCCCGATCTCTCTCAGAGGGGTTAAGCACACATTAATGTTTCGCCTGAGGATCGGAAGCTGCTGTCAGGGGCTGTTAAATCCTGGAAGACGGCGTTTCGTTACACTCGTTTAGCAGCTAAATGTAGCGACCGTCTAATCCTGCTCTTCTTTTTAACAACAACGGTCGTGTTTTCAATCTAAAAGTTTCACCCAACAGGAGGTCTGATCTGCTCTGATGAAGTTCATCTAAGTGCATCGATAAGTGGGCTCGGTCTCCGCTCTGAGCAGTTGCCAGGCAACCAGCAGAGACTTGAGGAAGTTTTTTTTAACAGGTAATAGAAAATAAATGAAACAGAGCTTTGGGATATGGCAGTGTTTCTGAACTTTGGTGATTCTTGAGGGACTAATATGAAGAGAATTTGAGTTTTTTATCCTGAAATGTGTTTTATAAACTGAAGTTTGTCCTACATTAAATGATATATCACACTTAAGTATCTCAGAGAAACTGACCTCAATTTCCACCGCATCCGGAACGGCTAAGAAAAGGCCGTATCTGCAGATCGTAGCTGATTGTAACCGTTCAAGTTAATGTTTCAATTTCCATTAACTTCTTTCTGTTCCGCTGCGGATCGCTGGACTCCGCGGCTGATTGCAAGAGTTCTATTTTTTCCAGACCCCAGAGCATGCCGGATAAATTCAGCACAGATTAACCCATGCTGGAGAGGAAGTCAGGCACACACCATGCAAACAGGCGGAGACGGACAAGTGAAAGGTTTATAGACAACATTTCACCCCATTGACACCATGGATGAGTAAATACTGATTTTATAAGTCTAGAAGTAGATTTCCTCCTCTGGAAGGACACAATCTACTGCTTTTATGGTTAGCCTATGTGGCTAAGAGACAACTTGTGAGTTCTCGTGATTACCACAAAATTTGTCGGAAATTTGTAGGAATTGGCGTAAGGCGAAAATTGCCACTGTTCCGGATCAGTGCCGCTCCGGATGTGGTGGAAATCCTGGAGAGGAGTTTTCAACCTGATTTGAAACAGTTTTAACTGGCTCAAACATTTAAACATCATGATAGTGGTGCGGTGGTTGGCACTGTCTCACATCAAGAGGGTTCTGGGTTCGAATCCGAGTCGGGGTGTTTCTGTGTGGAGTTTGCATGTTCTCCCTGTGTCTGAGTGGGTTTACTTTAGTTTCCTCCTACACCCCAAAAACATGCAGAAATGGGGTTAGGATGATTGGCCACCTTTAAATTGCCCGTAGGTGTGAATGTGAGCGTGGATGGTTGTTCGTCTCTGTATGACAGCCCTGCGATGAACTGGCGACTTGTCCAGGGTGTCCCCTGCCTTCGCCCGGAGATGCTGGGACAGGCTACAGCCCCTCCGCGACCCCTAACAGGAATAAGTAGTAGAAAATGGATGGATGGAGAATGATGTTTATCCGACATCAACGCTGAATTAAAGACAAATAATTCAAATACAAAGAAAACTACTGACAGTCTGATATCACATCCTGACTACAGATGAACTTAAGAAAAAAATCCTACCTTTGACGAGCAAAACAGCCAATCACAGTTTAGGATTTCAGGGTGGCCAATCAGATTTTAAGGTGGGCGGCACCCCCACTGCCACCCTCAGGACACACTCCTGCCTGACACTCGCTGTGTTTATGGTGTAAAGATCTCCTACCTGGATGTAAACAGGCACAGATTAATCTTTCTTAATGTAAAATCACCAAAATTTGCATCTACAAAAGTAACGTCTCACTGTGAACTCAAACTGTGCAGAAACGAGCGTCTTAGACTGAGTTAGGAGTCTTCAGTTTCTTCTCTTCATCTTCTCTGGATGTGAGACTCAGCAGCAGACGGAGACACTTGAGTCTGCACAGCTTCACTGTTAGGAAACAGATTCATGTGAGGAGTTCGTGCAGCGGGCGCCTGGAGGGACTCTCCAGAGTGAATCAGCTCTGCAGTCCGCCAGCACCCACGGGCTCAGGGGGCTGCTGCAGAGTTAGAGCCTGTTAGCAGGGGAGACAGAGGAGAAATAGAGGGTCTGCAGTTTCAGGTTTTCCTGCTTAACTCAGTATACAGCTTGGAAACGGACAGTTATATGATCCAACAACCTGGGACAGGGCAGAGGTTTACAGTCTCCTCACTTGGATCAGAGAAAAGCTGAACCTCACGGAAACTAAGTGATGCATGCTGTCAAAAATACACTCCCCCTGAGATCTCTGGTTCCCCCCTGAGTCCCCAGGTTGGGAGCGTTGGGATTGTAGAGGATAAACTGGAAATGATTTGATGGTTGATGGGCTACATCTGTGTACGGTGATGAAATTTCAGGAGGTAGATGGGGTTGGATTTTGACCTCTGTGACACTCGAGAGACTTTAAATCATTGCAGTCTTTAAAGAGGGTGAGTGTTTGCCAACAAGAGGACGTATTTAAGGTGCGACTGACCCTTTGTATATGTACAGAGTCTGTATCTATGTAAACTTTTCTATATGCTCATAACTCCTTTCAGTGTTTTGTACCTGTTTCGAGACATCCCACATGAGAAATAAAGTTTCCAACACCATATCCAGGACGATGGTTTTGTTTCCGTGGCAGCCTGGCTCCCGTCCACGGTCTGAGGGCAGCGATCCCAGCCCTCCCAGGATGCCTGTCTCATCCCTGAACACAGTCCTGGGACCATTTTGGAGAAGGTCAGTGAGCAGCGTGCTCAGCAGCGGAGCCTCAGTGTACTCGTCGCCCCCTTTGTTTCTGAATGAATGGGGATGTCTAATTACTGGAGCAGCGACTGGGGCCGCCAGCCTCGTTTTTACAAAAGACTCGAACACGCAAGTTTGGTGCCAGAGCACAAATCAAAGCCAAAGGGGTGATTAGGGAAGAATGTGGTTAATATACAAAGGGTGCAGTCTTGTTGATTCTGCGATGAAAACAATTAGACAGGAATGTAATTATCCAAAACCATAACATCTATGAATCAAAGTTCATCTCAGTGACGGGTGGACAGTGACATCCCAGACTTCTAAGAAAACCAAATCTGTGTCCAAACTGCTCGATTCAAGGTGCAGCAGAAATAAACTGAGCATGTCAGATAAAGTTTGTATCACTCATTCATAGATAAAGTATCTGCAGTTTCTTATGCAGAGAAACTGATCAGCTGATCTTTTTAGGGAATTACATGTTGACTTTTCAGATAATACTGCAAAAGGTTTTGGTGAGACTTTCTATCAGTAACCTACTACCAACTTTAGTTCATAGACACACCTGTAAAACTTCATCTCTGCCTTTGAAATGTGAGCTGTGTCCTCAATAACTGGGAGATTAAAATACCAGTATGACCCACTGAAAACGCAGCCAGAGGTTTATTATTAAAGAGCGGTATTTCACCCAGAAGACATCCACTTTGAGCCATGAACCATTGTCTTTTCTAGGAGTCTCCATTTCCCTCTCTCTCCTCCCTCTAAACCCAGTTCAGTCTCTAACATCAGTCTGGTCCTGCTCGAGGTTTCTGCCTGTTAAAGGGAAGTTCTTCCTCTCCACTGTAACTTGATAAATGCTGTAAAGTGTTTCACTCCTGTGGTTGAAGATGGGATGGGAGAGGGTCTGTGGCTCAGTCTGATCCCATCTTAAGATTGGGTCTTTGTAAACACTGTCCGGTCTAGACCAGTTCTTTTTTGTTGAGGGTCTTGGGTAGGGTTGGGTATCATTTGATTTTGAACAATTCCGATTCCGATTCTTTTAAAAGGCAGGATATTTAAAAAATGCATGGTTTAAATGAGGGTGCTGGCCGGAGTTCTTCTTTTTGGATGAAATTTCTGAACTTCTCCATGAATTTTTACATTATATTAACTTTTTTAATGAACCCTGACATGTTTAATCATGTTGGTTGTTTATCCTCCTTTGCATGATTTAACTGTATTGCTGATGTTGCACTGAGATAAGAGTTCATTCTTCCTGCTAAAGTTAAGTCAAACTTTTGACCACAGTCGCTATTTTAATTTTAAAATTGGAATAGTTCCGGGAGAATTGGAATGGTAGTCCCAACCCCCATTGATGCTCGAGACTCGATGCCCAACCCTAGTCTTGAGTAGGGTGACCATATGTCCTCTTTTACCCTGACAGGTCTTCTTTTTTGGAGGGGTGTCCGGCCTTGTCCGGCCTTGCCTGGAGGAGTTTATAAAATCCTTCAAATGTCTGCGATTTTTTATGGAAGTTTCAAGTTTGTGTCGCGTGAACTTATTGAGTAAGAAGCGTGTAAAAGACACTTGATCTGACCTGGAAAAAACTCTCAAAATTAACTATGTGAACCTCCATGAATTGGCCCGATATAAATAAAGACTGATTGATGTGCAGCCACCACCAGCACCAACTGACATGACTGAAGTTTTGTGTGCCATGCCTGTGAGAAAGAGGGGTGTTCAAAACTGAAGTTGATGCAGAAATGCTAAAAACTGCAGTGCCTAAAGTGTCCACTAGAGGCTGGATCTAAAAGCCTCGTAATCCCCATTAACACCCATGTTAAAATGAGTGTTAACAATCACAACCTGCTAAAATCAAGAGTCTGCTTTTATAAACTGGCATGAAATCAACTCTTGGTTTGGCATCAGTTTGGTTAATCATGATACCGACGAACAGGCCTTACATGCGTGCTAAAGCAGCTCAGGCGTCAGTCCATCATGTCGCTGGTCAAACTCAGACCTAAATGATCCTCCTGCTGTTCATTAAACCAGCAGTTCACAGGAAGTGTCCTGAGGAGTTCAGACCGCGCCGGATCAGACCAGAAACGTTCAGCGACCGCGTCTTTCACAATCAGTGAGCCTCAGAGCGTTTTCTGTCTGTGGTACTGTAGCACTGTTCACCGCAGCAGCAGCCAGCTGAGAGGAAGACTCCCTGCGTCGTCATGACAACGGGAGGGCGAGGACAATGGCCCGCTGTGTCTTCCCCCCCGGCTGGGCGGCTATGACGATGACGAAACGATGGCGAGAGAGAAAAACCAGCTGAGGTTCTTACTGAGAGTGACACAGCAGATTATCAGCGAGGAGCGATCACTTTCTCATTTTGGAGTCAAACCTGAAAATTAGAACGGCTGCATGAGAAACGAGGCTCATGCATTAATTAGTCTGATTCCAGCATCCGTTTCTGACGAGGTCTGAGGAAGATTTAGTCGTTTACTGAAGCTGCTGACACTCTGGGTGAATAAGGACATGTTGTGTTGAGTCTGAACTGTACAAACAAACAAACAATAGTGGCCTCTGTGTCCTCTGGTTGTAGTGAGGACTACGAGTCTCTGCTGCTTTTTTCAATAAACATCTACTTTGCTTCTTTCAAAGGACTCTGGAAACTTTTACAGAAGTTAAAAAATCTAAAATCGTCAGTGTAAAGGGCTGATAGAGGCAGGATTCTGGTTCAGGATTCTGGCGTGGCACCATGGTTCAGATCTGAAGGTAGGCCAGCCTGATAAATTAGACCCAGATTAAAACCATCTACTTTAAAATATTCTTTAATTAAAGTGAATTTTCTCTGGTGGCCTAAAAAATAAAACAAAAATATCACATTACACACCGAGCAAAGATACACACAGTCAGAACTGATATACACAAAACAGTATCAACAGCTGTTTTCAATATATTACTGTTTGTCTCACAGACTCATTCACATAAAAAAAGAGAAGAACATCTAAAAAGAAGGAAAGTACAGCTGCTGAGAGCAGACCAGGATCAGTTTCATCAGGGTAACACCTTGATTTGAAGGCAGGACTTCTTTAAGAGGTTCTTCTGACATGATAAAGTGTAAAATATGTGGTGGAGAGAAAAAAAAAAGCTAAAATTATGATTAGGAGTTTCAGGATTTCAAGTTTAACTTGAAGTTGGTTAGCCCAGGAATAATGCTTGTGCGCAAACTTGAATCAGGATCTCATGTGCAGGTTTAGTGGTTAAAGGATAGATCTGCAGTGATTTACAGTTGTTGGGAAATTGATGTTATTCCTCACAGTAATAATCTCTGTCCATTCAGATTATTTCTGCCGCTTTTTTAGTCTCTATATCAACGATCTAAGTCATGCTCGTGCAGAAAGAAACGCTTTGTAGCCTCGATTGAAAGCTCTTTTTTGTCACCGCTGAACCAAAGAACTTTTCTGTTTAAATTCCATTTTTATTTAAAAATATTGTGGCGGCACTTTATATTAAAAATGCTTGGATTTGCTGTATTTATTTGTGTTTTTATGAAGGGTTTAACCTGAGCCAGACCTTACCACAATGAAATCATATCACAGTCATGCAGGCCTGGTATGATATATATTTTTTAACATACTGGTAATGGATCGGTACTCGGCTGATACCGAGTACCGAGCACAAGTTTTGGAATTGGTATCGAGAGGGAAAAATTGGTATCTGAACATCTCAGGTACAAATACAGAGAGATATTCTGCTTCTGTTATAGTTCCATCTGAACCTCACATTTCTGCTGTAAGCTGTGCTCTACTATGGAGGAATAACAGATGGTACACAACATCTGCAGAGAAACAGAAAGACACTGAGCGGAGAGGAAATCTTTGTGCAGCTCAAATCCTTTTTCCTCTGGACTTCAGGATTTTACAGCCATCATCTAGTCTGGAAAAACTGTAAATTAAAGTGTTGTGTCTGGGCTGTCCTCGATGTGTAGATGCAGAAGGAGGCTTCGTGACACTGGCTTGCTTGTATAAGAGGAGTTTATTATAAAGACAAAACCAGTATCAATACAGCACTGCAGTTGCTGGGAGAGGACGGCCAATGATGTCCAGCTCTCCCAAACCAGAGTTTGTGACCCTGTTATATACGGTTAGGGCTGTAGGCCCTCCTACATCCTTTCTTTGTTTTTGGGATATTTTCCTTACCCTCTGGTGTTTGAGTAAACTAGAGTGGTGGTCTGTGACCTGTGACCTGTGCAGTGGCCCTTCCAGGATATCTCACCCCAGGTGTCATTAATGATAAACAAGGAAAACACAAACCCACATTCCACAATTGGTCCTCAGGCTATTCCTGAAAAATACCTTAAGGCAATGCATATTGATGTAGTACTCCAGATACCACATATTTCCCCCCTTCGAGACTCCAAAGAGTCTCGAAAAAGGCGAAGAAATGTTTACAATTTCTATTTATTGCTAAAATTTTGGAGTGTGAGGGCGAAAACCTGTCAGGCAGCTATCATTCCATTCGTATCCATCAGACAATCTAGACAGGAAAAAGTCACTCACGGTCCCTCTGCCCTAGGCGACCACCTATTGTACTCCAATCCAATTGAAAGGTAGGGGTTAAACTTTATATGAAAATAATGTTTGGCGCAAATATTCTTTGGGAATCTCAGAAATAAAATTTAAAAAATCCACAGTCAAGCTGGTCTTCCCATCGGACCTTCCGTGGACCTATCCCTGCCTAACACCACTGATCCTACAACGAGAAAACAAAGAAAATACCTGAGATCCCGATACATTCACTTTACAACTTAGGCTATGAATAACTAACCCCCCTTTCATACTTTCCATTCTTTCTATGCTGTTTGGTATTGACATGAACATTAAAATACAACACAGAAAGATAAATTTACATTCACTCCCAGATTATACATTAACAAACCCTATGATTAAAATGAATATTTTTTACTCCTTAACATCTTTGGCTGCTTGTGTAGTGTTCTTGTCCATGGGTGTTCTCCGTTTGTGTATCCAATGCAATGTTCTTGTTCACACCTCTGTCAGGTTTCAGTTGTGTTTACATGGTCCATGTTTGATTGTCTTGTTGGGAGGTGTGGGTCCATTAGGCTGTTTAGATGTCTGGAGAACCACCTTTCTTTAGCTGGTCTCCCCACCTGCTGTCCTGAGAATGAAAAAATTAAGCAGTATCTTGCCAAAAACATACATTTTTGTTGTTTGACATGTTTATCATATTTCCCCCTAATCAATACTCCCCCTTTATGACATCAAAATGTAAAACTGTGTGCTGGTCAATTTTACCCAGAGGGTTTTTCATCACCCCATTCATTTTTACACAGATACCTTGGCTTTGCGGATGGTACAGAGCTCTTAAACAGTGTTCAATTCTTAGTTTTTCAAATCAATTTCACTGTTTTATCCACACACTCTTCTCCATTATCTTCGAATATTTACTCTGAAAGTCCCCATCTGCTTATGACCTCCCTACACAAAAACTTGGCAACATACTGAGCATCTTTTTGCTTGGTTGGACAAGCTTCAACTGTTAACCCATCAAACATTATTCTTTTAGCTAGATTGTACATCTACTTATGGCATAATCAAAAATTTGTGGTGCCCAAAAACCTATTCCTTTATGATGTTTCTTGTAACTTCCCTCCTTGCATCATTGGCTAACTTTGGCCTCCTGAATCGTTAATCCAAGTAGGTCTGGAGGTGTCACCATCAGCCCTTTTATGATTCCTCTGATAGAGCTTTCTTCTACTCAATAACAGTCAAGTGCATAATGACCTAGTTGTCCACACCTATAACATGCTTCTGAAAATGCGTGGAAGTTTGGGTTGAAGTTTCTGTCTTCACCGCTTCCACTCCATGTCTGCCCCTGACTGAAGGCTGGTTGTGCATATGAACCTAAATGAGCTACTGGCGTCAGCTGGAGTGGTCGGTCCTGCATATGTTCCTGTTGCAGTTGCATTTTTGCCTGCTCTGATTGAGATTGGCTCTGCATAACCAAAGCTTGTTTCTTCTCCTTGTTTTTGCTATCTCCCAAATGTATCTGGTTAAGTTGTCTCAGGATCTCATGATCATGCTCTCTCTGCTTGTTCTCTTTCTTCCTGTACAACTCAACTTGATGTGCTATATGGTCTGTGTATATCCCTTTTGTCATGCTACCAAGACCAACCACCTCTTCTAATTTATTTATCACTGGCTGGGGCAACCCTTTTTGTATTTTGGCTCGCAAAATAGACTGCTCCATTTGGTGCATATCTGGATCGTTTCCTGTAATATTTCTCCAAATTTGATGAGCCTTTGATACATAAGCTCTTGGATTCTCTTGTGGTCCTAGTGGTTCAATTATAATGTTATCTGGATGTACATTTGTTGGAAATACATCTCTCAGTGATCTCCACATCCGAGCTCTACACGCAGCAAACAGTTCTGGGTCATTTACTGCAGTTTCTGCATACCGGTTAAGCCCTGCTCTCTGCAAGATCTCTTCCATAGCTGGGACCCCTAAAATGCTAGCTAGGAGTCTCTTGATGTCTCCCATAGCAGGCTGCCATCCCACCATAATTTCCTCTAACTTGGAAATCCAAGGGTGAGCTCCTTCCTGAAGAGTAGGTAACTTTTCAAGAATGTCTGACATGTCTGTATTTTGCAGAGGCTTGTACTCTAAATTCTGTCCCCGAACAATAACTGGACACATTTTCCCAGATGGCTTATCCCCTTTTCTTGGGCGTAAGGAGTACCCTGAAGTGGATGGCTTTTCAACTCCTTTTTTCTTCAAGTCATTTTTTATTATTTGTAGCTCTTCTAATTCTTCCCTCAATTCTCTATGTTTTACAGGACTGGTAGCACTACTTAGGTTGCCATAGCATTTATCGGTGCGTTTCTCAATCCTTCTCAAAGCCTTGTGCCTCTCCTCAGCTTCAGTCCTTGGTGTTGACCAAAGGGAATATGAAGACTCTTCACTGTCTGATTCTTCATCCCTATCATTATCTTCACTCTCCTCTGAGGTGTCTTTTACTGGCTCTTTTTTCCTCAGTGATTCTCCTCCTCTTTTTTTCTGCTCTGGCTAATATGTTTCTGACTGCCGGGTCGTAGCCTCCAATAGCCTCTTCTGAATCACTCTGACTATCCTCTCCCATTTCTATTTTTCTGTATTTTTGTTCGCCCCTAGCTGCTGGATGACCTGTTTTCTTTTTACTCTTACTGCTTGGGTACATCTTTATAGTTGTTTTAGCTGTTCCTGTCTCTATCATCTGCTCCTCCTCATCTTTGATGTGATACACGCCCTCCTGTTTAATCACGGGGAGCTGAGGATAGACATCAGTGTATCTTATCTCTTTCTCATACGGTGGGGGGCTCTTCACTGGGGTTGTGTGTGAGAAAGGTTTATTCACTTCTGCCATCAATTTTTCTGTTGATTTAACATTTTTGTTTATTTCTTCTACAATCCTGTCTTTTCTCTCCTTATCGGCTTTTAGCATTTTCTGCCCCTCCTGCTCAAACAAGTGCAAAATGTTAAGCTCCCTCTGTCTCTTTTCTTGCCGTTTCTTTCCCTTCTTTCCTTTCTTTTGCTCTGCCTTATAGGTGGACACTAGCACGTGCATTGTTTTAACCACTTCAGGATTAAGGGTACCTTCCACTGGCCAAGGCTGGTCAATGTCAGGCCACCTCTTACTCCATTTCTTAGACATTTTTTCAATACCCATAACAAGTGGATTACTCTTTATTACTACATCAACTGGAGTGATACATTTCACACCTTTAACGTCCATCTTTGGCATTGTGCTACTGCCTTTAAATGTCTTCACAGGAACCAAAAGCACTAACAGATGACCAAACACGTTATTCACAGCGCCGTTTAGCTAATTTACCTTAAACCAAGACAAGCCAAAGAAATCTGCCAGCCCCAGAGACTTAAAACTTATCAACCCCCAAAAAGGATCAATTTGTGTGATTTTATCAAGCAGCAATGACAAATCACATCCACACGCTGTAGCAAAATTTTAGACCTCTTTGAAATGCTCTTTTAATTCAACAATACTACAGTACTTAATTAGCCCTTTAAACTGGTCAGTCTGTTGCCAAGCCTTCCTTTTTACCAACAAAACTACTGCTCTTATTGTCTATCATTACCAAATGTATACACCCAACTACCTGTGTTCCCACTATAAATGTGTGTATGTACAACTAAGTAGCAGCAGATGCATAGGAGAAGAGTTTGTAGATAAAACTGTACTGGCCTGTCAAATGGGAGCAGGACCTGGTGAGCCTCTCATCCGCAAGCCCCCTCTTGTTGCAGCACAGCCAATTATCTTCTTATCTGTTTTATGGGTGCTCCAACGTCAGATGCCTTTCATTCTTCTCTCCCCTCTCATGCATCAGAGAAAGGGACAAGCACAAATCAAATGTTTAGTATATCACAATCACTTCATTCAATACAATTTAAAATGTTTACTACCATTATTTAAAGATTTCTTCTACTATCAGACTACCTAAATTTATTATACACCATTCCCCTTCACCATGGTATACCATTTAAAATTTTCACACATCTAAAATAGTTAAACTGGATTTTTTAGCTTTCTTTCTGTTCTCAGGCCTGTAAGAAGAGAAAGAAAGGGGGAGGAAAAGCTCCCTGGATTCTCCTAATTTTTAACTAGGACTTCCCTCTAAACATAATCATCAGCAAGTGACCCTTCACTTTAAATATTCACACACACACACAGCGGAAAACCACACCCATCAGTTAGCAAATCGCTCCTATCTTTTACTCTGTTTTTTTCCTGTATCTGTATGAACACAAATGTGCTTGCTGGTTTTTACACTTCTTTAATTGCAATATTAGTTAAGGATGTTATCACCATCCAAAGTCCTCCTCATCTAATAAGGGGCTCATTTCTTATTATTAGGTGTACTAACGTCCTCTTTATCCTGAGAGGCTCATAGCAGTTACTTGTTCTATTAACGTCCCTGTACAAAGAAAACCAGGGCTCATATGTTTTTTAACACTACAAAGACAACAGTATCTCTTCCCTTATATGTTAATTTCTTATATCATATCATTATATATTTAATAAGACATCATTTATCACTTTATCATGAGTTAATCACTTATATTTATGCTAGACACTTCCCCAACTTTGTGCACATGCCACTCACTGCACACAGACTCTTTTGCACTCACACTCACAGCAGCACCCATACACACACTCCTCACACACACACCAGAAGCTTCTCTCACACACGGAAATTCCAACACACCTCTCCTCACAGAGCTCAATGTTTCCTTACTATAGTTTATAGGCCTTTTTTTCTTCTTTAAACTGTCCTTACCGGTTTGTATGCCCAATCACGACTTCCCTAACATTAAGTTAACTTAATTTTTTTCTTTAAACTGTCCTTACCGGTTTGTATGCCCAATCACGACTTCCCTAACATTAAGTTAACTTTTTCTCTTTTTCGGCTATCTCAGCCCAGGCCATCTCAGCCTTTTTCTCTGTTTCGGCCATCTCAGCCCTGGCTATCTCAGCCTTTTTCTCTTTTTCGGCCATCTCAGCCTAGGCTATCTCAGCCTGTTTCTCTTTTTCGGCCATCTCAGCCTAGGCTATCTCAGCCTGTTTCTCTTTTTCGGCCATCTCAGCCTAGGCTATCTCAGCCTGTTTCTCTTTTTCGGCCATCTCAGCCTAGGCTATCTCAGCCTGTTTCTCTTTTCACCCTCTATCTCTTTTTATCATTTATTTGCCAATTACCCTGGGCTCCGGGTTTTACTCCTCACTTTTTCTTTCCACGCCCCGAATTCGACTATCCTTTTTGAGCTAGACGTTCACATTAGTCACTAATTTACACATTGTCTTACCGTTAAGAAGATATGGGCCCCTCTTCGTTAATCTTGCAAGGTTATTTAGCACACTCCCATTACTAGTCTCTGCTATTCTATTTTTGGCATCTCTTTTTCGTCTATTTTAACATCTTCTCTACAACTTCTTTTCTTTTCTATTCTACCCAAATTTAGACGAAGCCTCTCTTCAACAGCACATCACAGCATTTCCACACAAGTACTTTTACACAGTACAGCCTAACAGCTGAACACAACAGCTCCAACAACTAAACCAGCAGCACTTTATGTGAGTCAAACACTCACCTGGCGCCAATGTGGTGCAGGAATAGATGCGTTGAAGCTGCCGTGATCCTCTGAAGGCCGTAGCTGATCCTGTTCGTGACGCCAATTTGTTGTGTCTGGGCTGTCCTCGATGTGTAGATGCAGAAGGAGGCTTCGTGACACTGGCTTGCTTGTATAAGAGGAGTTTATTATAAAGACAAAACCAGTATCAATACAGCACTGCAGTTGCTGGGAGAGGACGGCCAATGATGTCCAGCTCTCCCAAACCAGAGTTTGTGACCCTGTTATATACGGTTAGGGCTGTAGGCCCTCCTACATCCTTTCTTTGTTTTTGGGATATTTTCCTTACCCTCTGGTGTTTGAGTAAACTAGAGTGGTGGTCTGTGACCTGTGACCTGTGCAGTGGCCCTTCCAGGATATCTCACCCCAGGTGTCATTAATGATAAACAAGGAAAACACAAACCCACATTCCACAATTGGTCCTCAGGCTATTCCTGAAAAATACCTTAAGGCAATGCATATTGATGTAGTACTCCAGATACCACAAAAGGGTCCAGGGGTTCAAATATCCCTGTGAATAAAACCTTTTGTAGCGTACAGGATCGGGAATGACTGATCCCATGTCTGCCCTCAGCGTCTGTCTGATGTAAAAAGGTCAGACTGAGTGCCGTTTGAGTGAGAATAGTGGTGAGTTAATGTAAAGAACTAAAGAGATGAAGCTCAGGGCTAATACAGACTCTTTTCTTTCATATATAAATTTTGTAAACAGTGTTCAGACAGTCTGTCAGTAAACATCCATGTGCTCGAGAGTTTGGGGTGTAAAAATCTCAGACACTCACAGTCTGATATGTCAACGCGTCCACCAACCATGTTTCTTATCACATCATGGATTCTGTCGACCTCAGCAGTGCGTTCCCACGACGGCGTACCCTGCAGAGGTGGATGGTTCTCTGCGGATGGTGCTAAACGGCGACAGCTCCAGCTCGGTGGTGGTGCACTCATTATCGACGTCGCTGGTGGCGGTGGCAGGGGATCGAGGAGGACCGCACTCGTCGCAGCAACAGCAGCAGCAGTCCAGGAAGGCTCTGGTGAACGGCTGACACAGGCAGAACAGCAGCACCGGCGTCACCGCCGACTTACAGAAGAGTAGCAGCTGGCTGACCAGGTGCAGGATGTCCAGGGTTCTCCTGGGAACGCCAGCCGCCATGTATGCGTTGATGATGTTACAGATGTTCTCTGGAATGATGCAGAAGCCGTAGAGGATGGCCAACGCCACCACGGCGCAGTTCATCTGGCTCTCCAGCTGGATCTGCTTCTTGCTGCCTCGGACACACGCCCGCTCAGCTTGGCGGATTTTGCGCGCGGTGACCAGTGAGCTGAGAATCGTGAACAGCGTCGGCAGGCAGAAGTAGCAGCCAAAGTACCACCAGAGGCGAGCGCCATCGTACGTCAGTCCCAAGACGTACAGCGTGTCCGGGAGGTCAGTGGAGATTCGCACAACGCATCGCTCACACGGTGCCACGTCAGGTGGGTCGCCGTCCTCGGTGACCAGCTGTCGGATTAACAGCTCGGGGAGTGCCAGCAGCAGAGCCCCCACCCAGATGACGGCCAGTTTAGCCGTGGTGGACGCCCAGTTCTCGATCATCTCGTAGTACATCTGCACATTGGTGGCAGCTCGGAAACGGTCGATGCACAGAGCGCAGAGTGTGAAGGTCGTGACCCCGAGAGAAGCCACCTGGAAAAAGAAGAAGAGTCAGGTTATTTTGAGTTGGTTGGCGAGGTTGATTTAACGGAGGCGTGTTCAGTTTTAGGACTTTGATGATCTGATTGTTTGCCGATGATGTGATTCAGTGTTCTTGAAAAACCGAGATCTGGTTCTTGGTGGTTTGCAGTTGACTGTAACCTTGTTTGATTCTCAAACAGTTGATGATCGATCACTTCCTGTGGGTGGGGCCTGAATATTGATCGAGTTAAAGGAGTTGAAGCTCAACCCTCGAGGATCCCTGGACCTGCTCTTTTTGTCGTGTCCTGAGGTAACTCTTGTCCTCAACAGTCACTTTAACCGGAGACACCGACGATCAGAATTTCCTTCATGGGTAAATCTTAAACCCTGGACGGCTAAATCCTGAACTCAAAGTGAACTCTGACCAGATCATTAAGAGTGTTTTCTTCCATCAGGTGCGTCGTAGAATTCACGCGCACACACGCTCTTCAGCCGTCTGCTTTGTGCCACACTGTCACATAACACATCTGTTGTGTCTCAGCTGCTGTGAACATTTCACACTGTATGAAGGACAATGGACAGGCGCACCAGTTGTTTGTGTGAAACACTGCAACTGTCATAACCAGCCAAAGTCCTAAAGCAACCGCTTGTTTTGTTGGTTTAAGCTGCTTTTCCAAACATTTGCTCTCGGCTTTCAGAAAACTGTGTTTAAATCTCAGTTTTCCACAACAGCATGTGATTCATTTGGCTTTCTTACCCATAATTATCCTCTACTCCGCGGTCTTTCCTAAAGTCATCAGCGTTGGTTTTCGTGGCTGCAGGGAAACTTTGGTTTACTTCACTGTGTTTGCTCGAGGTTTCACATTTAACGCTGTTACTGTGTGATTCAACAACGAGGAAAAAAGGGATAAACAAAGAGGAAGGTGCCTCATCACTGATACCATGTAGGTCGTCGTGTCAAACAAAGAGAGCTGCTGCTGCTAAGAGGATTAAATCTGACCTTTCCTCTTCACATTAAAAAGCTTTGTCTCTGTTACAGCCAGTTGCAAACATGTCACGACGCCGGCCTCAGCTCTGCATTAATGGCCCTGAGATTAGTACACACACACACACACACACACACACACACACACACACGCGGTATTAAAGTGTTTGAACAGCTGGACTCTGAAGCTATAGGTGACGGTTAAATGTAGGCGTCCATAACCCTGAGCATTAGGGCCTGTGTACATTAACAGTGGTTTGTCTCACAACCTTGAGATCTCCATCCATGCTCTGATCAGTTCAAGATTAGACTGTTGTAATGCACTTTATGTTGACATCTCCACATTTCCAAAATGCTGCTGCCCGTCTTTTAACCAACACTTACAGATGTGAGCACATCACTCCGGTTCTCAGCTCCCCGTCTCTTCAAGGATTGATTTTAAACTTTTAACGTTTGTTTTTAAAGCTTCTAACGGCCTCGCCCCCTTCTATTTAACTGAGCTTTTAACCGTTCGGGAGCCGGGTAGAGCTCTGAGGTCGTCAAATCAACTTCTGCTGGAAGTGCCCAGGTCAAAACCCAAACACTGGGGTGACCAAGCCTTTTCAGTCGCTGGTCCCAGGCTCTGGAATAAACTCCCCACCGAAATGACTTTTTTCCGACCTGAGCCTTTTTAAATCTCGATTGAAAACATACTTATTTATGCCGGCTTTTAACACCTCGTAGCATGGTGGCACTTTATTTTATTAAACTGTATTGTATTCCTTTTTTTATTGTTTTATTTATTCATTTTTATTTTCTATTGTAAAGCACTTTGGTTCACTGAGAGGGTTGTTGTAAAGGGCTGTATAAACAGAGATCATTTACGTTTATATTTTTCCCCTTCTTTTCATTTTTGTTTGGGGTCCAGTCATTCGTTAGGTATTATGTCACAGTAATTGTAGCAGGTCTAGACCTCAAATAGTCCCCTTCGAAAGTGAGTCAGGTTAGTCTCTCCTCTGCACCTCTAACATTAGTGATGGCAGAGTCAAAATCAGAAGTCCCGCCCCTTCTTGATTTTGATTTGTTGATGAGGGAGAGCTGACATTGAGACAGCAAACAAACAAAAAATTGGTTTTGATGGAAACTGGGTGCAGCCAGTGCAACAAAACATGGCGGCGTCAGTGGACACAGGCCCTTACTGCTGCTCCAGTGAGTGTTCCTCCTGTAAAATGGACCACCATCAGACTCTTTTCTCTTTTTACCTTCTTGAGTGAGGGTATTAGGGGTGTTTAGGGGTGAGAGCTAGCATTAGTTCAATCCCCCAGAGGGACGCCATCAGCCTGAATTAACAAGAACACCGGTGAAGGCGGGTCCTCTCTTGATCACCCTGGTCATGTACTGGCTTTTGTACGCCATCTTTCCTCAGTTATCTTCACGTCTGGGATGTGGGGGACCATGTGGTGGGTTATGTAACTTATCGAGAGGGGAATTTTGGAAATAGGGCGAGATGGGGGTTTCTTTACTGAGCTCTTATCCTTACATAAGAGCACGAGAAACATGAGTTTGTGTTCAAATTTCCACACAGAAGAGCCGTTCTTGCTCTTCTTGAACCGACAGGCTGCAGCTCCAAATGCAGCTGTTTGCTAAAACGCAAAATTTGAATCCCATTTTATTGTTTTTGCTTCTTACATTCAATCCAACGATTCGTTCCTGAGGAAGTTGTGCTTTGCTCCTCTCCTCCCTCTTTAATTGCTCTTGGTGAGGATTTACTTCCATTAAGCCACAAGAGCACAAGTGAGGACAAACTCTGACGTCCGGTGATCAGCGTGGCTCAGTCAGTGTTCCAGCTGATCCCTGATCAGGATGAGGTCAGGGTCAAGTCCTCCCAAACTGACTTAGAGTGCAGACAAGATTTTACCACGATGAATGAAATCTATTAGAATTTTCGTTCATTGGAGGTTAAAGGGTTCGAGCTGTAAGAAGAGGACGAGCGATTTAACAGGAAGTCCATAAATCTGGATCTCCTCTCAGACCTCTCCGTGTTTCCTCTGATGAAGACTGACCTGAGGGGGGTCGCCTTTCCTTAATCTCAGACCCCATTAATCCCAATCTTCACTCTGATTGGACAGCAGGTGCCTCCCTTCGCTCTGCCGCCTGATGTGACCCTGATCAGATTAAAGCCCCCCTTACATTAGGCGTCATTAGACCTGATTTAGACCCTGCTGGCGGTCTGAAGTCCGCGCCTCCTAACATGGGGGAAATTAAACCTGCGCTGTAAACACTCAGGAGCTGTGAGCGTCTCTTTAGTCTGGGTAAGGGTTGGGGTTATATCAAAACAGGTTAATTTCACACTAAAATGGGGTCTTTGGTGAGAAGCAGGTGATGCAATCTCATAAAACTAAGGTCTTAGAAATGCAGTCCTGTATTTGCAGCCTCTACGTCTGCAGGCACATACTCCCTCCAGCAGCCAGATCACTTCTGCACATGTCGCCTCCAAAATGCATCACTGGTGCAGTTGGTCGGCGCATGTTATCCCTGACCCTTAGTTGTGAACTGCACAGTCGTATAGAGACGGATGACGTGTGCACACCCCTCTAATATGGTGTTTGATGGTTGTGGCACACAGCTGTTTTCTCTTACAACCACACACAGGCTGCTAATCGGAGAAGATCCTCAGAGGTCATCAGGTTAAGTCTAGAAGGCGACATTGTCTGGAGTTCTTCACCTGTTCCAGTCTTTTCTTGCACTTTTGGGTTGGTGTTGTTTATGCAGTAAAAAGTGGATAGGGGAGAGTGGGGTAAGATGATCCATTTTTCATATTTCAGATCACTACATCAAGATAATCATAGTTTTGTCTCGAACTATTTCAGGATGTTGTGCATCCCTGTAAACCAACAGAATGAGTGTAAACAGAACTGTCTTGATAATTTAGCACGCCAAAATAAAGTTGTCTCCTATGGTCAACTTACCCCGTGTATGAGGTAAGTTGAGCCGCATCTCTACCCCCCCCCACTCTCCCCCCCAGGCCTCCCTCACCTTCTCTCTCTCCCTAAATAACAGTCACTTCTTCACATTCATGTGTATTTTAATCTATTATACACTTTTCAACTGCTACAATAATTCTTCACCCATGTGCTTCTAACCTTCACAGACTCCATGAATTGATGCCCATCTCCTCAATATTTGGTCACATGATCAATTTCTTTGACCATTTCCAAGCAACAGGGGGTGGCTCAACTTACCCCACTCTCCCCTACCGTAAAAAGTGAAGACCTGATTTTCTGCCTTTGAAGGAGGATTCACTGATTATCACAGCCTCGGTAACTAAAATTAGTCCATTTTCACAAGTTTTTATCCTCTCAATTAAAACTTTTTCACCTTCTTCATGTTCCTCTCTTCTCATCTGTTTTTTTTTGTGGGTGGGAAAGAGTTTAAAAAACTCCTCCTGAGTGTCTTAAATTTGGGGAAAGTTTGCCTCATGTAAACTTCAGACAAACTTTGAAACAAATTCATCCACAAAACTGTTTTATTTTGTCCCTCAGCACTAAGATTAGAGAAACATAAGGATGATATTTTGACAGGGAGATCAAAGATTAGTTAAATCTTGTATCTTAATCTGCAGTTTGCCTACAAAACGACATCATGGCTGAGCTTCCTCAGGTGTCAGAGCTCCTCTCACCTGTCAGCTCACTCACTCTCTCACTCATCTCCAGTCTGCAACATCCCTCCCCCTCCCTCTCTCTTTCTCACCTCCAGGTAGGGGATGATCCTGCACGAGAACTCTCCCAGCAGCCAGTTCTTGGTGAGCTCGTGAAACACCACGAGCGGCAGGCAGAAGAAGATGATGACGAAGTCCCAGAGCGCGAGGTTGGCCAGCAGCGAGTTGGAGATGCTCCTCATGTAGTAGTTGTGACACACGATGCACATGACGGACACGTTCCCGATGATGCCCACGCTGAAGATGACCGCGGCGATGATCATGACCGTGTACGCTCCGTACGACTCCGCGGTGACCGGATAGAAGGGGTTCTTCACCGGTTTCCGCCGCGTGTCCACCGGCACGAGCGGCGTGGTGTCAGGGAAGTCCGGCAGCGTGTACTCCTCCTCGTAGTCACTGGTGTTGAGTCCGAGGGGGAACTCGGTGTCCTGCTCCTGGGCCATGGCTGCGGGTAGATCCTCCAGCGCGTCCGTTGGCGGGTCGCTCCTTTTCCTCCTGCAGGGCTTTGCGCTCCGTCTCTGCCGCCTGTTGTGCGCAGGCCTCCCGGGGCGACATGCGCGTCCATTAGGGGTTTGTTTGAGCGCCTCTCCAGGGGGGCATCGACCACTCCACTGCTCATCTCCACTGCGTAAAACTCCATGGACATTTTGCGCGTCGCTTTTACGCACGGCGCGTGTGGGTTTCTGTTCCCCCTGCAGTCCAGATCCTGAAGGCTTTGCAGTTTCCAGCCATGAACCATGCGCTCCCGCACCGCGCGTCCCCCCATTGTCCTGCCCAATAACTGTGCGCCATTTACGGCTCTGCGCATTCCTTTCAGCGGGGTCGGATTCATAATGAGGGCCTAAAGTCGTCTTTGTTTTCTGCAAGTGGAGCTGACTCGCCACGGCCTCACTGTACAGCCACACATACAGTAACCACGAGAATGGAAGCAGCATGATGTCTGTCTGTCTAACCCCTGAGATCAAAATGGTTCTTCACTCCAAATGATAGATCCATCTCTAGAAAACGAGTAGAAAAACTCCTCTGAATATACCTCAAACTCAATTTTCTCTCATCTTTACGCACAAACAGCTTTCACAAAGTCTCTCTCGGTGTGCAGGCGGTGCACCTGTCCGGCGTGGGTGCGTCCTAGAACGGCTCCAGTCTGGAGGCATCACCGAGAAGAAATAAAACCAGACAGTGAACAGGATCACAAACTCGGTTAGAGAGGGCGATGGTCGTCTAGATCCTCCTGAGATGATTGTAGATGTCGGCGGAGAGAGAGTTCAACCCCAGCCGGAGCAGGTCCACCTCTGTCCGGAGAAGTTCAGCGCGCCCAGCCGCTCCGGAGCTCTCGGAGGCCGGGAGGAGAGGAGTGAAAACCTGCAGACGGAGACGCTGAGCTCCGTCTGAGGGAGACAAGAGCACCAGAGAGGAGGAGGAGGAGGAGGAGGAAGAAGAGGGGAAGGGGGGTTAAAGAAGGCGGGGGAGGTGGATGATGGGGGAGTCATGAATCCGGATAAACTCCACGAGAAACACCAAAAAACCTCGGATATGTTGAAATTATTTCGGTTATGTGATCAAGATTAATCTCATTTCAATTTTTGAGAAGTTCGTCTGAAATCATTTTTTTTTTTAATTTCCTCACACAGCTTTTAACTCAAATCAACATTTTAATTTCCAGACAGAAACTGAGAAAAGAAGAACATCCTGTGCTCCATGAATAATTAAATCATTTATGTAACACGCCGTTTACTCGAGCTAAACATGTGTGGTAGATTTAAGGGAAGTACGAACGTTTACATAAACTTAAACATCACATTATTACTTGTAGCCAAACTTGATTTAATAAACAGAAGAAATGGTCCACAGAAAACATGAACATGGACACCTATGCTCGTAAATCCCTCAGTGAGAATCAACAGTGTGATAATTCTTGTGCAGTAACCATGTACTATTAAAGATCTGAATGTCCAAGAAAACCTCTGATTTGGTCCTAAAACAGATTAAAATAAACTCTAAAGGTTCCTGTTATTCTTATCTGAGCAAATTATTTTCAGCTCTAGCTCGCCATCTAGTGGACAAAGTAGATACAGCCCTCTCAGGTCACCTCGAAGTTCACAGCGTTTTGATTTTGGGGTGTTTTTCAGACCTGACCTCTGACCCTCTAGACTGAAGCGGTTTGAGTCTTTGTATCGTCTCAAGTGTGTGAAGTTGAGTTCAGCTTCAGCTTGCTCTTATGTCTCATCCGTCTGGGGAGATTCTTGCAGTTGAAACTCGACTTCACTCACTCTGGGGCCGTCTATAAATGGAAAAAAACAGGAACAGAGGGAGTAAACTGGAGGCTTGAAGTGGGAAAACAAAACCTCAGAAATCTTACAAAGTTTGCAAAAACTCACGAGGAGGCGGCTTTCAGTTTCTATGGTCCCCGTTTGTGGAACAGTCTGCTGGAGAGTCTCAGGGCCGGAGAGACTGTTGATGTTTTGAAGTGAGCACATTTAATCATGATTATATCTAGTGATGCACGATATGAAAAATTTCAACCGATACCGATAACCGATGATTTTCTTCTTCTCGTGGCCGATACCGATAACCGATAAATTCATAATTTTACATTTATTATAATCTTCATATAATCTGCAGTTTGTGCAGGATGCAGCGATTAAAAACTGATGTTTTTGTTGCTCTGGCCTATCTAGAACAACAAACTAAAGTTTTTGGCTCTTCAAATGTTTATTTTTTCCATGTCATCACAAAAATATGTGGTCATTAGCTATAAATAACAATAACAGAGCAAAAAGCAGAACTTCATTTGATCCCCTGAACTGTTCAATAGAACTGTAAACGGTAAAGGAGCCATTATGAGCCGTTAGGCTTAGCATGCTGACCGGACTAACATCTGACGTCCATATGTCTGTGGTAAAACTCACGTGTAGTCCGTTCTTGTCGATCAGGTTGTGAATGTATGTGGCGACAATATCATAGAGTGCAGGAAGAGACACATCCGAGAAGAAGCGGCGGCTTGGGAGAGTGTAATGTGGCTCCAAGTGTGCTATTAACTTACGAAAACCCGGGTTCTCAACGACGGAAAAAGGCTGGTCGTCGACCGCTATGAATTCCATCACTTTGTCGTTAATGGCTTTAGCCTTTTCGCTGTCTCTTGAGAAGCTTTTGCAGTTTTTAAACGCCTGCTGAATGGGGACATCGATCCTCCGTAGTGTTGTTGTCTTAGCTTTAGTACCGCTAGCAGCTTCGGCGGCTGTCTCATATTCTTTTACTACCGCTTCGCCGCGATGGCAACTTTTCAGATGAGCTATCAGATTCGTTGTGTTAAAACTTGACGTCTTCTTTCCTCCTCTCGGAATCCTCGCTGAACAGGTTTTGCATATAGCAATGCTGTTGTCATCTTCTGCCACTGAGAGAAACGACCATGCTGGTGAAGACATTTTATTATCTGTCAGGTAGTGACGGGGTCTTGGGACTGCGAGTAAGGCGCGATAGATGACGTAACCAGCGCGTCTCGGACAGGCGGCTACTCCGCCTGCAAACGTTACTCTTAATTTCATTAATATATCGGATCTTTCTATCGGAAAAATGCACCTATCGGACCGATAAAAAATGACATAATTTTCCCCCAAATCGGCCGATATTTTATTGGTCCGATAAATATCGTGCATCCCTAATTACATCACTTCCAATACACTTCAATCAATAATATCAGTAAGATTATTCATATAGAAATAAACCAGTGATATCTTTCACATGTTGTCAGTAAATAATGGCAAAAGATTAAACAACTGAAAGCTGGGAGATAAGTGAACTGACAGGAAACTGAATAAAAGTATTTGTTTAGATGTTAATTCATCATGAAAAGAGGCTGACAAGAATCCTTTATGGAAGTGTCTCAAATCAGTAAGGGTTTATGGATATCTGTTTTTCAGGGTCAGAACAGGTTCTGATCATCAGTAGTTCACAACACTTGAGGCCTTGAGACCACTGAGGCGCCAAAGACCCAGAATTCCCATTTACTGATTTATTTGGATGGACTGGTGTGGTCAATTTTACAATCATTCATTCATTCATCCGTGGTTATTGTCGCTGCAATAACTGAAACAGGAAGAAGACTCTTAGTTTAGTTGTTTATTATTGACATATCTGACAAATACACTTTGACATTAGTGACATTTGCTGGTACGATCAGAGAAAGATGAGGTCTTAAACTCAGCAGAGAGACTTTAAAGATGAGAATAAAGAATGATGAGTACGATTTGAGCTGATTTAACAGTCTGGTGTGAAGGTAAAGAAGTTCTGAACACTGATAAAATAACACTTGTTTAAATTGATCAAAACTGTAACATTGGTTTAGTGAAGTAAGAAGTAATGCTGCATATTTAAAAAAAGATGGACTTAAATTGTTGGTATCCATACTGATGTGGATTTTAAAGTAAAAACATCATAATAATGTAGATTTATTATATTAATGATGGTTATCGTTGTTCAGAACATCTACTCAGTGTGATTGACCGGAGAGATGATCAGAGGAGCAGAGTTTTCACCACCATTGTTAAGAAAGGGACTAAAGTATGGAAAGAGTTTTTCTTTGAAGGAGCAGCCGGTGAAGGAGTAGATCAGAGCTGCAGCATCAACGTCATAAAAGGAGACCAGACCCTCCTCATAGTCCACAAACACCCCCACCTTCTCAGGAGCAGACTGCAGAGAGAGATCGACTGAAGGGTCATCAAGAGCTTCGTACTCATTTTCATTTCTCAACCAAATTGTCCAGAAACCATCTTCAGGAGACAGAGTGATTTCTCCCTTCCTGTTGATGGACTCTCTAACTACTCCTAAATCCCAGTCAGTCTTCCCTTTAACCTGAACCTCAAAGTAAAATCTGCCTGAAGACAAACTCTGCTTTGCTAAAACACAGGGACAATCATCAAATCTCTCTGGATTGTTTGGTAGATTCTTCTTCACATCACCACAATAAACTTGTTTTCCATCATCAGACAGGATGAGAGCTGGATGTGCTGTATCAGGATCGAGTGTCACATCCACCTCACACTGCTGGACTCTCTTCAGCTCGGCCTCAAACAGCTTCTTCTTCAGTTTCCTGAGCGTCTCCTCCAGCTGGTCCACAGCTCTCACCACAGTCCCCTCATATGAAGGTGGATGGACTCCGACTTCAGTCCAGTTCTTGGTGGGTGGAGCAGCGTTCAGGATGGTGAAGTTTTGGAGGAGGTGGAGGTGGTCTTCAGAGCGTGAGAGCTGCTCCAGCTCAGAGCTCCTCTTCTCCAGCTCCCAGATTTCCTGTTGCAGCTCTGTGATGAAGCCTTCAGCCTGTTCCTCCGTCTCTCTCTGCTTCTCTTTGATGGTGTGGATGAACTCGGCCTGGCTTCTCTCTACAGATTCTTTCAGAGCCGTGAAGACCTCCACACCTTCAGCCATCTCTCTGTCTGCATTCTTATGACTGAGCTCCACTGACTCTTTGAGCTCTTCAATCTTCAGTCGTCTCTCCTGGATCATCTGCTGAATTTCAGCCTCTGTCTTCCCCAGCTCGACCTTCTTTCCTTCATATTCTTCTCTCAGAGGAACAACATCATGGGTCCTGTGGTCTGAGTAGGTGCAGAGCATGCAGACACACATCTGGTCATTCTTACAGAACAGCTCCAGCAGTTTGTCGTGTTTCTCGCACATCCTGACTGACACACGAACTGAGTGTCTGAACTGAGCGGACATCTCAGAGATGAAGGTGTTGATCTTCAGCTCTGGTCTTCTGTCGAAAACCTCTTTACAGTTTGGACACTGATGTGGAACATTGACATCCCAGTGTTGAGAGATGCAGGATTTACAGAAGTTGTGTCCACATGGTATGGTGACAGGATCAGTGAAGACATCCAGACAGATGGAGCACAGGAACTGATCTTCAGTCAGCAGACAGCTGGCAGCAGACATTTTTACAGCCTGAGGATTATCAGTGGAAGATCAACACGTTAAAACACTAAACATATACTGTAGATCTATTTTTGAGTCTATCCTTGTCATCATCATCGTGATACTGTCATGAATAATTTGGTGACTTTCAGTTAAATTCTGGCCTAAATCTGGAAAAAGGAAAGACTGCAGAGTGTTTTTGGAAAAAGCAGAACAATATTTTTAAAATCCTTGAGACTTTGACTCATCTGAACTCTGACCTCACCTGAAAGTCTACAGCATCCTCTAACAATGTAACAAGAAAGAAGGTCAAACTTTGATCACAATACTCTGTGTGTCAGTGGACTTGGACACACTAATGATCCTGAAAGTCAAGAAAACCTCCAGCTGTTAAAAAGTTCAATATCTGATGAAGATTTAAAGTCACAGAGTGATCGCATCTAAAGACTGTGAGCCAGTCAACCAGTTAGGAGACGTCCTCAGGTTGGCAGGTTGTGATGACTCATATATCTTGGCACTAAGGGAGAATTTTATTGTTCTTTAATGTTTAACAGGAAATATGCCGACTTTGAGTTTGATGTCAGACACACCCATCCATCAAGTTAAAACAGGAACAACAATTCTTGTTATAAAGTCAAACAGCAGGAACTCTGATATATAAAAAAGCTTCAAGTTAAAACATCTTCCCAAGACTAATTACAGTTGTAGAAGTTGTAAAACATGAATTTTGTGGTTTAATTGTCATGAAGAAGTTTCCCTGATAAAAATGGACCCCGCCCTCGTCACTTTCTGAACTCATGAAACCAGCGGGCGTTTTCCAACAGCAGAGAGCTCGGCTGGTTTGTAAGTAGCTGAATGAGTTAATCTGGTGTTTTCTGTGTGATGGCTGAATATACCTGCTGACTTATCTGTGAATGTGCCCAACAAACTCAATCAGTGAGATTTGAAAGCATCAAAACTTCATGACTGAAAAAGGATGATAAAAGTCTGTGAAATAGCTCAACATTAGCACTTTGTGGAGTTTAGACCAGCCTGAGTACAGTCACTGTAGTTTGGTTTTTGAAGCAGTTTTGTGGTCAAGTTTAACAAAATGTTGACTGAAAAGTGTTTTTTATCTTTGTTAGTCAGTGTACTCACCGTTTTTGAAGTCAATCCTTCTGGTGAATTTGTTTGAACAGAGATATAAAGAGACTTGTCTCGACTGCAGCTCTGCTGTGCTCAGATCACTTTTACTTTCAGTTCAGGAAAAATCTGGTTGTTTACGTTCGTCCTTTTTCAGTGTTGCTCCTCCTCTCAGAGAAGCTCTAAGAGGAGGAGTTTCATACTTGGTTAAAGTTAAAGATCTGACAGCTGTGGAACAAGGAGACTTTACAGTTTATTTGATTTTACAGTGAAAGTAACACAACAGCAGAGGAGGAAGAGTACAGGACAAGCAGAGACCTGTGCCAAAGCACAGAGACCGTAGACCTGTCTGTAGTTGGAATTGTATCCCTAACGTGTGTCTAAATAAATTTCTTTTTCTTTCGAATCAAAATTTTAGAAGTTAAGAGAGCACATTTGAATTTACAAGTTGATAAAAGTAACTGCAGTAGCAGAAAAATCTGCTGAAAAAGGACAAAATACAGAATCCTCTTCCTCTGTTTTCTCTGTCCCTCCACTCTACTGCGCGTGAGTGTGTGTGTGTGTGTTCTCAGGCTCTCTCACACACACACCCCTTCCCCTCAGTAAACATCCAATCACTGTTTAGTATGCAAATGAGCCAGGAAGTGTCCAGACTATGGTGTCAGGTTTCAGCAGGTAGGGTAAGATTTCAAAGAAGCAGCAGAGCTTTGACAAATTTGTCTGAGTGACTCTGAGATAATTAATAATGAACAAAAACAAGTAAATTTAAATATAACAGAGGAGTGGAGAGGAAAAGAGAGAGAGGAGTGAGAGAAAAGAGAGAGGAGATTTTTGAGCTGTTTAGTTGTGACCAAAAAACAAAAGTACCAGCCAAAAAAAGAGGAAAAGAAAAGAAAATGCTCTATATCTGTTGTGTATTATAAATTAGTTTTAAGTAATTTTTATTATTATTCATAAACTACCTTTCATTTTTGTAAATATTGACTTTTGTGTGTGAAGTCTTATTTTAGGTTCAGATTTATTTGAGAACGAGACCATCCAGTTAAAATAAATGTTAAAGGTGGGGTAGGCAGGAATCCGTTAAAGAAGCATCTTTTTTTGTGGTGTGTTTACAAAAAAGCTTTTAATATCAGTCAATAGTTATTAGTTATTGATGACCTTTGGTAATATAATGATATCGCTGTGTTTTGTTATGTCTGTGTAGTCAACATTTTAAATTTTCAGAGCGCTCCTCTTTTTCTGACTGTAAACAAAGCCGTTCTCCACCTCCACCAACCTGATTGGTTGTGAGGCAGACGCTGCTCCCCCGTGTCGTTCAGGAGCCCAAACAAAGTTAGCGTGATACAATATCAGACGGTAGAAACCAACCAGAAAGTTCGGAAACTTGTCTGAATCCTCCTTTGGCCATGACTGCCGACACAAGTAAGAAAACAAAGTAAATACCGGAGACTCTGGAGGAATAACTGGTGCTTAAAACGGAGGTAGACCGGACAAGAACTAAGTGTGACAAGTACTATATTCTCATCTGCTACATGTTAGAAATAGTATGTGAAAAGCTAAAAGTATAATACATATAATTTGTGAACAGCTTTAAAAGGGGACAATAAGTTCATGGTCTGTAATATTATTAAAATGCTTGAAAAGGTAAAATCTCAGAGAAATGCTGATATGTTTAAAAAGATTAATAACAAGAGGGTTAAAGAAGGCGGGGGAGGTGGATGATGGGGGAGTCATGGATCTGAATAAACTCCACGAGTAACACCAGAAAACCTCGGATATGTTGAAATTATTTCGGTTATGTGATCAAGATTAATCTCATTTTAGTTTTTGAGAAGTTTGTTTTTACTTGCTTTTTCTAAATCGGTCTTAAATCAGATGTTTTTACTTTCCTCACACAGTTTTTAACTCAAATTAACATTTTAATTTTCAGTCAGAAACTGAGAAAAGAAGAACATCCTGTGCTCCATGAATAATTAAATTATCTATGTAACACGCCGTTTACTCGAGCTAAACATTTGTGGTAGATTTAAGGAAAGTAGGAACGTTTACATAAACTTAAACATCACATTATTACTTGTAGCCAAACTTGATTTAATAAACAGAAGAAATGGTCCACAGAAAACATGAACATGGACACCTATGCTCATAAATCCCTCAGTGAGAATCAACAGTGTGATAATTCTTGTGCAGTAACCATGTACTATTAAAGATCTGAATGTCCAAGAAAACCTCTGATTTGGTCCTAAAACAGATTAAAATAAACTCTAAAGGTTCCTGTTATTCTTATCTGAGCAAATTATTTTCAGCTCTAGTCCGCCATCTAGTGGACAAAGTAGATACAGCCCTCTCAGGTCATCTTGAAGTTCACAGTGTTTTGATTTTGGGGTGTTTTTCAGACCTGACCTCTGACCCTCTAGACTGAAGCGGTTTGAGTCTTTGTATCGTCTCAAGTGTGTGAAGTTGAGTTCAGCTTCAGCTTGTTCTTATGTCTCATCCGTCTGGGGAGATTCTTGCAGTTGAAACTCGACTTCACCGTCTCACTCTGGGGCCGTCTATAAAAGGAAAAAAAAAGGAACAGAGGGAGTAAACTGGAGGCTTGAAGTGTGAAAACAAAACCTCAGAAATCTTACAAAGTTTGCAAAAACTCACGAGGAGGCGGCTTTCAGTTTCTATGGTCCCCGTTTGTGGAACAGTCTGCTGGAGAGTCTCATGATTACATCACTTCCAATACACTTCAATCAATATTATCAGTAAGATTATTCATATAGAAATAAACCAGTGATATCTTTCACATGTTGTCAGTAAATAACGGCAAAAGATTAAACGACTGAAAGCTGGGAGATAAGTGAACTGACAGGAAACTGAATTAAAGTATTTGTTTAGATGTTAATTCATCATGAAAAGAGGCTGACAAGAATCCTTTATGGAAGTGTCTCAAATTAGTAAGGCTTTATGGATATCTGTTTTTCAGGGTCAGAACAGGTTCTGATCATCAGTAGGTCACAACACTTGAGGCCTTGAGACCACTGAGGCGCCAAAGACCCAGAATTCCCATTTACTGATTTATTTGGATGGACTGGTGTGGTCAATTTTACAATCATTCATTCATTCATCCGTGGTTATTGTCGCTGCAATAACTGAAACAGGAAGAAGACTCTTAGTTTAGTTGTTTATTATTGACATATCTGACAAATACACTTTGACATTAGTGACATTTGCTGGTACGATCAGAGAAAGATGAGGTCTTAAACTCAGCAGAGAGACTTTAAAGATGAGAATAAAGAATGATGAGTACGATTTGAGCTGATTTAACAGTCTGGTGTGAAGGTAAAGAAGTTCTGAACACTGATAAAATAACACTTGATTAAACTGATCAAAACTGTAACATTGGTTTAGTGAAGTAAGAAGTAATGCTGCATATTTAAAAAAAGATGGACTTAAATTGTTGGTATCCATACTGATGTGGATTTTAAAGTAAAAACATCATAATAATGTAGATTTATGATATTAATGATGGTTATCGTTGTTCAGAACATCTACTCAGTGTGATTGACTGGAGAGATGATCAGAGGAGCAGAGTTTTCACCACCATCGTTAGGACATGGACAGAAGTATGGAAAGAGTTTTTCTGTGAAGGAGCAGCCGGTGAAGGAGTAGATCAGAGCTGCAGCATCAACGTCATAAAAGGAGACCAGACCCTCCTCATAGTCCACAAACACCCCCACCTTCTCAGGATCAGACTGAAGACAGAGATCGACTGAAGGGTCATCAAGAGCTTCGTACTCATTTTCATTTCTCAACACAATCGTCCAGAAACCATCTTCAGGAGTCAGAGTGATTTCTCCCTTCCTGTTGATGGACTCTCTAACTACTCCTAAATCCCAGTCAGTCTTCCCTTTAACCTGAACCTCAAAGTAAAATCTGCCTGAAGAAAAACTCTGCTTTGATAAAACACAAACACATTTATCAAATCTCTCTGGATTGTCTGGTAGATTCTTCTCTTCATCACCACAATAAACTTGTTTTCCATCATCAGACAGGATGAGATATGGATTTGCTGTATCAGGATCGAGTGTCACATCCACCTCACACTGCTGGACTCTCTTCAGCTCGGCCTCAATCAGCTTCTTCATTAGTTCCCTGAGCGTCTCCTCCAGCTGGTCCACAGCTCTCACCACAGTCCCCTCATATGAAGGTGGATGGACGCGGACTTCAGTCCAGTTCTTGGTGGGTGGAGCAGCGTTCAGGGTGGTGAAGTTTTGGAGGAGGTGGAGGTGGTCTTCAGAGCGTGAGAGCTGCTCCAGCTCAGAGCTCCTCTTCTCCAGCTCCCAGATTTCCTGTTGCAGCTCTGTGATGAAGCCTTCAGCCTGTTCCTCCGTCTCTCTCTGCTTCTCTTTGATGGTGTGGATGAACTCGGCCTGGCTTCTCTCTACAGATTCTTTCAGAGCCGTGAAGACCTCCACACCTTCAGCCATCTCTCTGTCTGCATTCTTAGTACTGAGCTCCACTGACTCTTTGAGCTCTTCAATCTTCAGTCGTCTCTCCAGGATCATCTGCTGAATTTCAGCCTCTGTCTTCCCCAGCTCGGCCTTCTTTCCTTCATATTCTTCTCTCAGAGGAACAACATCATGGGTCCTGTGGTCTGTAACACTGCAGAGCATGCAGACACACATCTGGTCATTCTTACAGAACAGCTCCAGCAGTTTGTCGTGTTTCTCACACATCCTGACTGACACATGAGCTGACTGTCTGAACTGAGCGGACATCTCAGAGATGAAGGTGTTGATCTTCAGCTCTGGTCTTCTGAAGAAAACCTCGTTACAGTTTGGACACTGATGTGGAACATTGACATCCCAGTGTTGAGAGATGCAGGATTTACAGAAGTTGTGTCCACATGGTATGGTGACAGGATCAGTGAAGACATCCAGACAGATGGAGCACAGGAACTGATCTTCAGTCAGCAGACAGCTGGCAGCAGACATTTTTACAACCTGAGGATTATCAGTGGAAGATCAACACGTTAAAACACTAAACATATACTGTAGATCTATTTTTGAGTCTATCCTTGTCATCATCATCGTGATACTGTCATGAATAATTTGGTGACTTTCAGTTAAATTCTGGCCTAAATCTGGAAAAAGGAAAGACTGCAGAGTGTTTTTGGAAAAAGCAGAACAATATTTTTAAAATCCTGGAGACTTTGACTCATCTGAACTCTGACCTCACCTGAAAGTCTACAGCATCCTCTAACAATGTAACAAGAAAGAAGGTCAAACTTTGATCACAGTACTCTGTGTGTCAGTGGACTTGGACACACTAATGATCCTGAAAGTCAAGAAAACCTTCAGCTGTTAAAAAGTTCAATATCTGATGAAGATTTAAAGTCACAGAGTGATCGCATCGAAAGACTGTGAGCCAGTCAACCAGTGAGGAGACATCCTCAGGTTGGCAGGTTGTGATGACTCATATATCTTGGCACTAAGGGAGAATTTTATTGTTCTTTAATGTTTAACAGGAAATAAGCAGACTTTGAGTTTGGTGTCAGACACACCCATCCATCAAGTTAAAACAGGAACAACGATTCTGGTTATAAAGTCAAACAGCAGGAACTCTGATATATAAAAAAGCTTCAAGTTAAAACATCTTCCCAAGACTAATTACAGTTGTAGAAGTTGTAAAACATGAATTTTGTGGTTTAATTGTCATGAAGAAGTCTCCCTGATAAAAATGGACCCCGCCCTCGTCACTTTCTGAACTCATGAAACCAGCGGGCGTTTTCCAACAGCAGAGAGCTCGGCTGGTTTGTAAGTAGCTGAATGAGTTAATCTGGTGTTTTCTGTGTGATGGCTGAATATACCTGCTGACTTATCTGTGAATGTGCCCAACAAACTCAATCAGTGAGATTTGAAAGCATCAAAACTTCATGACTGAAAAAGGAAGATAAAAGTCTGTGAAATAGCTCAACATTAGCACTTTGTGGAGTTTAGACCAGCCTGAGGACAGTCACTGTAGTTTGGTTTTTGAAGCAGTTTTGTGGTCAAGTTTAACAAAATGTTGACTGAAAAGTGTTTTTTATCTTTGTTAGTCAGTGTACTCACCGTTTTTGAAGTCAATCCTTCTGGTGAATTTGTTTGAACAGAGATATAAAGAGACTTGTCTCGACTGCAGCTCTGCTGTGCTCAGATCACTTTTACTTTCAGTTCAGGAAAAATCTGGTTGTTTACGTTCGTCCTTTTTCAGTGTTGCTCCTCCTCTCAGAGAAGCTCTAAGAGGAGGAGTTTCATACTTGGTTTAAGTTAAGAATGACAGCTGTGGAACAAGGAGACTTTACAGGTAATTTGATTTTACAGTGAAAGTAACACAACAGCAGAGGAGGAAGAGTACAGGACAAGCAGAGACCTGTGCCAAAGCACAGAGACCGTAGACCTGTCTGTAGTTGGAATTGTATCCCTAACGTGTGTCTAAATAAATTTCTTTCTCTTTCAAATCAAAATTTTAGAAGTTAAGAGAGCACATTTGAATTTACAAGTTGATAAAAGTAACTGCAGTAGCAGAGAAATCTGCTGAAAAAGGACAAAATACAGAATCCTCTTCCTCTGTTTTCTCTGTCCCTCCACTCTGCTGTGTGTGTGTGTGTTTGTTCTCAGGCTCTCTCACACACATGCCCCTCCCCCTCAGTAAACATCCAATCACTGTTTAGTATGCAAATGAACCAGGAAGCGTCCAGACTATGGTGTCAGGTTTCAGCAGGTAGGGTAAGATTTCAAAGAAGCAGCAGAGCTTTGACAAATTTGTCTGAGTGACTCTGAGATAATTAATAATGAACAAAAACAAGTTAATTTAAATATATGTAGCCCCCTCACTCAATTCCTATTTTTTAAAAATACTATTACCTACCGGATCATACACACAGTATTTTGCATAGGAGAGGAAGTGGTGATGCTACAAAATATAAACCAGGGAATTGTGTGACGTGTCTGTGTGAGTGTTAACTCCCATGCATGTCTTAAGATAGCCCCCCAAATGTGCACAACATCAATCAATCAATCAATCAATCAATCAAATTTTTTTTATATAGCACTTTACAATATCCCAAATGGTACCCAAAGTGCTTTACATAAAAGCAATAAAATAACACAAGAAAAAATACCATTATAAAATAATACAATAGAATACAATAATACAAGAACGATGAAATAATAAAAATGAATATGAAAATAAAATAATACAATAAAATAGTATGTAGAAGTGCTAAAAACCTATAAGTACAGGACTACCTAGTCAGAGTTAAAAGCAAGTCTAAAAAGGTGCGTCTTTAACTTTGATTTAAATAAACTGAGGTCAGTGGTGGTGCGTACATCTAGCGGCAGTCTGTTCCACAGCCTAGGAGCTGCAACAGCAAAAGAACGATCACCCCACTGTTTGAGTTTTGACCTCGGGACCTCCAACAGGCGCTGACCGGAGGAACGGAGGGCCCTGCCATGATCGCGAACAGTTAAAATCTCTGACAGGTAGGAGGGGGCCAGGCCATTTATGGCAAAAAAGTAAATAATTAAAGTTTAAAGTCAATTCTAAAACAAACTGGAAGCCAGTGTAGCGAAGACAGCACAGGGGTGATGTGTTCACGCCTAGACGTGCCCGTTAAAAATCGTGCAGCAGCGTTCTGTACAAGCTGGAGACGGGAGATTAAAGACTGGCTGAGGCCAACATAAAGGGCATTACAATAGTCCAGTCTGGAACTGATGAAGGCATGGATTGCCTTCTCGAGGTCCTGCCGACTTAAAAAGGACTTCACTTTGGCCAGGAGACGCAGTTGAAAAAAGCTGGTACTGACGACAGATCTAATCTGTTTATCGAACTTAAGTCCACTGTCAAATGTTACCCCAAGATTCTTTACATGCGGCTTGAAAAAAGGCGCCAGATTTCCAGAGTCTGTAATCGAAACGTTTGATATCGATGGCGTGCCAAATAAAATACACTCAGTTTTGCTGTCATTTAGGTGCAAAAAGTTCAGAGCCAACCACTGTTTTACTTCAGTAATATAGTCCAGTAAGTGAGAAAGTGCACTGTTCTCGTTGGGTCGCATGGGCAAATATAACTGTAAGTCATCAGCATACGAATGAAAAGACAGATTGTATTTTCTTATAATTGATCCCAGGGGTAGTAAATACAAAGAGAACAGAATAGGGCCAAGAATAGAGCCCTGTGGCACCCCACAAGAGAGAGGCGCCTGTGAGGAGCAGAGGTCACCAATCATCACGGAAAAACTCCTATCTGCCAGGTACGACTTAAACCATTTGAGAGCGGTGCCACGGATGCCTACATACTGCTCAAGGCGAGATACAAGGATTGCATGATCGACTGTATCAAAAGCCGCTGTGAGGTCCAGCAGGACCAGCACAGCGGGGTTTCCAGCATCCACGGACAGGGCAATATCATTATGTACCTTTAACAGTGCTGACTCAGTGCTATGTCGAGACCTGAAACCAGACGGAAATTTATCAAGAACAGAATTTACCTCTAAAAATGCATGCAATTGAAAGGAGACAACTTTTTCCAAAACCTTAGAAAGAAATGGCAGGTGGGAGACAGGCCCAAAATTGGACAGCACAGTGGGGTCAAGATGCGTTTTTTTGAGGAGGGGCCTAACCACAGCATGTTTGAAAGCAGCTGGGACAGACCCTGAGCTAAGACAGGTGTTGATAAAAAACAGCAAGCTTGATCCAACAGAACTAAATACCTCCTTTAGAAACTTGGCTGGAATAATGTCTAAGGGACAGTTAGTGGGTTTTAAGCCACTAACCACCTTAGTGAGAGACGACAGAGAAATTGTTTCGAAGTTCTCAAAAACAGCAGATAGTGCAGGAGGAGCACACACATCATTGGGGGACGTTAACATATAACTGATATTCTGCCTGACTGATGCCACTTTGTCTATGTCAATCAACAGCAACTATACGTTTAAATTCACAAATGTTCACATTTATTCACAGGATGAAGAAATAAAAAGAGAGGAAAAAAAATAGTTCTTAATACGCGGGATTTTATAAATCAGTCTGTGGTACCACGTACGTTGGCGCGCTGTTGGAGCTCTTGTGTGGGTGTGATTTCCAAGTCGTTTGTACTCACGGTCCCTTACAAATTTAGTGTGTTGTTATAACCATCATGGAAGCACAGAATGGAAGAAGGAGAAAGTCGGTCCGCATGCCGAAGTCCCTGGGCGCGGCAAGTCCGGAGCACCTCTACTGTCGCAGCACGAGTGGCCAGAATCCGAAGCACACTGACAGCACAAAAAAAAAAAAACTTCACATACACGTACTCACTCACAAAGTGCCTGAGATGACAATAAGCAGTCTGATACTCACTCAGGAACTCCGACCTCGCACATGCATCCTGACTCCAGTCTTCCTCTGCTCCTGCACAGTCGATGCTAGTCAGCTAACAATTTAGCATATAGCACATTTACGAACCTCACTGAATTTACCAACAACACTCACCCGCACGTCTCGAAACAACCACACACCCCCGCCCCGATCCAATACACCGAGCCTCAATCCTGTTGGGTCTTCATTTAACACTTAACAACGAAAGAACAAACTTTCACACTATTATTTCGCCTTCTCTCGGCATCGCTTGTCAGCATTTTTCCGCTCTGTCAATCACCGCTTCTCTCTCACTGAGATGAAAACCCCGTCTTCCCAAAAACTGACAGGTCCCACTCCTCACCCAAACTTGACAATGATTGGCGATACGCTCGTGACACCTGTCAATCACGCAATACAGGGACAACCGGACATGAGGCGTTCAAGGTCTGCCTTAACTGCGGGATATTTGAAAACTTTGACCCAAAAATTACATTCCTGAGATTATGAGGTGATCTTACATCATCAACAAGAAAAATAAGAGCTATCACAGAATCAAACAACTTAAAGAATGAACTCAAATTAATAAGGCACTACATATAACAGAGGAGTGGAGAGGAAAAGAGAGAGAGGAGTGAGAGAAAAGAGAGAGGAGATTTTTGAGCTGTTTAGTTGTGACCAAAAAATAAAAGTTCCAGCCAAAAAAAGAGAAAAAGAAAAGAAAATGCTCTATATCTGTTGTGTTTTATAAATTAGTATTTAACTATTTTTATCATTATTCATAAAACTACCTTTCATTTTTGTAAATATTGACTTTTCGTGTCGTTCATGAGCCCAAACAAAGTTAGCGTGATACAATATCGGACAGTAGAAACCAACCAGAAAGTACAGAAACTTGCGTGAATCCTCCCTTAGCCACGACTGCCGACACAAGCAAGAAAACACAGTAAATATCGGAGACTCTGGAGGAATAACGGGCGCTTAAAACGGAGGTAGACCGGACAAGAGCTAAGTGTGACAAGTTGAAAGTACTATATTCTCATCTGTTACATGTTAAAAATAGTATGTGAAAAGGTAAAAGAATAATACATATTATTTAACAGCTTTAAAAGGGGACAATAAGTTCATGGTCTGTAATATTATTAAAATGCTTGAAAAGGTAAAATCTCACAGAAATGCTGATATGATTAAAAAGATTAATAACAAGAGGGTTAAAGAAGGCGGGGGAGGTGGATGATGGGGGAGTCATCGATCCGGATAAACTCCACGAGAAACACCAAAAAACCTCGGATATGTTGAAATTATTTCGGTTATGTGATCAAGATTAATCTCATTTCAATTTTTGAGAAGTTTGTTTTTGCTTGCTTTTTCTAAATCGGTCTTAAATCAGATGTTTTTACTTTCCTCACACAGCTTTTAACTCAAATAGACATTTTAATTTCCAGACAGAAACTGAGAAAAGAAGAACATCCTGTGCTCCATGAATAATTAAATCATTTATGTAACACGCCGTTTACTCGAGCTAAACATCTGTGGTAGATTTAAGGAAAGTATGAACGTTTACATAAACTTAAACATCACATTATTACTTGTAGCCAAACTTGATTTAATAAATAGAAGAAATGGTCCACAGAAAACATGAACATGGACACCTATGCTCATAAATCCCTCAGTGAGAATCAACAGTGTGATAATTCTTGTGCAGTAACCATGTACTATTAAAGATCTGAATGTCCAAGAAAACCTCTGATTTGGTCCTAAAACAGATTAAAATAAACTCTAAAGGTTCCTGTTATTCTTATCTGAGCAAATTATTTTCAGCTCTAGCACGCCATCTAGTGGACAAAGTAGATACAGCCCTCTCAGGTCATCTCGAAGTTCACAGCGTTTTGATTTTGGGGTGTTTTTCTGACCTGACCTCTGACCCTCTAGACTGAAGCGGTTTGAGTCTTTGTATCGTCTCAAGTGTGTGAAGTTGAGTTCAGCTTCAGCTTGTTCTTATGTCTCATCCGTCTCTCATCCGTCTGGGGAGATTCTTGCAGTTGAAACTCGACTTCACCGTCTCACTCTGGGGCCGTCTATAAAAGGAAAAAAACAGGAACAGAGGGAGTAAACTGGAGGCTTGAAGTGGGAAAACAAAACCTCAGAAATCTTACAAAGTTTGCAAAAACTCACGAGGAGGCGGCTTTCAGTTTCTATGGTCCCCGTTTGTGGAACAGTCTGCTGGAGAGTCTCAGGGCCACAGAGACTGTTGATGTTTTGAAGTGAGCACATTTAATCATGATTATATCACTTCCAATACACTTCAATCAATATTATCAGTAAGATTATTCATATAGAAATAAACCAGTGATATCTTTCACATGTTGTCAGTAAATAATGGCAAAAGATGAAACAACTGAAAGCAGGGAGATAAGTGAACGGACAGGAAACTGAATTAAAGTATTTGTTTAGATGTTAATTCATCATGAAAAGAGGCTGACAAGAATCCTTTATGGAAGTGTCTCAAATCAGTAAGGGTTTATGGATATCTGTTTTTCAGGGTCAGAACAGGTTCTGATCATCAGTAGGTCACAACACTTGAGGCCTTGAGACCACTGAGGCTCCAAAGACCCAGAATTCCTATTTACTGATTTATTTGGATGGACTGGTGTGGTCAATTTTACAATCATCCATTCATTCATCCGTGGTTATTGTCGCTGCAACAACTGAAACAGGAAGAAGACTCTTAGTTTAGTTGTTTATTATTGACATATCTGACAAATACACTTTGACATTAGTGACATTTGCTGGTACGATCAGAGAAAGATGAGGTCTTAAACTCAGCAGAGAGACTTTAAAGATGAGAATAAAGAATGATGAGTACGATTTGAGCTGATTTAACAGTCTGGTGTGAAGGTAAAGAAGTTCTGAACACTGATAAAATAACACTTGATTAAACTGATCAAAACTGTAACATTGGTTTAGTGAAGTAAGAAGTAATGCTGCATATTTAAAAAAAGATGGACTTCAATTGTTGGTTTCCATACTGATGTGGATTTTAAAGTAAAAACATCATAATAATGTAGATTTATTATATTAATGATGGTTATTGTTGTTCAGAACATCTACTCAGTGTGATTGACCGGAGAGATGATCAGAGGAGCAGAGTTTTTACCACCATCGTTTAGAAAGGGACTAAAGTATGGAAAGAGTTTTTCTTTGAAGGAGCAGCCGGTGAAGGAGTAGATCAGAGCTGCAGCATCAACGTCATAAAAGGAGACCAGACCCTCCTCATAGTCCACAAACACCCCCACCTTCTCAGGAGCAGACTGAAGAGAGAGACGGACTGAAGGGCTAGCACAAGCTTCGTACTCATTTTTATTTCTCAACACAATCGTCCAGAAACCATCCTCAGGAGTCAGGGTGATGTCTCCCTTCCTGTTGATGGACTCTCTAACTACTCCTAAATCCCACTCAGTCTTCCCTTTAACCTGAACCTCAAAGTAAAATCTGCCTGAAGACAAACTCTGCTTTGATAAAACATTAACACAACGATCAAATCTCTCTGGATTGTCTGGTAGATTCTTCTCTTCATCACCACAATAAACTTGTTTTCCATCATCAGACAGGATGAGATCAGGATGTGCTGTATCAGGATCGAGTGTCACATCCACCTCACACTGCTGGACTCTCTTCAGCTCGGCCTCAAACAGCTTCTTCTTCAGTTTCCTGAGCGTCTCCTCCAGCTGGTCCACAGCTCTCACCACAGTCCCCTCATATGAAGGTGGATGGACTCGGACTTCAGTCCAGTTCTTGGTGGGTGGAGCAGCGTTCAGGGTGGTGAAGTTTTGGAGGAGGTGGAGGTGGTCTTCAGAGCGTGAGAGCTGTTCCAGCTCAGAGCTCCTCTTCTCCAGCTCCCAGATTTCCTGTTGCAGCTCTGTGATGAAGCCTTCAGCCTGTTCCTCCGTCTCTCTCTGCTTCTCTTTGATGGTGTGGATGAACTCGGCCTGGCTTCTCTCTACAGATTCTTTCAGAGCCGTGAAGACCTCCACACCTTCAGCCATCTCTCTGTCTGCATTCTTATTACTGAGCTCCACTGACTCTTTGAGCTCTTCAATCTTCAGTCGTCTCTCCTGGATCATCTGCTGAATTTCAGCCTCTGTCTTCCCCAGCTCGACCTTCTTTCCTTCATATTCTTCTCTCAGAGGAACAACATCATGGGTCCTGTGGTCTGTAACACTGCAGAGCACGCAGACACACATCTGGTCGCTCTTACAGAACAGCTCCAGCAGTTTGTCGTGCTTCTCACATATCCTTCCTTCCAGGTTCTCCACAGGCTCCATCAGCTGATGTCTTTTCAGACCTGACATTGTCAGGTGAGGCTCCAGGTGAGTCTCACAGTAGGAGGCCAGACACACCAGGCAGGACTTGAGGGCCTTCAGTTTGGTTCCAGTGCAGACATCACAGGGAACTTCTGCTGGTTTGGAAACTTGTTCCTTTGAGCTGCTGCTGCTGGCTTCCTGATGAGCTGACTGTCTGAACTGAGCGGACATCTCAGAGATGAAGGTGTTGACGTGTAGCTCAGGTTTTGGGTTGAAAACCCTTTTACAGTTTGGACACTGACAGGAGGTGTTAGTCTTCCAGTGTTGAGAGATGCAGGATTTACAGAAGTTGTGTCCACATGGTATGGTGACAGGATCAGTGAAGACATCCAGACAGATGGAGCACAGGAACTGATCTTCAGTCAGCAGACAGCTGGCAGCAGACATTTTTACAACCTGAGGATTATCAGTGGAAGATCAACACATTAAAACACTAAACATATACTGTAGATCTATTTTTGAGTCTATCCTTGTCATCATCATCGTGATACTGTCATGAATAATTTGGTGACTTTCAGTTAAATTCTGGCCTAAATCTGGAAAAAGGAAAGACTGCAGAGTGTTTTTGGAAAGAGCAGAACAATATTTTTAAAATCCTGGAGACTTTGACTCATCTGAACTCTGACCTCACCTGAAAGTCTACAGCATCCTCTAACAATGTAACAAGAAAGAAGGTCAAACTTTGATCACAATACTCTGTGTGTCAGTGGACTTGGACACACTAATGATCCTGAAAGTCAAGAAAACCTCCAGCTGTTAAAAAGTTCAATATCTGATGAAGATTTAAAGTCACAGAGTGATCGCATCTAAAGACTGTGAGCCAGTCAACCAGTTAGGAGACGTCCTCAGGTTGGCAGGTTGTGATGACTCATGTATCTTGGCACTAAGGGAGAATTTTATTGTTCGTTAATTTTGAACAGGAAATATGCCACCTTTGAGTTTGGTGTCAGACACACCCATCCATCAGGTTGGAATGTAAGTAGCTGAACCAGTTAATCTGGTGTTTTCTGTGTGATGGCTGAATATACCTGCTGACTTATCTGTGAATGTGCCCAACAAACTCAATCAGTGAGATTTGAAAGCATCAAAACTTCATGACTGAAAAAGGATGATAAAAGTCTGTGAAATAGCTCAACATTAGCACTTTGTGGAGTTTAGACCAGCCTGAGGACAGTCACTGTAGTTTGGTTTTTGAAGCAGCTTTGTGGTCAAGTTTAACAAAATACTGTTGACAAGTTAGTTTGTGTTTTTTCTGCTTTTTAAAGCAGTGTACTCACCGGTTGTTGATGGTTTATTCTCCTGATGAATTTGTCTTTACAGAGGAGCAAACAGACTCGTCCTGACGGCAGCGCTGCTGTGGTTAAGTAAACTTTCACTTTTATCTCAGGGAGGGACAGGTTAAAGTATGTCTTTGCAAATCTAGGAGGAGGAGTGTATAACCTGATTGAAGAAAATGCCCTGACACGACTCTTGAAAAAAGTGAGAATTTATTTCTTGTTTTTTCTTGTTATTACCGAGACAGAGGGGAAGACAAGGACTAATAACACACAGGGTGACAAAAAAACTAAACTAACAAGAACCTATCATGAAATAACCCTCCCTAGAGATGGATTTCAGACGTGCCAAAAAGTTTATTAGCAAAAATCAACAATTTCAAAAGCCTGATAACAACTTAAGTTAACTTGTTAATGTGTGAAAATGGAGTAAATTGCAACGTATGGACGCATGTCTGCTTCTGTATTTTTTAAAAATGTGAGAAAATTACAAACACAATATCCCAAGTAGGTTACATTCAAGAGAATTATGTTGTGCTGTTTAGGGCTGTGGTGCATGGAAGTCGATGAGTTTTCTTCCACATTTCCATAGTCGATATTAGAAATATGAAACTACAAGTAAATGAAAGCTGGCCTTTGTTCACTTGTGAAGTTTGTGATTCCTGTTGGTATGAGGGACCACCAACACCACCAACACCAACCTTTACTCAACGATTGTGGAGAAAAGTTTTTGGATGCCTCGTGTGTTTGTGATATATTGCATGAGGAATCACTTTTCAGTCTCCAAGTGCAATTTCTTTTCGTACAATCCAGGCCTGGGACGATAACAAATTTTGCTGGACGATAAATTGGCCCACAAATTATTGACGATAAACAATATCATTGTTGACATTATCTAGACCAATATAACCACTTGTGTAATGTTAATATATCATAATGCAAGTACACCCTTTCAGATGCAACAATCAAACCTTCATTTCTCATTGGACTGTCCAGAACGAAAACTTTTAAATATCCTAAATAAATAAAACAAACGAACAACAATAAAATGCTGGCTTTTCAACTGTATTAAATGGCAGCATTTCTTTGGCAATGTAGTGAACAACACTTTCTGTGAGCGCACAACATTTTGCGCTGTTCTGACTGTATCTTGCTTTATCAACCAAACGCTTCAGTAAGCGTTGACTGTCGGGCCGACGGTTCTGCATCTTGGGTTTTTTTTTTTCCCAGCTGGGAAAACTCGACCAGGTGATAGTGTTTGAGGTGGGCATGCAAGTTTGTGGTGTTGCCTTATTTTGTTGCTACCATTTTTAAACAAAGTTGGCATACTGGTTCGTCTATGTTGATGATCCCACCTTGCTCATTGGGCTTGAAGCCGAAATATTCCCACACCGGGGCTGTGGCCTTTGGCTTTGCTCTTCCATGCCCCTCACGTGGCTAACTAGTCTACTCTGTCTTGTGCGCTTGCGGATCTGCGGCATCTCCCCCATCAGATACAAAGATCCTGAAAGACTGACAAGATGGTTCACTCTCTTCATTAGATTCCGCTAAGGCACAAACGCGCCCAGGTGCTGACACCGATGCACAGAGTGAACCATCGTGTCATCCAGCGTGTTTGGAGGCGCAAGACGAGGAAAACAAATACACGCGTGCACATGGCGATATATCAAGGCCGGAAAAATTATTGAGTTCCTTTTCACTTATCGTGCGGTTAATTGATTTATTGATTATCGTCCAAGGCCTTGTACAATCTCAACCAAAACACTAGTCCAATCATAAAAGCCAGTAAAAACATCATATTGATTAAGTTAATAGAAATATGTAAGAGATTTTGAATATTGAGTCATTTTGGTACCACTGATCACTAATGACTCTAGTCATGCCTTTTATTGTAGACACAGTTTTGTTGTTGTCCTTTGTGTCGATGTAAAGTCAGCATGTTTGAAGAAATTACTGCATCCTGGTCCTGATCCTGTGCAGGGAAAACCACCAAATGACATCACACGCGCTTCAGCAGCAGTGGTCTAACCAAACCAGTGTCCAGTGTTCCACCTGCACTGTACATGGCCGACTCCTAGATCATGGCTTGAGGTCCGGCAAAGCTGTCAAGAAGCCCCTGATCAGTGAGAGACCAAGCACACAAAAACTGGACAGCCAGGAACTAGTAGAAGATTCTTTGGTGGGATGAGTCCAGTTTCCAGTTTAATCCTCCTTCTGTTAATGTGAGTGTACGCAGAAGGTTAGGTGAAGCATTATCTCCAACATGTACAGTAGCTACCGTCAAGCATAGTGGAGGTGGTATCCTGGTTTGGGGATGTGCGAGTGCTGCTGGTGTTGGACATCTCACTGTCTGTGATGGTACACTGAACTCTGCAAAGTTTTGTGGCGTTCTTGAAACCCACATGCTCCCTCCTGCACGTGCACAGGTCTGTCCAGGTTGAAACTGGATGCTAGGTGATTCCCAAATCTGTGGATTTGGTTTATCAAGAAGTCCATTTCAAACATAGACTGTATATACTATGGACAACTTGGCTTCGCCTTCAGCCATCATATGAATTTGAAGCCGAATTGCTCTCGGTATTTCCGGGATATTCTCCACTTCCTGGAACCACCACTTGTGCAGTAGCGTTGTACGCATTCAGTGGGAGAGTCGCTGTGATGACGCTCTGCTCAAACAGCATATGCCGCGGATGAGCTACATAATCTTCATACGCCCATAGGCTGTATCAAGTGTCAATCAAAGAAAACATGAACCCCCTAATAACTTTTAAAAACGGAGCTGTACAGAAAAAAACGGACTTGAGCACAAACCAGTCTTACTGTAACTACATGTCAACATCACAACCAGGGGGGAGAAACATTTATATTCTGTGTAATTAATTTCTAAAGTTTGTCCACAGCTCCATAGGGATTGCTGGAGGAGGAGGGATTTATGACCTATACTGCAGCCCGTCACCAGAGGTCGCTGTTCTCGCGGTGGCTTCACCCAGCGAGGAGGCAGACAGCGTCCATTCTATAAACAGTTTATAGTTTTAAAGCTTACACCAAAGAAACTGGAAGAATTAAAGGAAGTGATTCAAGAATGAGACAGGGTTACCCCTCAACAATGTGAAAGGCTGGTGGAGAATATACCAATCAGGGTTCAAGCTCGACTGCATGCTAACAGCAGGACTACTAAATATTAATTTGATGATGTGATGGTTTATTTAGATTTTGTCCAGTTTTGAACAATCCTGTTATTAACTCTGATATCGACATAATAGAGAACTAACATGCTGAAACATCAACGTTTTTACTTTTATTTGTTCTTGTTAATGAACAAAAACATCATTTGCATTTTTTTATGGAAGTGTCTCAAATTAGTAAGGGTTTATGGATATCTGTTTTTCAGGGTCAGTACAGGTTCTTGTCATCAGTAGGTCACAACACTTGAAGCCTTGCTATTTTATCACCACAGTACAGCCCTGTAATGTAATTCCAGATATTATTATCAAGAAAAACAGTTATAAAGTGATAACTCATTCTTGGTACAACCATTAAAATCAGACATGAATGATGTGAAGTCAGTTTATTACATGTCTGTTCACAAGAGGAGTCATTGATGAAGGCAGACTGAGAAGAGACTTACAGAGAGACTTAAACTTTTTCTGATCTCACACAGACGGTCGCTGATCCAAAAAGTCATGATTTATGTGTTTTTGCCTTTTCGGCCATTAGATCTGTGTTCTCAATTGCAGATATACGATATGTTTTAATGTTTTAGACCACTGAGTCGCCAAAGACCCAGAATTCTCATTTACTGATTTATTTGGATGGACTGGTGTGGTCAATTTTACAATCATCCATTCATTCATTCATCCGTGGTTATTGTCGCTGCAATAACTGGAACAGAAAGCAGACTGTTAGTTTAGTTGTTTATTATTGACATATCTGACAAATACTCTTTGGGCTCTATTTTCGTGCCTCGCCAGAGACGTGCCGCAGGTGCGGCATAAGTCAGGTCCGCTGCGCCAACAAGGCGTTCCCAAGCACAATTTGGTATTTTTGTGAGCAGCGCAGCCCGGCGTAAGTATCCCCCCTCCCTAACTCAGCTCCTCCCAGCGGCTTAAATCGTTGCAAGGGAGGAGAGAGGGCGTGGAATGGATTTAACAGCCGAGACCAGTTTTCACCAATCACATAAGCTCCTCTCCTGGCCTTTAAATCCGCCACCGGCGAGGCATATTACTATTTTTGTGAAGTAGTCAGAGAGATCAAGAGATGTCTGAAGATAGTAATGCCACACGATGGTGACAAAGGGCAGCAGCTCAACAAGTGTCACTGTAAGCGCTGCATTGGGTATCCTCCACACTCTCTCATATGAGCACAGATGGATTTGGTGTGTGTAATGTTGGACCCACGGGTAAGAAAAACACCCTTTTCCACTAATTAAGACACTTACATAAAGTTGCGTATATTCAAACCTCACGTGACAAAGGTGGGTTGTGCGCACAGATCACAACATAAACTCCAAAAATGGCATTAAAATTAAAATAAAATTAAAATTAAATGACGCATCGCGCTCCGTGGCCTGGCTCTTTCGTTCATAGATGTTGGCATATAAAATAAATTTGGCTCTCAAAACTGAATATTATAATATCCGTATGTCGGCTTGAAGTAGATAACGCATCCGAGCACTGAAACAAATCATCTGTTCAGCCGCCGCTGCAGCAAGACGGAGAGAGGACATGGAGACATGTCCAGGTCGAGCTGCGCGAAAATAAGAGGAAGAGGAAGAAAGAAAAGGAGGGAGACGAATTACATATCTAGTTAACTTCATCATGTGTGTCTATTTACTAGATATTTAATTCAATTAAATGCGGTTTCAGCTGTGTTGATTCGGTCAGGTTGTGTGTCCAAACGCGTGCCAAATGCGCTCATCAGATCAGATATAGATCAGAATATATCTATATAGATCTAGATGTATGTGCTGACTCAGATTATTAGTTGTTGATTATTATTTATTGCACTGAAATGTGCCTGACACTGTGGAAACCTGTCGGTGAGGCATTGGTGACGTATGCCGATACGCCGCTGGTCTACCAAATTACCACTAGACCAGCTGCGCTCCGCCTGCACTGAAAGCTGACCAGGTTTGAATCGGCGAGCTTTCAGTGCACTTTACACGACACTGGCGAGCACGAAAATGTCACTGCGCCCGCTGATTCTGTCGACACCTCCCCCTGCCACCCCACCACGCCCAGCTTGGCGGACCTCGGTTCGCCTCCGTGTGCCTCAGTCCACGAAAATACCAAACTGGCTTTATGCCGGGCTCCGCCAGACAAAAATACAACTGCGCGGGGTCCGCCACCCTCCGTCGCCTCGCCGGCGTACATGAAAATAGAGCCCTTTGACATTAGTGACATTTGCTGGTACGATCAGAGAAAGATGAGGTCTTAAACTCAGCAGAGAGACTTTAAAGATGAGAATAAAGAATGATGAGTAGGATTTGAGCTGATTTAACAGTCTGGTGTGAAGGTAAAGAAGTTCTGAACACTGATAAAATAACACTTGATTAAACTGATCAAAACTGTAACATTGGTTTAGTGAAGTAAGAAGTAATGCTGCATATTTAAAAAAAGATGGACTTAAATTGTTGGTATCCATACTGATGTGAATTTTAAAGTAAAAACATCATAATAATGTAGATTTATTCTATTAATGATGGTTATCGTTGTTCAGAACATCTACTCAGTGTGATTGACCGGAGAGATGATCAGAGGAGCAGAGTTTTTATCACCATAGTTGTCGCAGGGACTTAAGAATGGAAAGAGTTTTTCTTTAGAGGAGCAGCCGGTGAAGGAGTAGATCAGAGCTGCAGCATCAACGTCATAAAAGGAGACCAGACCCTTTTCATAGTCCACAAACACCCCCACCTTCTCAGGAACAGACTGCAGACAGAGATTGACAGGAGGGTCATCAAGAGCTGTGTACTCATTTTCATTTCTCAACCAAATTGTCCAGAAACCTTTCTGAGGAGACAGAGAGTTTTTTCCCTTCCTGTTGATGGACTCTCTAACTACTCCTAAAGTCCAGTCAGTCTTCCCTTTAACCTGAACCTCAAAGTAAAATCTGCCTGAAGACAAACTCTGCTTTGCTAAGACCATAATGTATTTACTGAATCTCTCTGGATTGTTTGGTAGACTCTTCTTCACATCACCACAATAAACTTGTTTTCCATCATCAGACAGGATGAGAGCTGGATGTGCTGTATCAGGATCGAGTGTCACATCCACCTCACACTGCTGGACTCTCTTCAGCTCGGCCTCAATCAGCTTCTTCTTCAGTTTCCTGAGCATCTTCTCCAGCTGGTCCACAGCTCTCACCACAGTCCCCTCATATGAAGGTGGGTGGACTCGGACTTCAGTCCAGTTCTTGGTGGGTGGAGCAGCGTTCAGGGTGGTGAAGTTTTGGAGGAGGTGGAGGTGGTCTTCAGAGTGTGAGAGCTGCTCCAGCTCAGAGCTCCTCTTCTCCAGCTCCCAGATTTCCTGTTGCAGCTCTGTGATGAAGCCTTCAGCCTGTTCCTCCGTCTCTCTCTGCTTCTCTTTGATGGTGTGGATGAACTCGGCCTGGCTTCTCTCTACAGGTTCTTTCAGAGCCGTGAAGACCTCCACACCTTCAGCCATCTCTCTGTCTGCATTCTGATTACTGAGCTCCACTGACTCTTTGAGCTCTTCAATCTTCAGTCGTCTCTGCAGGATCATCTGCTGAATTTCAGCCTCTGTCTTCCCCAGCTCGGCCTTCTTTCCTTTATATTCTTCTCTCAGAGGAACAACATCATGGGTCCTGTGGTCTTTAACACTGCAGAGCACGCAGACACACATCTGGTCGTTCTTACAGAACAGCTCCAGCAGTTTGTCGTGTTTCTCACATATTCTTCCTTCCAGGTTTTCCACAGGCTCCATCAGCTGATGTCTCTTCAGACCTGACATTGTCAGGTGAGGCTCCAGGTGAGTCTCACAGTAGGAGGCCAGACACACCAGGCAGGACTTGAGGGCCTTCAGTTTGGTTCCAGTGCAGAAATCACAGGGAACTTCTCTTGGTTTGGAAACTCGTTCCTTTGAGCTGCTGCTGCTGGCTTCCTGATGAGCTGACTGTCTGAACTGAGCGGAAATCTCAGAGATTAAGGTGTTGCTCTTCAGCTCTGGTCTTCTGAAGAAAACCTCTTTACAGTTTGGACACCGATGTGGAACACTGACATTCCAGTGTTGAGAGATGCAGGATTTACAGAAGTTGTGTCCACATGGTATGGTGACAGGATCAGTGAAGACATCCAGACAGATGGAGCACCGGAACTGATCTTCAGTCAGCAGACAGCTGGCAGCAGACATTTTTACAACCTGAGGATTATCAGTGGAAGATCAACACATTAAAACACTAAACATATACTGTAGATCTATTTTTGAGTCTATCCTTGTCATCATCATCGTGATACTGTCATGAATAATTTGGTGACTTTCAGTTAAATTCTGGCCTAAATCTGGAAAAAGGAAAGACTGCAGAGTGTTTTTGGAAAAAGCAGAACAATATTTTTAAAATCCTGGAGACTTTGACTCATCTGAACTCTGACCTCACCTGAAAGTCTACAGCATCCTCTAACAATGTAACAAGAAAGAAGGTCAAACTTTGATCACAATACTCTGTGTGTCAGTGGACTTGGACACACTAATGATCCTGAAAGTCAAGAAAACCTCCAGCTGTTAAAAAGTTCAATATCTGATGAAGATTTAAAGTCACAGAGTGATCGCATCTAAAGACTGTGAGCCAGTCAACCAGTTAGGAGACGTCCTCAGGTTGGCAGGTTGAGATGACTCATATATCTTGGCACTAAGGGAGAATTTTACTGTTCGTTAATTTTGAACAGGAAATAAGCCGACTTTGAGTTTGGTGTCAGACACACCCATCCATCTTGTTAAAACAGGAACAACAATTCTTGTTATAAAGTCAAACAGCAGGAACTCTGATATATAAAAAAGCTTCAAGTTGAAACATGAACAAGAATTCTGGTTACGTCACTTTCTGAACTCATGAAACCAGCGGGCGTTTTCCAACAGCAGAGAGCTCGGCTGGTTTGTAAGTAGCTGAATGAGTTAATCTGGTGTTTTCTGTGTGAAGGCTGAATATACCTGCTGACTTATCTGTGAATGTGCCCAACAAACTCAATCAGTGAGATTTGAAAGCATCAAAACTTCATGACTGAAACAGGATGACAAAAGTCTGTGAAATAGCTCAACATTAGCACTTTGTAGAGTTTAGACCAGCCTGAGTACAGTCACTGTAGTTTGGTTTTTGAAACTGTTTTGTGGTCAAGTTTAACAAAATACCGTTCAGAAGTTAGTGTTTTTAAGCAGAGTACTCACCGGTTGTTGATGGTTTATTCTCCTGATGAATATGTCTTTACAGAGGAGCAAATGGACTCGTCCTGACGGCAGCGCTGCTGTCGTTAAGTAAACTTTCACTTTTATATCAGGGAGGGACAGGTTAAAGTATGTCTTGGCAAATCTTAGAGGAGGAGCGTATTACCTGATTGAAGAAAATGCCCTGACACGACTCTTGAACAAAGTGAGAATTTATTTCTTTTTTTTTTCTTGTTATTACTGAGACAGAGGGGAAGACAAGGACTGGTGTCATAGAGAGAGACTAACGCACACACATTGTCAGAGTGTGTGTGTGTGTGTGTGTGTGTGTGTGTCTGTTTATCAATGCATTCTAAACAGATCAAAGGACCAACTGCAAAGGCCTAACTGCAGTGAATTTAGAGCCCCATACTTCTTCACATAGCGCGATTTACTTAAATCCCAGAATGAAAATTAGAACATCGTAGGAGTCCTGAAGTCCTAAAGAATACAATGATGTGTTTTTCATGTCTGCACTCTAAAAAATGTGGCCACAACAGCGAGTTAAACAGATTCAACCCTCAGTGATGATCAGGATTTTCTTGGAGAAAGATTACATTACGGTCAATGGGAGGAACCTCTGCCATTTTTGGACAGTTGGTCACCTGCTGGCCAAGGGGTACGATTTAATGATTTGAAACCTCTTTTGTGAGAAGCAGGACTTATCTTCCTCCGTTTTGATGTATTTTTTATGGCTGTGGAGTGAAATTTGTGGGCGTGGGAGTGATATATTCGAGCGAGGTTTTGTCGATCAAAAAAGGTCTCTCCACTCTAGCGATGACATCATCAGCTCTATCTTCTCCAATACACACCCATTGTAAAGCCTGAAAATTTGCTGAAAACCATGAGGTGCTCAAAGCTAAATTGTGGTAAAACTGTAGAAGATAGCACAAAAAAGTTAATACAACATATTTAGAGGAGAAGATTGAACATTTTAAAGCAAAGATGAGGTCTGTAGGTGAGAGTATGCTGAAGTTATAAGACTGAGAAGGTAGAAGTGTAAAAGGTAGAATTTGAAGATTTCCCCATTCATTTCAATGGGAAAAAAATTTGCACAAAAAGTAAAAAATATCAAAAAGTACAAAGGGTAGAAAAGTGAAAAATACATCCGCACATGTCCTGAAGGAGAGGAATAGTTTAAAAGTTGAACGGCTGAAATAGCACAAAGTGGGAAGGACGCTGCTCCCCTGTGTCGTTCAGGAGCCCAAACAAAGTTAGCGTGGTACAATATCGGACAGTAGAAACCAACCAGAAAGTTCGGAAACTTGTCTGAATCCTTCTTTGGCCACGACTGCCTGAAGTAAATACCGGAGGTAGGTTGAAACGGAGGTAGACCGGACAAGAGCTAAGAAGCCGGGTCAACAATGATGGGGTAGGCTTCGGGATCTTACGGACCCTGTAACCTTTCTGCTGGACAGGTAAACCGCTTTAACAAAGTAAGCCAAGTGTAATAGAAGTGTTTCTTGTCAAACGGGACCTGCTGCATGTTGCAGCGCCACTAAACTGTTGACCTCGGGTCCTGGACTATGTCACTTTATCCTAGTTGTAGAAGTCCTGCAAACATTGTGTTTGCTGGTAGTCTGTTGGCATCTACAGTAGCACCAATGCTTTTTACTTTCACCTTGACAGGGCCCCATTTGTAATTATCTGAAGTATTTATCTGCATTATATCTGAATTTAATTGGAACGATACGAGCGAGCAGGAGCGTCTGTTTGTAGGCGGGGCTTTCTGGAGCAGAGAGGGAGGGGAGAGGAGGAGCTGAGGGGAAAACTGGTTGGGAGGGGTAGAGTTTACATTCAAGATCTCTCACAAAAACTGGAACTTCCTCAGATCCTGACTACCCCACCTTTAACCGGTGATTCCACAGTTCAAAGTCTGACATCTGCATGAGAACTCAGGAGGCTGAGATAAAAACTACACCGTTTGGTCCAGACCTGCTCTTCTGTAAAGCATCATGTGTCCTAAACAAAGACTGATTAATTAAAAAAAGTGTTTTGTCGGTTTGTAAGGCTGGTAGTTAAAATGTAAATAAATGGATCATGAATCTCTCCGTTTAAAGATTTACAATCCTGAAGCATCTCTGAGAACTTCAGTTTTTATTTTGACACTGATATTAAAAAGCAGAAGAGACGCAACAGTGGAGCAGGACTCTGGTTTTCTGGTGACCTTTGACCTGCAGGTGGTTCAGGTGAAGCTGGGCTCAGTCTGTAGAGGGGCGGCCGGTGAAGGTGGTCTGACAGATCTCAAAGCAGGTTTGGCTCCTCCCTCCGTTGCTTTCTGATTGGTATGCCCTCAGACATAAATCCAGCCAGGGGCGCTCACCTAGAGTCGAGTCAAGAAACAGGATTTTTGTGACATTTCTCTGAATCCAGAGTCTCAGATGCAGTTTCTCACCATGCCGCCTGGTTTTACACTCTTAGCAAGACTGGATTCTGCAAAAAATAAGGTTTAATTTTGTTAAACGTGTACCAGGGTTGCTCTCCGGTGGACAGAGGAAGTCCATGATTTGACCGATGCGGTCCTGAGCCTCCTGACCGACCGCTGCAAACTCTGCCGACACGCCGAAGAACAACTCCTGATGTGAGGCATAAACAACATCAGGGTGAAAATGTCGGATCAGAATCTGCTGACAGAACCGGTCAAATACTCACGGCGTCCCTCCACAGGAAGACGTCCAGCGAGTCTGTGGCGTCCTGAAGCTCAAACTTCATCAGCAGGACGAACTGCATGAGCTGCACGCCCAGACCTGTGAACATGTTCACGGTGTCATTTTACTGGCAGGAGCTTCTTCAGCGAGAACAGACCTGAAATCAGCCGGAGTTTTCCCAAACCTAGACTAGAAAAATTAGCTTTTAGGAACACATGTCAAAACATCAGCACATCTGCGCAACAGCTGAGAAACTTTTTACAATTAGAGATGGACTGTCGTCATGGCAGCAGGTGACAGTTTTATAACTTCCTTTGATTTTGGATTCAAGGATGAAGTCTAAATGAAAAACTGCAGCTTTCTGATTATCCTTTCATGTCCAACACAAAGTCCCACAGCCCTGAGGTGAAGTCTCAAAAGAGCTTCATTTTACAGGTGGATGAACAGAAAAAGCAAAAAGGAGGGATGATAACCGCAGAAAGAGGAGCCAAGCTTGATTCATTTATTGATTTTGTTGAAAGTTTTTTTTTCTTCAGCTCCATTAATCAAGTTTGGAGTCACCTAAAGAAAGCTGAGTGTCCTCCACAGTCCTGAGACTGGAACCGAATCCTCCGTCCCTCACCTTTTGCGATGATCTTCTCATCAATCGGTTCGATGTCCTCAAGGCATGGATCTGTCACTCTCACCTCAGAGCATTTATCACACCTGAAACACACACAGGAGATCACATCATGAGTCGGGGGATGTCTCTGCAGGACGATGTGGTCTTGAGTACCACTGAGTATCACCCCACATCTATGAGTAACCGGACTTGGTGTAGGGATGTTACAGTAGGGATGCTTCACTGTAATCATTCCCGCAGGTTGAGAGTGTGATTCAATTGTCAGGTAGCGATGAGAGCACCCTCTGCTGGATCGAACGGCTCATCGCAGTTCTAACTTTTCCCCTTCAGCATCAGAAATTTTGGATAAAAAGTGACGAAACTCACAGTAAGTTACTCTAAATGTAGATAAAAAACGTGAAGAACTGCCGTCATGAAGCTTCAATAAGTTCCTTATACTTATGAAACTTCACGAGTTTCTGAAAGTGACTCAACAACTTAGTCACAGTTTAGTAAGGACATCCAACACTGGAAAATGATACTTATGAAGGTATGTATTTTTTTATGTGTTCATATATATATATATATATATTAATGGTTAATGCATTTGTATTAAAACATGGAGCTGCATAGAGGTCGCCTTTAAACCAGGGCTGAAACAATTCTTACAATAGTTCGAGGACCTCGATTAAAAAAAGGAATCATTTAATTTGTACAGCTCAAAGCAGGTGTTTAGTTCAGACTAGTTTTAACGTGGCAGGTACCTGAAAAAGAAAGACAGAGGAGGGGGCAGGGGTGTTTGATTTTTGCAACGGCACTACAGACAGAAAATCAAAGTGTTGGAACATGTTAAGCTTGAAATCAAGGCGAACACCGTTATGTGTATTCACTTTAAGACAGTCTGAGAGCGGGGGACCCAAGACGAGGTCAAGTTAAGTTAACGTAGGGTGACGAGACTTCCTATTTTCCCCCGAACATTTCCTCTTTCTAAGTCATCCTGGATTTTGTTGTATGAGATTAAATCTATAACTTCATTTCCTCCACAAATACTCAAACCGGTTCACAAACTCCAATTTGGACACCCTAATTAACGAGATTAACGTTAATGTGACTTGCCAACGTCGTATTTAGAATTATTGACTAAACAAAAAAAAAAAGTTTCATCGGATTAATCAAAGAATTTTCCGTCGAATGCTCGATTACTAAAATATTTGATAGCTGCAGGCTTACTTTAAACTCCATCACATATCCAAAGTGTTAAATATTAACACTCATTAAAAATAAAACAGACACATTATCTTCTTGTTAGTTTCAATTTCCAGCCAACGCCTGGTTGTTCTCTGACCCGTAGTATCTCCTCCTCCCTCTGAACAGGAACGGTACGAACAGGTCGAGCAGAGCCATGTCTCCTCTTGATGACCTCACAGGGATGACGTTGTGGTAGCAGGACGCCATCGAACACATTTCCTCCAGAGTCAAACCTGCAAGAGCAGAACCTGCTTTAGGGTGCGTTGACTTTGTGTTTGTGGGAGTTTCATGGTGGCCTAAAATAAAAATCGGGTTATTTCTTTTCATTTATTTTGCCTCCTGAAGAGCCAAAGTCTTTACCTCTGAGGAAGATGAGCTCCCTTAATCTCTGGGGCACGAAATAGGTGAGAATATGAGCCTCAAAAAAATATTCAGAGAGACACTTCCAGAAACTGCGCCGCTCTGAGACTAAGAACGGGAGGGGACTGTGGGGTTGAGTGGATCTGGCCGCTTTCGAGAAGACGTCAGCAATTGTCTCCTCGTCTGGGATCTCCCGACTGAAATCACAGAGAAGAGTCAGAGAGAGATCAGATTTATGAAATGATCTAATGATCTACTCTGACCCTGAAAGCCAGATTAACCAACTTCTATTTCAGAAACCACGAGCAAAATAAATCTATTAAAAACAAGATTTGAATGTTTGCGTTGCGACTCTTTGTAAGTTTTGTGTGTGTGCACCTACATCGTTTTGCACTTGCTGCAGTAGAGTTTCAGGGCCTGGTAGAGTCTGAACGGCTCGTAGGATCTCAGCTGGACCCTGACGTGGTGGACTCCACTGGGTTTGGACTGCTTCAACTGGAAGAGCGTCTTCGGCTGTACGTCGTGGTCGCAGCGTCTCTCTGACGAAACTGCTTAATCAAAGTTTGAAGAAAGAGAAATATTCACAGACTCTCTGATTTCATGACAGACTTGTTGGACTCAAACAGAAACCAACAAAATGAGGCATAACGATAATAGCTGAGCTGATACAGCTGACAGGGGCGTGTCTGAGGTCAGCGAAGGGTGGCAGGGGCCCCCCATTGATATCTGACTGACTCCCAGATGGACCCAGATCTAACAGATGAAACCAGGGCTGAGGAACTTTAATGGCTGATGTAGATATGACAACAGAGAGAGGGTAAATGTACCCAATTTGTTACAGACATTACAAATAAGGGAAGTAGTCAGAGGTCATAGAGACTCACCGTTGTTATTATTATGGTAAGTCCTCATAGTGGCTTTAAAATTACAAAAAAACCCGTAGACCTCAAATCAGAGAACGATGCTTTCACTACCAAGTTTTGAAACTGCAGGAAAACCTTCAGGCCACAGCTGGAGTTTGCTTTTATAACTCGAACCCTGGAGAAGTCTGGGCTTTTAGGAGGCCCTCATAATGGAGCAAAGCCCCTTCAGCTTGAGTCCATCCACCTAAATATCCCATCCCGACTGAGGAGAGAAAGTGGTCTCTACCAGCAGTCAGCATGTTGGTACGATAAAACTCTGTTTCCCCTGAAGGAAACTTTTGCTAAAGCATCACTGACATAGATATCCTCACACCAGATCTCTACCTCAAAGCATGTTTCTACGTTAATACTGAACATGCTTATTTCATTTGTTTCATATCTGTAACCACAGTGATTCATCTTTAAGAGTATAAAACCAGGTCAGCATTGATTCCTACCTGTGGACTCTGGCGGGGTGCACCACACATCTATCATCTCAGAGTCACTCATGCTGGTGTCCATCTGGAAGGCGGCGATGTTTCTGCAATTTCACACAAATTCATGACAAACATGCAGTCATATCGTACACAGTCAATGCTGAATATTCAGTCATAGTGCAGAAGGGTGCACAGACATCGACATCTGCAGATATTCGGATAAAAAACACAGAAATAAACAGTGATGGATGAAAGTTTCAGTGCAGCAGTTCCAGACCGAAGAAATGGATCCAGTCTGTTTCTGCATGCACGATGCACACACGCGATTATGTTTCTTTTGGAGCTTAAATATAAGTGCTTTTTACTGCATGGCCTTATGATACAGTCTTTATATTCTTCAGCCCATCTGTGGAAGTGAGTCTGTGACAAATAAAGATCTTCAGTTTGGGATAATCAACTAACGCAGATTTTAAATATAACTTTCCCTCCAATAGTTCTTGTCAGAAACAGCAGCTTAAAACCTTTAAACCCTCGAATAAATAAAAGGCAGCTGTTGCTAAAACCTCGACTGTGCTGTTTCTGGTCCAGAACTGATGCACTGATCTAGATCTCATATTTTATTCCAAGTCTGAGATCTCTTGGTTCAGGTTCATGTCCCCCTCTCCTCCTCCTGATGTACCTCTTCAGCTCCCGCACGTCAGAGCTGTCCTCAGGAAGAATCTGCATCCCCCTGCCGTACGTCGCCCCTCCATGCAGGTAAAGAACCAGGTGCTCCTCCTTCTCTCTGTGGTCACTAATGATGCCCGGCCCGGTAATGGATCCCGGGACTGCATGGAGGTTGTAGATCCTCAGGAAGTTACCTGGCTGAGGACACAAACGGGAAGGAATAGAGAACTTAATTTCTAAAATTTAAAGTGAGAGAAGAGCTGATTGAGGCGCTGGTTTAGCCATCTTCATCATATTAGTCACAAGTCCAAGAACAGGAAGACATCCAAAAACTGTTTTTTAGGAAAACTAAAAATAATAAGAGGTATGCAACAGAGCCACAAATGTGATTTAAATCCAGAATATGAAGTATTCAAGAGTTAAACACAAGAGTAACAGTGCCTGATGAAGTCATGGTGTTAACTGATTGGACAGAAGTTGTGGGCAAAACCTGCAGATCCTCAAGTGTCCACTAGGGGGCTGAGGAATCCCTACTTGTTTCCAAATAAATATAAAAGTACAATTTTGGTAGAGTTGGTCGTCTCTCTAAGCCAGACTGGTTTCTGGTGAGAGGTGGACTCTGCCAGGGCTTCCTTTTGGCACCAATCCCACCAAACCAGACCTGAGGGGGTCTGGTTTGGTGGTCTCAGATTTGGGTCACTGCTTTCTGCAGATGACGTGGTCCTGTCGCCTTCATCGGGCCGTTACCTTCAGCTCTCACTGGATCAGTTCGCAACCGAGTGTGAAGCGGCTAGGATGAGAATCAGAACCTCCAAATCTGAATTCATGGGTCAAAGATGGAACGCCCTCTCTGGGTCAGGGATGAGATCTTACCCCAAGTGGAGGAGTCCAAGTATCTCGGGGTCTTGTTCACGAGTGAGGGAAGAATGGAGCGAGAGATCGACAGGTAGATTGGTGCGGCATGGGCAGTGATGTGGACACTGCTTTGAGGGGAGTCGGAGGTGGCTTTGGTGCCGTGCTGTTGAGGTGTTCAGGGCACATCAGGGAAGACCCAGGACACGCTGGAGAGACTATGTCTCTCAGCTGATCTGGGAACACCTTGGGGTCCTCCGGGAAGAGCTGGACGAAGTAGCATGGGAGAGGGAAGCGACCTGACTCCAGATAAGCGCTAGAAGATGGATGGGTGGTCATCACTCAATCCCACATGTCAAAGTGTCCTCAGTCAAGACCCTTGACCCCATCCGGCCCCTGATGCTGCACCCAGTCTCGTGTCAACAGGAGATAAGCTCTATATACAGCAGCCTTTGCTGACAGCATGTGATGGGGACATGTAATGTGAAGGTGCTTTTTAGAAGACGACAGAAAGAGAGTCCAGTTTTGCTGTATCTGAGTCCTACACCTTAATGATTTGTTCCTGAGCTGTGTTTTTGATGTCGAACACCATCACTCTGTTCTGAGAGGGAACCAGTTTGAAAAAGACCTTTGGACTCTGATCCAAACCTTCCTGACATCAGCTTCTAACAAAGGTTTTTACAGGCGGAGGACCAGACCAGCAGAAAACTGATTCTGCAAGTCAAGCTTGAGGATAAGATCTGGAAGGAAATTCATGACTATTGGGTCACAGGTGAGGCTGAGACAGAAATGCAAAACTAACGTCCAAAATATGATAAAAAGCTGTGTTCATGCCTTGATTCTGAATAGTTTTATTAACTTCAGGATAACTCTAAATATTTGTCTCTGCATGCATGTGGGCAACCACAAAAGAGTCAATTTCCCAACCCACCAGCTCTTGAATCCACTCCTCTCTCACTAAAGTAAAATTCAGCATGAGGAGCTGTGAGAGTGCTCAAACACACTGACGACACAGTGTGGGTGTTTTTCTCTTCTGGTGGGTCAGCTCGGACAGTAGGTGGCGATGTTGCTCCAAACACTGCAGTCAGTGCAGTGACAGTGATTCAGTCTGCTCAGAGGACTTGGTTTGAGGGTTTTTCTCTCTTTTATTTTTTCTCTCCTCTCAGATCCCCGTCACGACGAGCCAGCAGCCCTCACAAATCTTTCCTCCCTCGTCGTCAACAAACGCAGAAAATTCACTGAAGACTTTAATTTCACATGACAGGTTCGGTCAATCCGGGAGGACCCGAAACACCCACATCTGTGATCTTTAATTGTATTAGAGCAGGAGGGAGACCCACAGAATGAATCCTCTGAGCTGTAGCTTCCTTTAAATCAATTTTCTCTGTAAACTGAGTGAAGTTGGACTCAGTGTCAGGGTGGATTAGCTGCTGATCTCTTGAGGCCTCCTCCTCCCTCTCTCCTCTGAAGAACCACATAGGAAGCTGAGAGATGAACTGGGAGGACTGGAGAGCTGCACCCCCTCATATGAAGGCAGTATATATAATCCAGCATGAGCTCAAATCTAAAATTAAGTCCACATAGAGGATGTTACAAACCTCTCTCCAGAAGTCAAGGCGTTTCGTTCAACCTTTTCTGAGATTTGAGCTTCACATGAAAACCGATCGGTCCATTTCTGCTGCTCTTACTGTGAAAATGAAATATGAGCGTTTACGGACTCACCTCCACTTTAGCATGTCTCTATTTTCCTGCCTCGGTCAATCTGCCCTGACACGTCTTCGAATTTAACAAAAAGCTGCAGCCAGACTTTCCACTCAGATAAATTGAAGATCCCACGAGGACGCGGCTGTGGCTCGGTGGTAAAGTCTCTCAATCAGATAGTTGGGGGTTCAATCCCAGGTTTCGCTGCCCCCCCATGCTTGAGTTTTCTTGGGTACTGTGTTAATCTGGCAGCTAGTTTAGATTTAATCTCAATCTCAGTCTTTGGACTAAAATTCCTCATCTTCAGTGGTTTACAGGTTATCATTGCTTTAAAACATCATCCAGTTCCTAGATGAAAGGTCAGCTGGACTTGTTTGAGGTTCTTGAAGACCATCCTCCTCCAAAATCTTTACTCCTAAAGGCACTTGGGCCAAAGTTGAAAATCTAGAGCCTCTGTTGGTCCTCCAGCTGTAAAAGGGCTGGGTGGTCACCTGAGAGTTGTTAGTAGGGCCGTTGGCCTGGTCTCTTCAGGTGTGCCATGCTTGTATGATGTTGGAGCCTGTTATCTAGCACGAAAGCGTTGTTTCGATTGTTGTCAAGAGGAATCCAAAGCTGAATTATAAGTCGGGAATATCAAGCGCCTTAGTCCGCCGTTTCTGTCCAAGGATAGTTTCTCCAGTTTGATAAAGACGGCCTCCTTGTCAAACCAGCAGTCTTCCCTTGACGGTATCCTATCATTGTTGTCCTCAAAGGAAAGTCCTAAAGCCTCCAGATGAAGGTAAACAGCTCAGTCCTGGCCTGAAGAGTTGGCTCTCCATACTGGGCCATGCGTTCATGTAATGGCTGTTTTGTTCCCCGATGTAGGAGTCCCTCATTCTTCAGTGCATTTCGGGGCATTCACCACATTGCTCTGTTTGTGTCTGGGGGTTTTGTCCTTCAGGTGAACCAGCCTCTGTGAAATGCAGTCAAATGTCTTCTTAAATTTGCCCCAAATGTGTCTCCAAACCAGGATACAGCAACACAGAGCTGTTAATGGTAATGGCGTGAAAAACATGAACCACTAAACTGGTGTGTGTCTTTATTAACGCACGGCTTTAAGTGTTGTAGGAATGCATTATTTACATTTTAAGTGACGGATCAGACCTTCTGCAGGGAAAACATAAAAAATTTAAGTCTAGAGTTCCACCCTAAACAATTTCATCTCGTGATTATCTTGTTAACTAAAACAAAACCTAAATTCATCTGAGTTTTGTTAATGGATTTCAGCCCGCCATCGTCACATTTATCGTCATTATTTTCACATGAGCCAACGCAAATGCAGGGGCGCAGCGCTGTGACGGCTGACAGTGGCCATAAACTGAGATGGGTAGCATGTGTTGGTTTCAAAGGACTCAGCTCTGAAAAACCAGCTTCAGGGAGCCGTTTCGGAGCAGAAAAGGTCAGGTGTTGTAGAGCTAAAGGATCTGAATTCCCAGCACTAGCAGCCTTTAGTCCTTACCTGAGAAAGAAGACGGATCACAGACAACTTGAGCGAGATTCTGATTTTGTAGATTTAAGCCATGGGTCTGTTTGAATTTAACGTTTCACTGGACTTGGATCAGGGGGACTTTCTCTATTGCAGCAGGAAGACAGGTGGATTGATAAACTTTCCATAAGTATCAACGTTAGCTTAAACTTCCATCGGTTGGTTTCCAGAAATTCGTATTGCTTGTCAAATTTGGGGGGCACTGACTGAATGTCGGCCTCCCTACCATAGAAACTTCCAACTACTACTTCGACTACTAATTCCTAATATTAATAGTTTTCCAGTTGTAAGAAATACACTGGAGAAACACTCTCTCTGTCTTAGATGTACTTTTTCTCCATTTAGAGACACACTTGACTTTTTTATAGTGGACTATTTAATAACAGGGCCGAATAATTAAACATCCGACTCTGTTTTTTGGGGCCTAAATACTTCTAAGGAGTAACTTCCTCGTCTTTATTTGTGGTAAAAAGTTGTTTCAATCAGGTCCAATTAAATGCATCTCTCGTCTTTTTCTTTCAGCTCTTTAGCAGAGCTTTTTAAGTGTACAAGCAAACATGGTATTAGACTGTGAATCATTATTAAGATTATATAAATCCCACTGTGCCAGAAAGAAAACAATGAAACCAAACAGACAGTATTTTTGTTTGCACAATCCCAGACTCTGCCCTGGATTTATGGCGTCTCCAGAGACCCGAATGTTTAGCAGAATGAGAGGGAAGAAACAACAGTAAGTCCTCAAGAGTCTGGCTGTGTTTTCTCAGAGCAGCATGAAAGTTTAGCAGACAGTACCAGAGAGTGTGTCTGAAAACAGGTGTCGAGAGGACTGTGAGCGTGACTAAGGCTGTGAAAAAACACCAAGGACAGACGGCAGGCCGAGTACAGGCGCTGCCATGTGGCGTCAGCTTGGTCCAGTCTGTATTCGCATATTAAATCCTCAGCAGCAGCCAGGTGTGAGTATAATGAGCTAATTTAACTGAGAGGCACAAGCACTGACTTTAGATCATGACTCACCTGGTCTCAGGACTTTCAAAGCGACAGTAGCTCATGAGACGGTTTTGAGATCAAAGTGGGGCTGAAGTTCTTAGAAAACTTTGAAATTCTTTGAAAATCTTTTTTTGATTATGTCCTGATTTGTGTAAATGCAGTTTAAAGGAGGATTTCAACACCACCTGTCCTTGTTGGTGAGCAGTGAGAATGAAAGGACAGACAGCGTGGACTACATTAGAGAAAAGATCACTACAGAGACGGTTTTGGATCCTCTTTAAGACAGAAACCACCGTACTCCAGTCTGCCATCATGTCACTATCAGACGCCTTAGATCACATATGTCAGAGTCAAGGCCCGCGGGCCACATCCGGCCCGCGAGAAGGTTTTTTACGGCCCCTGGGATGACCTTGATTTATTATTAGAACCGGCCCGCAGACCGCAGCAAGCCGGCAGCCCGCAGATCTTTTACACGCACCAATACTACATTTCCCACAATGCAACGGTGACGCACCGAGCAGTAGGCTGCTTCATTTCAATATTTATTTGCACAGCAGTCGTCAGCATAACAGTAAAATAAACTTTCAGATACCCATCAAAAATGGCAAAACGGAAGGTGGACACTGAGAACCGGGGGTTTCAAACAAGGTGGGAGTCGGAGTATATGTTCACGGAGGTAGCTGGAAAACCTGTGTGTCTTCTGTGTGGAGAAAGTGTGGCGGTACTGAAAGAGTATAATCTGAGACGACATTATGAAACGAAACACGCGGACAAAAACAAGAATATGGACATGATTATGGACATGTTTTTGATTAATAGATTTTTGCACTTTATTTTATTGTATTTCAATCCAATTATATTTTAAAAATATTTCAGTTGAGTGGATGATAGAAAATTGCTATTATTATTTTTTTCTTTGAAGTAAATTTAGCCCACTTTTGCTAAAATAGAAAATATAGGCTACTGATGGTGCCTTGAATAATACCGGTTTCTTTCATTTAATGTTCATGTTATGGGGATTTTTATATAAAGGAAATTTGTCTTTTGTGTCTGTTGAAAATTAAAGATTACTGACAGAGCCATAAGAAAATATTGCTTTATTTATCTGATCATATTGGAATATATTTGTTAGGTTTTCAGTAGGTTCAATTAGGTTCACTAGACTATATGCGTCATTTAAAAAATTTTCAATGAACATTCGATCAGTCCGGCCCTCGGCTTATAGCTAAATTTTTTATTTGGCCCTCCGTCCATTTGACTTTGACACCCCTGCCTTAGATGGAGCCGTGTCCTGATGAGACCTGGAGAACGTCTGAATCGTCCCAAACTTTCCTACAAAGTCTAAACGATTAAACTCTGTCACTCTTGTTAGTCGACACCACAATTTTGAATCAGCTAAACTAATTGATAATGTTTTTGTTACTGTAGACCTGTGCTGGTCATTTATTATGTATAAGGTAATAATTTGTCTTTGTGTGTTCCTGTGATATTGTCTCTATCCCTCAGATAAAATCGGTGTATAGTCAGTATCAAGTGTTTTATCAAATGTCCTTTAAAACATCAAGACTGGAGTTGTATTTTATTTTGAAATTCATCTCTCACACTTCAGTCATACAGGTTTTTAAGACACTTGCCTCTCCCTGCTCCTCACTGCTCTCCTCCTCCCCCTCCTGCTCCTCTCCCTGCTCTCCTCCTCCCCCTCCTGCTCCTCTCCCTTCTCTCCTCCTCCCCCTCCTGCTCCTCTCCCTTTTCACAATCTCTTGAAGATACAGTTTCATAAATTGAACAGTAGAAGTTCTTGAAAAGACTTTGTTGATTTTATTGGCTTATTATTTCACCAGATGAAGTTTAGACAATCAAAGGTTCATTAGTTTATCTCTTACCTGCACTCATTTTTTTGGTTTTGGGAACAAAAGTCCAGCACTGCTAGACGAAATCTTATCATGGATTAATCATCAGGACAACAGTTGCTATGGCAACAGTCAGCTGAGGAATCGGCGGCATCTTTATTAAAGCTTTGCGACCGCCTTTTAAAGCTCTATGACCATTTAGCCTAGACCAAAGTTCAAGTAATGGAAACACGATCGCTGTCAGTATGTGAGGCGTTCAGGGACCGTAGGACTCCCTAAAAGAGTCCCTGCAGCTCCGCCTGCGAAGAAACCGTTTTCCTTTTAAAGAGACAGAGGAGCGGAGCGGAGCAGTCTGTGGCAGCTTCTCCAAGTACTTGATCTGTCTGAAAACTAAACACTCCACCGTCCGCCCACTGCCCCACAGCCAAGACGCTGCTGCCGCTGTCTCGTGGAATTAGTGCTGCTCAGCTGAGCGGTGAAAAGGGATTCCTTAAAATTCAAAAGATTGCTCTGGGCTTCCACGGCTTCTCGGCTCCATGAGGGAGCCAAAAAAAGTTGTGCCCTCGCTGAGAAGAAGAAACTGTTCGCTTCACACTGGCTTCTTTATGGAGCAGCGGGAGACGGGCTTTCAAATCCAGACAGATACAGCTTAACTTCAACAGCAGGGCTCTTTGTGCAGGGAGAGCTACACGCTGGGGAGAGAGGGACCTGACCCACTGAAGTCAACCTCATATGAGCTTAAATGCCTCCACTGCGGGCCCGGCCTTAAATCAAACAGTTAAGACCTTCTGGATAGAGTATTGGCTTCAGCTTCTATGTGTTCTATGTCTACTGTATGACATGTCTCACAGAGATGTCACACAGGTCATGTCAGAGTAAATCCTCAATCACAGACTCCTGGAGGTTGGACTGAGTAACCGAATCAGACAGATTTCAAAGCATCTCAGCTCAATGGAGTTACTAGATGACCTTACTAATTATCGTCACGTAGCTGAACCGCTCATTTTCCCTGAAGCCTAATAAGCCTGATATCACGTTTCCTCAAAGTGTAGTAATGTGGCCTGACATTGGCGGAGGTGCTTTTTAATTTAGGCGAGGAAATCTTCAAGGGGAACACTCCTCAAATTTGTTTTTTTTTTCCAAATTCTCAGTGTGTCATTTCACAAATTTAGAATCTTCATCAGATTTTTAGTTATTTTTTAAGGATTGGGAAAAGTTTCGAACCAAAGCCCTCTCATCGTGATCGGTTTAAATACAGAGCCTCTAAATGAACCTTGTCAGAACTGTGCACATTTCCACAGAATAAAGAGCTCTTTTAGAGCTCACAGAGGTAAATACTTGAATGTCTGGGTGAACTCCATCTGTGGATGGAGATCAATAACTGCTGCTCCCAAAGACAGGAACAAAGCTTCAAAGCTTCTCATCACTGTGCTGTCTGGTCTGTCCAACTCTTTCACATCATGGACTGAAAACTTTTCCAAAGTGTAACCAAAGTTTGGTCCTGAGCGCAGAGTTATATAACAGAGACTTCAGCGATATCCAGAGGGTAGCAGCTCACCTGTGTCTTCTCTGAGCTCCTGAGGAGATATCTGACTTCATGTCTACTTGGTCTACAAAGTAAAAAAACTTTGAAAGACTTCTGAAAGGTTTTACTCTGACACCTGTTCACATCCGCAAAATTTCCACTACAGACCATGTTGTTTTTATGCACAAACCAAAAAACTGACATAAAGTGAAGTCTTTGAAAAATCTTTCACTGATGATCAGAAGAGATTACAATGTACTTCCCATGCAAACTGCAAGGATCACTAATAGATGTTATCCTGTTTTATGAACATGTTTTGAGGACATAGCTAATCCATCCAATCCACTTAGATCAATATAATCCAAAAGAGTAATCCAATGACCAATCCAGCAAATCTAACCCAATCATATCCAATCCAATCAAATTCAGTCCAATCCAATTAAAACAAAATTCAGCAAATCCAGTCCAGTCCAATCCAGTCCCATTCAATGCAAAGTAAACCAGCCCGATCTAACTGAGTCAAATCCAGCACAGACCAAAATAAACCTAATCCAACCCAAACCAATTTTTGTCCTGACTTTCCATCCAGCTGAAGACCTACAGGTTTTATTTAAATTTGTGTGATAATGAGATACTGATCAAATAAATGTTTTAGTGGGACAGGTGACTGTTTTTAATTCTGTTCAAATATGACACTTTAAGTATTTAAAGACACTGAAAACATGTTTTTATGTAAAGAGTTTGTTGTATTACTGTGGTCATTTAAAACTGATTTCTTTATAAAACAAGATCTGGTCTTGTTATAAAAATAGGGAGTCGTCTCTTATTCAGAGTTGGGTCGATATGGGAGGAGTTGGGGGGCCAAAGTAAAGCTGGTTCCTCTTGACTAAACCTCCAGTAATGACTAGTGTTGGATGGTGTTGGTCCTTTTTCTCCACTGGATATTAAATTCATCTTCTCTAATATCTTGAGTTGATTAAGAGCCAGAAGAACAGACTGTTGGACAATCTGTGTCGGGAAAAACTGGAAACTAAAAGCTGTTTTTAAACTCCGCTCCTACGATGAAGCTTCGCACCCACTCACATTCACACAGAGACAAATCTGACCCCGGCTTTATTATCTTAAATAAATGATGTGTACGTGAGATGAGGCTGCACACAGACGAGAGCGGTGTAATGAAGCGGCGGCTTCAACCTTCGCTTGCTGGACGGACGCTCCGCTGACTCCCAGAGCGCCAGGAGAAACAGCGTTTCTGGAGGAGATATGAGCCCGCAGGCCAACATAAAGTCTCATTTTCCTAAGAGATGTGTTCAATAAACAGGAAACTGTGTGGGAGTACAGAACGTGCAACATTACTGCACAACCCCCCCAAAAAATAAAAAAACATCCAATGACATGGAAATGTGCAGTCAGCCAACCATGAGTGCTAAAAATGAGATAATGAGCGGAAACAGTTGGAGCTGAACCCGGACTCACAATGACAATGTGAACACAACAATCGATGGCTCAGAGCTCCTCCACGACATGCCAGGATGAGGCCATTAAAGAAAACAAAACAAGCAGCCATGACTCAGCTTGACAACCCTTCTTCTGGACCGAGCCCTCTCTATGCAGTCCACTTGTACTGAGGGTTAGTAATTCATGCATGCCGAATACACAACCTCAAACAGAATGATTGAAAACATGGTTCATGTCTGTGCTAATGTGTGTTTTCACCCCTGTGGCTGCATTAATGTTGGACAAACAAACCATGACGCGAAACCTGCAGAGGATAAAAGAGATAGAGCGGCAGAGGTTCGGCGACACGGGAAACAGTGAAATATGACTTAAAAATACAAACGAAGAGACTCAAAGATATGCACAAACCTGCAGCTTTCTAGGCATTTGCTTGATGCCTGTTGATGTCACTGTATTCTTTATATTCAAAGTGAGATGGATTTATTTGTCAATACCATAGACTGTATACACTACGGACAACTTGGCTCCGCCTTCAATCATTATTTGAAGTCGAATTGCTTTCGGTATTCCCGGGATTTTCTCCACTTTCTGGAACCACCACTTGTGCAGTAGCGTTGTACGCATTCGGTGGGAGAATCCCTAAGATGACACTAGGCTCAAACAGCATATCCCCCCGTGAGCTACGCAATCTTTGTACGCCCATCAACTGTATCAAGTGTCAATCATATAAAACATGAACCCCTGAATAACTTTTAAAAATGGAGCTGTACAGAAAAAAGAGGACTTGAGCACAAACCAGTCTGACAGTAACTACATGTCAACATCAGAAACAGGCGAGAGAAAAATGTATATTCTGTGTAATTAATTTCTAAAGTTTGTCCACAACTCCATAGGGATTGATGGAGGAGGCGGGATTTATGACCTATACTGCAGCCCGTCACCAGAGGGTGCTGTTCTCGCAGTGGCTTTACCCAGCTAGGAGGCAGATTGTGCAATCCTATATACAGTCTATGGTCAACATTTACAATCTAGATTATTATTATTATTTTTTTTTTATAAAATTAGTTCATTCAAATAATAAAGAATATGAAAACTGTGCATCCCCACATTATCAGAGCTAACAACACAAGCTGGTGTTGTTGGACAAATATCAAACGTATTTAGGCTTCGGTCATGCATCTCTCTTTTTATCATCACATCCATAAGATTAAAGAATCACAGTAGACTTCAGTCCTAACAGAGACGCTTGCATCCTCTTAGACTTCCAGTAGACTTGACTTATTTCAGACTTGGACGACGTTCAGCACGTGCTGCGTTCCTGTTTGGCTGTTGAATCTCAGCACACTTAAACTGGGCCAATATTTAGTCTCAAAAATATATTTATCTTTCCTGACAGTAGACATGGTTCAATCAGTCGGGGAGACAAAACAAACCCAAATAAAAGCTTGAAACACAGACAGCAGATGCTCTTGGACTGGTGGGCTCCCAGAACTTGGCTCTGAGGGGCGTTTAAGGTGCCAGCAGTGAGAAACTTAAGTTCAGAGCACCATCGACAGAAAATAAGACCAGTCCTCAGGGGAACGTGGTCATTCATATTTGATTTTTATATCAATACAGACACTTGACTTACAAAGTTTGAGCAGATGTTTCCAAAGACTATAATACTGAAACTATAGACTAAATTTTACTGACGCTGCCCTGCAGCCTGCAAACCAACTACTCCATTATAATTCAATGGACAGAAACAAGTCAGATTGTATAATGTTGTTTCTTTGTTTCTTTTACTTATAAACCAATAAAAATACTTTGGAGGTGGCTACCATAAGTCCAAGACAAATTTTTAAGTAAATTTAAAACAGGGACGATAAAGTCTGAAGTATCATATCGTATCAGTTTGAATCTTAAAGTTTCATTTTATATGGTTTCATATCACTTTGTTTAATCATCAAACTATTCGGTGTACTATCGTATTGTATCAATCAATTTCAATTTTTATTTAATGATACGAAATCACAACAGTTTTCATTCCAAAAGAGCAGGTCTAGACCTAACTCGTTGCTTTACATATTACAAAAGACCCAACCTCGAGATGGGAAAAGATTAAACCCATCTTAAACCAACATGAGTGAAGCACTTTGAGGTATTTAAACAGGTTACAGTGTAGAGGAAGAACTTCCTTTAACAGGCAGAAACCTCGAGCAGAACCGCACTCATGTGACCCCAAAATTCCACAGCATGCGGAACGTCAACGAAAAGGCCATCAAGCTTCGTAGTTGATCACCAGGGTTCTATTTTTTCTGGAAGCCGCAGCATGCCGCATAAATTCAGCACAGATTAGCCCGTGCTGGAATAAAACATCCAGCTTCTTTTCAAAATAAAACATTACATGTTTCAGGCGGATTGTATTTCACACCATGCAAACGTAAGCGGAGACGAACAAGATAAAGCTAAATATTGCACTTAACCACGGTTGATTCCGAATCTCCACAAAAGTGTCTGATCTACTGGTCTGGACAGAGTGGATTTCCTCCTCTGGAAGGACACAATCTACTGCCTTTATGGTTGTGTGGTTGTCTTTACAGAGACAACTCATTATTGCGCAATGGCATGCGAATTCGCGTGTTCTTGTGAGTCCTTGTGATTCCCGGTGTCTGAAATTCACCCCGAAATTTGCCTCAAAAATGCATCCAGCAAAAATTGCAGCTATTCCGCAGTTGTGCCTTTCCGCATGCGGCGAACCTTGGGGGTTTGACAGCCACCTGCCGCCAGAGAGAGAGACAGCGAGGGACGATATATATCGTATTGTATCGTAACGAATCTTACCCTCATGTACTGTATCGTATTGCATGAGCATTGTTTACTAAAAGTTCAGAAGGAGCAGAAACTGGAGAAGCAGGGCAGGTCAGCTGGTGCAACCATCATCTGTGTAACAGATTGTGTGACATTACAGAGAGAAGAACTGCAGGAGGGACAGCGGGGAGATAAATGAACAAATAAGGAATGGCACAGAAGTGAGGAACTGTCTATGTGAGATTGAGAAATGAGGGGAAGAGATGGGAGTCGTCAGAAAAACAGTGAGTGCAATAATGGAGAGAGACTGTGAGGCTGCAAATAGATGGAGAAGGAAAAAACAAACAATGACGAGTTCATTTGATTTTGGAGCATGTGTCGGAGAGTCTGTCGGGGTTCGTTAAATATTTCTCAGTCATCCATCAGGAAAACTCTAGTTCAAATTTAATAGTTCAATCTGGTCTGGAAACCTGATTGCTTATCATTTTGAAAACTTAATTAGTCGATCTGGTCTGTATCAATATCATGAGCCAAAGTGCACCTATGGAGCAAAGATCATAAATGTCTCTAAAAACAGGCCAGCTCACATCATGCAGAACTAAGAGTGAACGGCACCGTTCATGCTGCAGTAGAACGACAGCTGCTTACTCATCCAGTGCACATTTTCTTTGGATGGATGGATAGATAGATGGATGGATGGATGGATAACCAGATGGGCAGATAAGCTGACACTTTAGAAAAAAAAACACAACATTGTGATAGGATACAATCCAACACTGACAGTGAGAGAAACTCATCCGACTCCATGTGAGTGTGTGAGCTGCAAATGTGGAGAACATTAGCACAGCATGTTAACATGATTCTGTCTCACCTGGCTGCAGGTGAGCTCCCTGGATGCTGGATCTAATGGATTACCAAGGCCGGTTAAAGCAAACAGGACCAGCATGTAGTCGCGGTCAGATGTCAGCTGACACACACTGAGCGTGTAGTCCTGCTGTGATATTTGCATTTAACCTGATGTAACTCCATGAAATAGATTTCATCAGAATCTTTCCAAAGTCAAACCCCGACTGTCTCCGATGCCCTACAGAAGAGCGCCTGTCTATTCATGTAAGATCACACTGTCATGTCGGGTCAACTTAAGTCAAATCATGTCAGATTTCATTTTTATAGCCCAAACTCACAATTCTCAGTCTGCCTCCGAGGATTTCATCGTCTTTATAGCGTGCTTGTGTTTCTGGCTGGACTCAGCTCTGTGGTCCGAAACTACCGCATGCACTCCGGAGCTCAAGCACTTCCTGTTTGTGAGAGCCCAATACTTTCGCCATTGGAGTGTGCAAGGTCATATAATGCAGGCTGTGGATCTGGACATCTGCACGGATGCTGGAGGCCGGGTCTAAACTCATGTCTTCAGTTTAGAAAATATGATTTATGATCTATTTAGAAATGCTGTTTCAGCCACACAGAGCAGAAGAAGAAACTGGAAATACACAAAACAAACATGCAGACAAGATTATCAGAGTATTATCTGAAAATTCGCTGATTGTGTCATTTCTTGTTCTCACTTTGGGATGTCTTTGGTAAAACTTTTTGCACTTTTGAAAAAGGCACTACAGCCTAATACTTCTTCAACCCAACGACAGGTGCTCAGGTGACTTAAAGGATTTGTTGTGTTAAAGTTGAAGACTTTTCTCAGAGGGTTGAAGCCAAAGCAGGATGATTTGAGGTTGATAGTCTCGCTGCACGAGACAAAAACCTGCAGCAAGACTAAAAAAAAGTAAATTCAGGAAACTTTATTGGTTGACTCGATTTTTTTGCCACATCAATTTACAGTCTATGGTTAATTTCATCAGGAGGAATGTACCAAGTGCTAATAGGGGTGTTTACAGAGCACCCCTGTTTTACAGGTAACAGCCTGTCTCAGAACACCCCCCTTGTTTTCACCATTTTGGATTTGCCTGACCTACTGGAGACCAGCTAGAGACAGAAAGATTGAAGAGCCTCAACGTTAACTGACGTCCAGTGGTTTGCTGAATATCTATTTTTATTCAGATTTTTTCTTGTGCGGATATCAGCATATTTTCACCCCGCCGAGCCACATTGTCCCCCGGGCTGAAGGGTTTGCCGTCACAGTTAAAAATTCTGGGGTTTTGGTCGACCAAGAATTTCTTTGGTTGATTACAGCCCTACAAGAGACACCGGCTACATCTGTGAAAAAACTTTGAAACTCTTGTCTGTCTCCAAAGTACAGAGCTGAGCAATATCCAAATGACTTTTATACATCAGGTGACAAATTCTGTCAGCGTACCATTGACTAGAAACGCAAAAATACATCTGACGACCACTTGTTGTCTAGAAACAAAGAAAAAGACTGTCTAATTAAACTGTACATTCAATTTTTCTGTGACTCAACCATTTAAAAATTATTAAAACTTTGTACTAAAAGCTTTTACTATAATACAGCATTATGTTTTAACTTGAAATACTGGGCAATGATGTATTACAGCTATAATTTAGGAATATTTGCATTTTATTAATTGGCATATTATTTACTGACACTAAAAGTACACACCATATGGTAGTAAATATGTGTAAAAAGTTAAAAAAAAAAAACAGAATTTAGAAAAAACAAAACACGGCCCTACATTTTAAGAATGCTAACTTCCATAGAGCCTGTATGGCAGCAGACAGTTTACTTTGATCTCTTGACTTATTTCCTGGTGAACTCAGATGTTTGAGTGTTTTTCTGGTTCAAACTGGTGTAGTTGCATCAAGTATGCAGGTTTCTACCTTTCTTAAACAAGTACCATTGAAATAAATGTTTTCATCATCTGCTTGTGTCTGTTTCTGAGAAAATCAATGCCAGAGGAGCAAACACACACATACACACACTCAGAGTTTACACAGCACTCCCTCTCCTCTCTTACTCTCGACTCCTCTCCTCATCATAATGGGCTCCTTTCTCTCCTAATGGCCTTCCTCTCACAGAGACGCCTCAGTCGATTTCACACAATATCACTGATGATTCACCAGAGGAGCCTGGTAATTGGGGGAAATATTCCTGTTCAAACACTCCTTTAGTGGACCGGCTCACGGTGTGTGTCACGCTGAGTGAGTGTGTGAGGTGAATTGACTGACTGGTGTTGAGGGACAAGTGTGAAAAATTCCAATCAAACGGGCATTTTACCCATGATGCATCATTCTAGGCTTCACTTACAGGCTCTCTGTGTCCTGAATGGTTTCGTCTCCTCCATTCAGAGGTCAGATTGGAGTTTGTGCTGCACTACAGACACTTTCAGTTCAATGTTTCTGCCTTTATTACATCTGGATTCAAACTATAACGTATTTTAGAGAAAAATGTCATAAATATATGTGCAGGTTTGACAAACTGCTGCAGTGAAAGCCAAAGAAACAGGATGGACCATATATATATATATATTTTTGGCTTCTTACTTGACCTTTCGCAAAACCACACCCCCAAACGGTCACTGTCCAATCACAAAGCCTAGCAATCGTTACTTTGTAAGCAGGGTCCGATAAGCCGCAGACCACAAGCGGAATGGTGAAGCGATATCAGACACTCGGTACTCCAAAAGTCCGGCTGGGGGAGTCATTTTCTTTCCCTTTCCAAAGCCGAAAACACAGAAGGAGTGTGGCCTACAGTGGATACAATAGTGTTGAAAGCTCCATTTCCAGCTAAATGTCACAAAAATAAACAAGCATAAATACGTCTGCTCCAAGGTAAGGCTAAGCTAGGCTAACACCATGGCTTGCTTTAATTGTTTTGTCAGCTTACATCGAAGTTTAGCATGGCGTCCCAACAGACATTTAAAACTTATTTGGTTTTTATTATCTGCTTCAATCTTGAGGATATTGAGCAGGTATTGCTTCAAAAAAATATCACTGACAGGCGCTCCGTCAGCTCCAAGAAGCTTTCTTATTTGATGCTGCTTAGACCAGCGTTTTTACACAAATACAGACAGATAGTTTGATCGACTGATTTATCGAGGGGCGTAAACAGAATATGACTGACATGGATAAAGGATGATACTAAATATTGTGTTTGACTTTTCCTCAGATAAGATTCAGAGAAAGTGTTTTTATTTTTGCTGTTCTGTTTGTAACGAACTTTCAGAGTCTTTCACAGATTTATCCAGGAGTCTTTGGGTTCACACTAGCTGGTGTCGAGAGCAGATTGGTACTAATTAACACCGCACACTTGGACCAAAATAAAGTGATATTTTGTAGTACGCTTTTCAACTCATCAAATCAAATCAGACTGAAGGCAAAGTGAGAGAAGATGTCGAAAAAACCATGAGAGTGTTTTCTATTCACAGAAAACAAGATGCTAAAATGATATGGGTCTTAAATTAATCCTTACACCTCGGCTGAGCGTTTTCACGCCCTCCACGGTCTTTTTCTCACCCAAGGAAATATTTAAAGGCTCATTTCCGTCACAGCTTTCGTCACAGTCGTCCTTCTTTAGGTTCAGACTGCCGATCAGGAGACAGAAAATCTCGTTTCATTCGTTTAAGATCCATATCCAAGATTAAATCACTTCTGTCCTGATCAAACGTGGAAAAAGTCCTCCATGCTCGCCTCTTCTCTCGGTTAGGTTACTGTCACTTCCTCCAAATCTCTTTCTCTCGCCTCCATCTTGTCCAGAACGCAGCAGCTCCTCTTCTTACTGGTTTTAACCAACACCATGTGTACGTTTTTAGAAATGATTTTAAGATTTTACCGATCCCTTTCAAAGCTCGTCTGGGTTAAGTGATAGAAATGCTGACGCCACATGATCTGTCAGTCTGAGATCCTCAGGTGACGTCCTGATGATCCTCCCAAAGTCGAGACTCAAATCTAAAGGAGGTCGAGTTTTTTCGACTCCCTGAGGAGAATCAGAGACATCACTTCTGAAAACTCACTTTCACAGACCCGCACCAATGTGAATTCAACTTTTAGCTATTTCTTACCTTTGACTTATTGACCTCATTTTATTTAAAAACTCATATTTTAATGCTCTAGTTTGAGCCGTTTGTTTACACGTCTTTATTTAATCCCCTCCTTTACCGTCTTTAATCACATTTACTTCATTAATTCATTTTTTTATTGGATTATTTGGACCTCACAGCCCCTCATCTGTTTTTATCCTGATGTGATGTCTTTCTCTTTTCCTTTCTCTTGATTAGTCAAAGCACTGTACTCTCTAAATTAAGTGATTGTTATAATAAACACAAAACCAACACAGCAGACTTCTAAGAAAAAGAGTCAGTCCTTTCAGAGCAGACAAAACTGTGCGTCTCTATCGTTTTGTGCTAACTGGGCTACGAGCTAGCTTATTTTGGTTAAAATCAAACACGTATTTCTTTATGATTTCAAATTTTCGCAGCTTTAATCTCCTTCAGAGCGGTTAAGGATGAGAAAATCACTCTTTTAAGACCTGAGACCGCAGGACAGATCCGTCTTAAAACCAGGACACCGACCGCTCAAAATCCCCCCAGCTATCTCGGAGCGCGTACCGTGTTTTTTTTTTCCCTAACGGAGATGTCATCTTGTTCCACTTCATTTTCTGAAGCTTTATGTAAACCAGTGACCTCCAGATTATTCATTAATGTTTAATTCAGCAGAGGCAGACAGTATGAGAGTCCACACACTGAAAACAGCTGAAGTGTCATGGCGTCTGAAGGGGCGTCTTATTTAAAACACCTGTCCCTCCAGGCGCTTTTATATGCATACGAGGTAATTACATTCACGGCATCACTTTAAACTCATTACCTCGCCTGTTGTTGTAAGTTAAATCATGTGTTAATGGAGTGTATTTACTGCATTCAGATGTGGTTAAAGATATCCTGTATAATGAAGCCGCTCTGCTGATGAGTCCTTTAACGCCTGCAGGGTCGAGAGCAGACGTGCATCACGGGGATAGAGTGGAGAGCGGCACCGCGCGCTGAAACACAAAAACAGACCCTGGGACTCTTTAACAACATCCGACGGACGATCACTTCACACGGCGTTAATTTAAAAAATTAATGAGAGGAAATTAGCCTCAGTTAGGCAGACAATTAGTAAATAAAGCGAATATTAAAGAGCATCATCAAGTCGTTTTGTGTAACCATTACGAGCGCGAACTCGCTGATGAGCTCTCCGCAGGAAGAACAAGCCCCCGCTGTCTGCTCAGAACTAATTCAAGACTTGAAAGAGGAAAACAGCTCTGGGTTTTTCTTCTTAATATTCACACAAGCACAGAAATAAGACTGAACTATGAAAAAACTATAAAATTCAAACTCCTGAGTCGAGGTAAAATAAATGTTCTCATACCGAGATGTACCCATGACTTTTATTTACAGGTTTATCCTGAGCATATGAGGTTTTAAGGAGTTGGATTCTTCAATTTTCCTGTTTATATCGCAATATTGCCAATCTTATGATGTTTTCTCATTGACAAGTGGATGTAGCAACCCTAACTTTTCCTTTATTAACATGGAGGGCATGTACCCCAAAAGTAAAGCCACAAAACTTGGAGCTCCCCCTGCTGGCTAACTGCAGTTTAGCTCATGAAGTCAGCCTCCTCCATGCTAACAGATGGGACAAGAGTCAAGTTTATAGTCAAAGTTAGAGTTAATGCTGTCATAATTAAGACGACTTCACTCAGATGTGCACTCAACTGATTTTCACTTATTAAAAGTTCCATATAAAAGTGTTAAGGATCGGAGGGTGCAGATCGTTGCAGCAAGACAAACATGGCGAGTGCACCAGGAGAACCTGCATCAGTGGACTGCACATGTGATGCAGAGTCTAACCCCAAACAGAATGAGGCAACTGTAGAGCTGCAGTGACGGCAGCAGAAGTCTTGCTTTTTTAATGAAACACTGAAGTAGGACCCCAAAAGCCTGAGAGGAGGCAGAGTGGCTCAGGGAGTGGGAGCGGTTTTGCAAATTCAGATGGTCTTGAAGTTTCCCAGTAAGTGAGAAACAGCAGAAACAGTCAGGTCATTTTTTTCACATTTCTGACATAGAGGGATGCACGGTGTTATCAGCACAGTGTCTGTAGCTTTCAAGAGTTCATTATTGGTATTGGCAAGTATAAAAATTACTGCTGATGTTGTTTTTTTTCTTTGCAAGGAAAACTGGCGTGTATATTTTGGTATCAAACGACTGCTTTAGACCTTATAAACTGGAGGGATGTTCCCCATTTACCCATGAGACCAAAGGTACTGAAAGTCAAATTTGCAGTTCCAGAAAGCCGACCTCCACTGCTCAGATTCTGGCCCAAAACACACGAGATGTCCCTACCTATCACAGAGGTATTCTAGCTTCATCTCTGCTAAAGGTTGGTGCAATCCATTGCTGTGTAGATGCATCGCCGATGACGATTCAGCAACAATAAATCAACGCCCATGCTTAAAATAAATACATAAATAATAAATTGATGCTTTGTTGCAAGGCTGGAACGGAAAAAGGTTTAACCGGAACCTTAGCACGTGCGCCACTTGGACTGTTTAGTGAGTAGGACCGCAACAAACAAAGCACGCCAGTTTCTTCGCAAAATGGCAACAGCTTCAGCAGCCTCCAAAGAACAGCCGATTCTCTCGCTACCGGGGTTGACTGCAACTGTGTGGAAGTCCTTTGGATTATAACAAGACAACTGACAAGACCAACGTGATTAGCAAGATTTGCAAATCAAAAATAAAGTACCTCAGCAACACCACAAACATGAGGCGGCACCTTGTACACTTTCATCCCAAAACAGAGAAGGCTCCTCCGGTTGTGCCCGCCACACAGAGGACCATCCTGGAGACCGTCTCCAAACTTCCCAGTTTAAGTTAAGTAGGTCAAATGAGTTGAGGCTATTTATTTACAAATGTAATCACAGATGAAGACAAAATCAATCTTGTATGTGAAAAAGCATTAAAAATGACAATAATCGAAGAATTGTGGCACCAATAATCAAATCGACAATCATTATGATCAAAGAATTGAAGCTCCCATAATCAAATCTTGAAGTACCCTTGTTGGAACACCCCTAATCTCTGCACAACAGCATACAGTGGAGACATACTATGTTGTTTAAAGAGCTGAAGTACTAAACCTCTCTTTCTCCGAATCCTCGAGGCTTAACGAACCAAAGGCTGTTTGAAACTTTCAGTGACGTTAGAATCAAGGTCACAGTGAGAGACCAAGATAAAGCAAACAAAGAAGAGAAGTCTCTGTATTAAAGTCTGGTTGGAGTGCCGCAGCCCTCCAGATTACTAAAAACAAGTTAAGAAGTAAAGAGAAAGGCAATGAAAGTACCCAGAGGTCAGTGCAAACTTATCAGACGGCTGTGTATAAAGTCAAACTGTGACTGTGTGGGATAAGCTCTGCACCAGGGGGTCTGAGGATGCGGCTCCCATGACTATAATCAGTGATTCCTCCGGTTCGAGCAGATTTATTTATGATTATTACAGGGTGGACGACGTCCTTGTGTGGAAACTGTGAAAAGCTCCTGCAGTTTCCCCTGCCTGCTTTCTTCTGTCCTCTGCAGCTTCATCCACTCACGGATCGCTCTGTCGTGATCACAAGTGTTAAAAGACGAAAAGGACGAGGACCTCAGGGCGCTCAACAACATGAGGAATAATCTAAAAATGAAAGATGAAGGCTTTCACGGCTGCGATTCAAAGAGCTATTGGAAACAATTGTCTGTCATTTGGTGGGAGAGGCCCATTTTTACCGGATGGGGCCATTTTAAAGAGGCTTATTTGATCAAATGATACAATTCTAACCAGCCATTGTCTTTTCCAAAGTAGTTACAGAGTGGCGGCGGCGGCGGCGACATCAGGAAGATAAAAGTTTATAAAGTCAAGTCCTCTGTGTAGATATGCAGCCGCACATCTCTGACTATTATGCAGCCCTGTGTAAGAATATAAGGTGTTGGAAGCAGAGAAACTCCTGAGGGACTAAAGAAGGCTTCTGTGACAGTGTTAAGGTACTTCCTGTTGTGTCATGTGACTGAACGTATTCACGAAATATTCGGTTGCTCAGTCAGAGTTTTCCTCGAAGTGACACGATCGTCGAAATAGGTCTGAAGTTGACGGAGGGCCAGATTACTTATGGAGGATTTCAGTTGTTCTTATTCTCCTATTATTCAATAAACCTATCCAAAATGACCTTGTCGAATTCATAAAGCACAAACGGTTTAATGCTCCACAAACTGGGCCGCATTTCTGTGCGTTAGTGATGTTTGCATACATTTAAATGATCCATTTTGCACGTATTTAGAGCAAATTAAACAATTCTTTCTTCCTGTGCAAAAACCAAAGGACGGTGCAGAAAATAAATATCCAAACATAAGTCTAATGATATTGGGTTATTTTTATTAGTTATCAGGAGTGAATCAGGAACTTTTCACTCCAGGAAGAAACTCAGGAGGAGAGTGCACAGAGCAGCTCTGAGCAGCAGAGAGTGAATGCTGGCAGCAGTAACACAAAAGACTCAGAAACGGCCTGTGATATAGCTCACTACAAAACTCGTGGTTTTTTATTTGCACAAGACCTGGAGCTCAAGGAACCAGAAGGGGTCATATAGAGTTTGACATTGACAAATTTCACCTGTTCAAGTCTAAATGGATGTTAAATCCATCTGATGGAAATGACAGGAAAGTATAACGCAGCAGAAATCCTTTATGGTTTCATCTGTCCTGAAACGTGCTCAATAAACCTGAATGAGAATAACAGGAGCGACAGAGAGCTGAATGAAGGCATGTGCGCTCAATGTTTGGTGTAATTCAATGTGACTTTGTGACCGCTACGATGTAATTCATGTCTCAGTGACCTGAATGAAGACGGATGTCCTTCACACACAGACCTCACACACACTTATTTCACAGCAGACTGCCTTTTTTATAAGAGAGGGGAGATTTGTCTGGTGTTACATCCAATCTACAAAGCGGTACGAATATAAATCCATGAGGAGTCAGTCCAAACGCAAATTTACAGTCAAAACTGTCTTTAAAAGCAACATGTCGTTACCGAATTTAACCTGCATTCATTATTTTTTCTTTGTATACAGACTTAAATTCATGAAGGGGTCCCACAGGGTTCAGCTCTGGGCCCACTATTATTTACAATTTAAATGAATCCTCATGTTTTTCAGATTTTTACGCTGATGATACTGTCATTTATATCTGTGAACTCACACCTGCTTAAGCGTTTTTAAAATCTTCAGCATGTTTTTGATTTGGTCGACTGAAACTTGTTCTTCACGCAGGCAAAGATAAACTCATATGTTTTTCATCTCCAAAAACAGTAGACTGTTTCATTTATCCTTGATTATGGTGATTATGAATGCCTCCAGTTATCGCTAACTTTCTTTCAGCTGTGTCAAAGTCAGTTGGACTGTTTTATGTACATGCCGGCTCGGGCACAAAGATCTTCATCAGTGAAGACATGTTGGAAAAAGTTTGGAGGAACTCCCTTTGGTCTTGACAAATGGGATTCCTAATCTTCATTTGGTGGACAATATGCTGTGAATTATTCCCAAAGTTTCAACTGATTTCGAGGAAGAAAGCCTTGAAGTACTCTGCATCTTCTGCCTGGAAAAGTCTACAGTCTGATCTTACTCTGAAGGCCATGATGCTGCCATACTTCACCGGGTCTATCTTGGAAAAGAAATATCTAATCCTACTAGGGCTAATCTGGCTAAATGAAGATCAAATTAAATAAAATACCTCATTAATTAACTACCTCATTAAATGGAGTCATCTGCATGTTGGTTTTTGCCACTGATAAGCTCGGGTTGTTGTTTTCCGTGTCTGACAACATTACGGTTGGATAGCTGCTGCTGTGATGGGCTTTTTTTGTCAAAGTACGGGGCTTTTGTTTCAAACAGAAACAGCTGCTACATCAGCCTTTTCAAAGCCACCAGACTACTCTGACAAAAACAGCTATTTTACCTCATAGGGGTTTTTTTGTCTGTCGCTGCCAAGATTGGTTGGTTTGGTCGGGCCATTATGTGACTGGAGGGGTTTTTTTAAGGTCAAGCTTCGATCAAACTCAACACAACAAGGCAAACAAAATAACCCACATTTTACCTAACCTCTGAGCGCTGAAGGGTTAAAATTACCGCTTTTGTTGAGGGAATTTTGGAGGGATTTGCAGGCGGCTGTGCAAGGGTTGTTCCTGGATTTTTTCAAAAAGTAAAAGGAAGTGATTCCTTTTATTTAATCTACACTTTAAGAGGTGGTATTACGCAAACATCAAGTTAAAATGTTGAAGACGGGACTGCAGGCTGCTTTGAATGGCTTTTTTAAAACAGGCACGAGAATTGAGCAAGATGGGCATGAAATTTTCTCAATTTGTGATGTCACTAATTGGTGATTTTCCCAATTAGTGACATCACAAAGTTGCTTTTGAACCTACAATGTTACATTCTGCAACCCAGACATATGAGGAAATAAAAATACTCTTATGAATGTTTGTTGATGCACAAGTTCAAGTGTAACTTTTGAGCGCCTCATCATGGAGGATAATCCCAAGGCCACGAGAAAACCATTTAAGCCCCATTCACCCAAAAGAATATGTCTGATATATCCCACTTTAGGAGATATAAGTCCACAGGATGTTATGATGATAGCACAGGTGTGGTGTGTTGTCTTATCATTTGAAGTATTGGGTTTGCAACAGTGAGTCCTGACCTTTAGCTGCCTGGCGAACACCGAGTGGTTGTCATAGACGAGGATGTTGGCGATGAGGCTTTCTTTCTCTTCACAGAATGAGGACGGACCCTCTGTGACATCTGGGTCCAGTTTCACCTTCGCCAGCGGGTAAGAACACCTGGTCCCGTCCCAAACCTGAAGACAAATACAAACATGATATGAAACAAGAGTCTGACTGTCTGCAGGGGGGGGAATTATAGAGAGCAGAGTTTCAGTCCCAAACTCATCTGGTACATCTGAACCCAAACTACTCTGGCTGTCCTCTTGATCGTGATCTTTACTTCGATCAATGAGAATTATTATGTGTATGTGAAATTTATATTTATTGGTAGGACTGTGTTCTGTGAGCTCCCCGCCCCTCCATGTGTTTTTAATGGACATTCATGTAAAACCAAGACTGCAAAGAGTTTACAGGAGACGAGCAAGACTCAAAAGATTGAACTAAAGAGGGGAGGAGAGAAGAAGGAGGAAGAGGAGAGGAGAGCAGGGAGAAAAGCAGGAGGAGGAGGGGAAAGGAGAGGAGGAGGAGAGGAGAGGAGCAGGGGGAGGAGGAGGAGGAGGAGAGGGAGAGGAGAGAGAGGAGAGCAGGAAGAGGAGAAAGGGAGGAGGAGGAGAGGAGAGCAGGAGAAGATGAGTGTAGGGTGAAGAGGAGGAGGAGGAGGAGAGGAGAGCAGAGAGAAAAGAGCAGGAAGAGGAGAGAAGGGGTGAGCAAGATAAAGAGGTGAAAAGAAGGAGAGCGGGGAGAGAAGGAAGAGGAGAGGGAGAAAGGAGGGAGGAGCAAGAGAAGGATAGGAGAGCAGGGAGAGAAGGAAGAGGAAAAGGAGAAAGAAGGGAGGAGCAAGAGAAGGACAGGAGAGCACGGAGAGGAGCAGGAGGAGGAGAGAGGAGAGCAGAGAGAGTAGAGAAGCAGGGGGAGGAAGGAGGCACAAGATGAGGAGAGAGAAAGGAGGAGAGCAGGGAGATGAGGAGGAGGAGAAGCAGGAGAAAAGGAGAAAAGGAGGAGGAGAGGAGAGCAGGAAGAGGAGAAAGTGAGGAGGAGAGGAAGGAGGTGCAAGAGAAGGAGAGAAGAGTAGGAGAGATGAGAGCAGGGTGAAGAGGAGGAGGAGGAAGAGGAGGAGGAGAGCAGAGAGAAGACAGCAGGAAGAGGAGAGAAGGAGGAGAGAAGGGGTGAGCAAGATGAAGAGGTGGACAGAGAAGAGCAGCAGGGGGAGGAGAGGAAGGAGGCGCAAGATGAGGAGAGAGAAGGGAGGAGAACAGGAGGATGGAGGAGAGCAGGAACATGAGAAGGAGGAGAAGCAGTAGAGAAGGAAGAGGAGCTCAGCTAACACATCCATGAACAAAAACTAAACTGTCCCAGAAACCTGTATTCGGGGTCACATCAGGACACCCTGAGCTGTAAAACAAAAACTATAACAAGAAAAAAAGTCAGAATAGTTTTTTCTAAAGTTGCCCCCAGACTCTTCACAGTCAGATTTATTCATATTTAATCCTGCTTCACAGTAATACCGTCAGGAGCAAAGAATGCTTAAAAAACCTTTGTTGACGTTGATCTCGTATGCTTGAGGAGAGGTATTAAATTCTATTCTTGGTCTAATAGGCGTTTATGATCTGGAAAGGATCCTCTCCTGGATGTGTGTGTGGTTGTGTAACAGCAGGCAGCGCTCGGAGCAGCTTTAGAAATCAGAGTGAGAGGAGACTGGCAGCCGACCAGCAGTCCCTGCCAAATCCCGCTCACATTTATCTCTTCTATCAGCCTCACTGGCAGCAAACCAGGCTCCACTTAAAGCCTCGTTTCTCCTCTGAAAACCGAGGTGGCAGGTAAAACAGCTCAGGACTGAGATAAGAAAACACGAGACCTCCTCCCACCGAGGCCACCTGACTCCACTCCCCGACTGAAGGAGAGCAGCTTCTTTATGTGCACCCATCCTAACGAGACAACAAGTCACATTAACATCGGTGACAAGAAATAAACAAGGGACGACGGGTAACGAACACAAGACGGCGAGGACTAATAGACGTAAGCTGACGGTAAACGGCCTCAGGGGGAGCTTCCTGTGACTGTGATGATGCAGAGCGAACACAGAGGGATTTTCAGGTGTTTATTAGCGGCAAACATCACAGACTAAAGGTTACTGTCTTCAGATCTGCAGGTTATTAGTATCAAAGTCTGTGATGTTGAATTTATTTAAACAAAATCTACAAATACTGCCTGTGGTTGTGTGCCTCCAGTTAATTTACAACAAAATGAAGTAAATGAAAGGATACACGAGCCTGAAAACCAAACAACAGCACAGCAACATCAACATCCAGAGATCGTCTCTCTATCTCTCTGATTCCTCCTCCATCTCAGTGTTTAAAAAGCTGATTTCAGTCACTTACATTAGATCCATTTGACCTCCATAAATAAAATCGTTCAGAATAAAAGAACCAAAAACTCTTTATCGAGGAAGTGTTTTTAAGTTCTCGGGGGTTCATGACGAGTTTTTTTATCCACTCAAAGTAACTGAGCAGCAGACTCTGTGTCTCTCACTGTCAGACTTTCTGAATCCTCTGCTCTGCAACGACACAAAGACAGAGTCACACTCCATTACTTATTGATCATTCCAAACAAATCCTTTGTCAACTTCGTCAAGATTGTGATTAGGAATGGTTAATTTGTAGAAGTTTGATGTCAGGAATGATAAATCAATATTTATTTTGTCTGTCAGCTCAGGTTGGACCGGTCTCTAACTTTTTAAGAATTATCATGTGAGTTAAAAGCTACATTTTCTGAAAGTTATTTTATGTTTTGCAGCATTTTTGACTTTGAAATAGGAGAGCTGGAAAATTAGGGAGTAGAGAGTTGGGGTAGACATGCAGGACTTGAACCAGTGACCGATACAACAGTGATAATAGCCCCTGTATATGGGGTGCACTAGGACTGCGAGGCCATCGGTACCCAAACGGCTGCACTTTTTAATCAGAAAACAAGTTTGTTCTTGTTTGTATCTTGAAAAAAAAAGTCTGAAAAATGATTCCGCTATAAGACAAAGAGAGGGGATATTTTAGACTGAAACCGTGGTCACAGTAGATGTCAAAGATGTTTGGACACACTCAGACTTAAAGGAAAACAAGTGAGTAAAAACCTAAAAACACAGAGTATCGACCAAACAGGCAGACACACTGTTATGACTGTCAACCAGCAGGAACCATGTGTGTACGCTGCATGTGTGTTGTTTCGCTCTTACGCTCAGCAGGGTGCGGGTGTTGTCGATGAAAGTTTTGGCCAGCAGCTGGCAGGTCAGGTCGAAGTAAACTTTGGGCGTCACAGCCGACAGAGGGGTCGTGGAGACAGCGGGGAGGACGCTCTTTGCTGAATACCAGGATCGCAGCTCCTCGACCCTTCGTCTGTCTTCCTCGTCGAAGTGGACGGACTGGCTGGAGGTCCGAGGCTCCACGGGATTGCCCACCACCCCGTCAAAGGTCAACGCGGAGAAACCAAAGGTTTTGAGGAGCTCCTTGGAGTCTCTGAAGTAATGAAACTGCAAAGAGGACAAGAACAATCGTTCAGCTTTGAAGACATCATCCTTCTTCATGAGGAAATCTGCAGGTTTGAAAAGTTTTTATTCTACCTGAAGAGTAAAAAAAATCAAAACAATAAAACAGTTTAATTTCTAAATGAATCAGTTAACGTGAATCCAGACCTTGACTCCGTGCAGTCGTACAATGTCTCCAACTTGTAAGACCTTGGGGTGGTCCTCCAGCTTCTTACAGAAGATTTTGCAGAGGATCTCCTCGTTGGACTGATCGGTTATCTTCAGGACGGAGCAGAAATCTGTGCAAAACACAAAAATATTGTTAGTCAAAGAAAAAAAAAAAAACAGATTTGTGTCTTTCCTTCCACAGTTATCAAGTTCAGCATGTGGAGTGTGACGAAGAAAGAATAACAACTTATTAGGGCTGGGCGATGAACCGAAAATTTACAGATACTGAAAATTACAACAATAACTGACGTCATTGATGGTCTCGTGTCCCTTTAAGACGTTGTCCTATATCAGAGACGTGACTCCACCCCATCCAGTCCGTAACAAAGAGGGAAAGACAGGTGAGGAGATGGAGGACGGTTCAAAAGTTGTAGCGGCTGAAGTAGACAAAGTTAATGTGGGAGGGGGTGAGCAGCTTGTGGAGTAGTTATCGTCCATTTATCGTTATCGGGGTGAACTGATCAATATATATCGTGATATTGATTTGAGGACATATCTTCCAGCCCTACGACTTATCATGTTTGAAATCACTTAAGTAAAAAGACAAGGTTTCATCTGTCTCTTTAAGACCCTCCCCTCCACGAGACTACTTTCCTCTGATTGGCCACCTCTTTGGAGGACATGTCTCGGCTCCGCCCCTCCATTGTGGTCAATCAGTAGAGCAAAGGTTTAAAGACAAAACTTAAAACTCTAGTTAAAGTACATTTTAAACAAACTCCTTTTTACTTTTAGAGACCATACTCGGCACACTCATCAAATCATCGATTCAGAGCAGGAAAATGTTTCTGTCTTTGTAATCAATGATTTCAAAAACTTTAAAAGAGGTTAAACAATTTAAAAAGGGTGTTTTTGTGCATTTGTGTGTTTTTGTTTGTTACTGTCTGATCAGATGGATTTTTTTAATATCTTTCTTGAGTTTAACAAACGCCTGAAGGACGCAGGAAGAAAAAGACCAAGTCTCAAACACACACACACACACACACACACACACACACACACACACACACACACACACACACACACACACTTTATCACTCTGCTCTGCATGGCTGCAGGTCGACTCAGACTGATAACTCCGGCCTTTATTATCTTATCAGCGTTTCCATCCCTCTTCCTCCCAGATTTTGACACTCCGCTCTGCTCCTCAGGTCTCAGATTTTCTCAGCTTCATGCCGGTTTCAGCTCCCGTGTGTTAACTGGAGAAAGTCAGGAGTTACAGAAGAAGTATCCAAAGCTCTTTCACACTCAGAGTCTTCGTTATGACTCCATCAGCACAGAAACTGAAAATAAACTCCTCCATCACGCTCGTTTCCACCTATCTGAGCGTGTTACGGAGATAATCAGAGACGTTTTACACCTAAACAAACCTCAGCACTCATCCACCTTTCATCACTTCATGAAGAGTTTCTCATCTTTGCGGCCCGTCAGCTCGTTTCGGTCTCAGCTGAGGTGATGTGTGTTAACTTTTCGAAGCTCATTCAACAGCAGTTCTTCCTCGTCTCCAGAAAATTTCACACACAGCTGCAGAGCGGATGAATGTCGCTGTCCGTGGTGCTGAAAAGACTCAAGTCTGCTGTGGAAACGTGGCGACTTCTGAGCTCCACAGGATGAATATTTCACACTTTAACACACGCATCCTTTTCAGATTGGGAACTATAAATGTAGGATAAAACAGTCTTTCCACCAAAATAAAGGAAAAAAAAAACGTATGCTGTCTTTTTACAACATTAATGAAAAACTGTATCTATCTAAATTGATATCTCATACTCATATATTACAACTCTCTATAAAATGGTGAAGACTTGTTCAAACTAACAGCTAAATCTCATTATTTTTCCACTTGATTAATCCTCAAATATATACAACAAAGTTAGAGTATTATAACTATGTGTACGGATACCAAACTTTCATTAAATCACATCTTCTGCACATTTTTCCATCTTCAAATATCATCTATAACTTTTTTTTTATCAATGGCAACATAATTTTGGCAAAACACGGAGACACTTTTCGATCCATGGATGCACCAAGGCATCACGGTTATGGGGCGTTCACACCAGGCGCGAGTAAAATCATTTGCGCAAATGAATTACATGTAAAGTCAATGCAAAGACGCGATTAGACGCGGTGGCGTGAATATTGCGAATATGGCGGAGCAAAGTTATTCGCGCTAATTGAGTGGATGCAAATTCGCAAAATTTGAGAGTCGAAAACTCTTGGGATAGCCAAACATCATAAAGATTCCCAGGTGATGTAAAAATAAAAATATAAATATTAATCCTTTTACTCACAGTAGATCGGTGGACAGGCGCTCTGCAGCTGGGATAGAGCGTCTGTAATTGGTATCCTGGAGGGATATCCTATAACCGACTCTCACCAACAGGTCGTCAACTTGGAGGAAAGTGAGTGAGGATGTCTGATTATCTGTTAAATTGTGAAAAACTGCTGTCTATCTCTTGATCCCACTGGTTGAATTGGCAAGGATCACTGTTGAAATTAGCATCAATGACTATCCGCGGCTTTTAAGCACTCTGTTGACGCAGAAGTCATTTGTCATTTTAACACTTTTAGTTCACGTGTCTTTGAGAAATTAAGCGAGCAGATGATTTTGCCCGTGCTTGATGTGAATGCCCCATCAGACATCAGCTGACAGACATCAGAATACACCTCGCACCAGTGTCAGGGGCTGATGTTGCCCGTATCTCCATCACATGAATGCAATAATAGACAGCTCTTACACTTGACTGCTAATCCAGAGTTTAAGACTTTTATTGAGCGGAAGAAATCCTCTGAGACCGATTTAAGGAAGAGCTTTAAAGAAAGAAGAAGCAACTATTAGCACATACATCAAATCCCACAGCTCATTATGAAATCAGATGTAACAAAGTTAGAAAAATAAGGTACAGGCTGTAGGCTACAACTATAGTTTAAAATCTGAAGGTGAGGAGAAGGGTTTTAAACTTTATGTCTGGGTGAACAGGGAGCTAATGGAGGTTAGTAGTTGCAGTTATCGATTCTGGATGTGATAAAAAGACGGATCAGAGTTTCAGTGATGAGAACACAATAACCAGAGTATGAATGTGAAACAGATCCCTGAGTAGTTACAGTAAAAAAACAAAGAGGAGACCTGCAGGGGGATGTAAGGAGCTGAGGTTACGCACAATTCTTCGTCAAATAAAAAGAAAGATCAAAATGGAAATGTTGTGAAAATATCCAGCCCCTGTGTGTGAAGGAATAAGTATAAAAGGAGAATAAACAAAAATGAGCATGTTTTATTTCTGCAGTCAAAATGGGCGTCATGTCAGGGGACCCAACGAGGATTTCTTTGCTTTTGCAGACTCAAGTTTTTACACCTTCTCAATGGCTTTTTTTCCCTTTCTCTTTTCACAGACTTTTATTTTGAAAAATTCTTCATAAAGCTTGGATCTGATTCAGCCTCACTCTTTGGGACCCAGCAGCATAGACTATGAATAAATGGACTGAAATTCGTGCTTCCTGGTTACGTTACTTCCCTGCTGTTTATGAATTTGTGCATGCGATGTTTGGACTTAACGACATCTATTTGAGAAGTTTGAGAAGGGAGGAGGAAATATCTTGAACCTGCAGGTAGCTGCTCGGAGGTGGTGGGACTGAAAGTTTCTGAACAGTTTCTGGTCTGGTTTCAGACTGACCTGTGCCCCGGGATTTATACGGCTGTTTGAAGAAGGTCACCACCCCGTACACGTTGACCACAGATTCAGCCTTCAGGTCGTCCAGTCGCACATACGTGTATTTTGGAGATTTGGTCGCCCTGGAAACCTGCAGACAATCAAAGCAGAGTTAGAAAGAGGAGGAAGCAATTTACGTTTGCATGTTTCCTGCATCTGTTTACACACTTCAACATAATTATAGCCTTTTTCTCAAGTTCTCATTCCTGAGGTCACAGCTGCTGATGTGTTGAAGCCCGGTGTTTTTAGGCACAGCCAGTACACTCCAAAGTAAAGGCGTGACCCCCCCGTCAGTCACGACTGCATTATTTTACAGAAGTAATCAGTCCACCGACAGGTTTTTGCAGCAGGAGTCTAATCGCTTTCTGTTCTGCTCTGTTGATTTGTGTTTGCATTTCAGACAGAGTTCATTTTGACGCTAACACATCATTACTTCCTGCATGTGTTTCATTATAAACCTGTTTATGTGAAAGCGTAGGGAGAGTTAAAGTATGACACAAACTCCTCAGGTGCTGGTCTTGATAATTAAAAAACGGGTAACACTTTTTTTTCTCACTCGCATCGATGTTTCAGCATCACGGTGCACAGACGAATGTTTGCAAAGTTTGTTACTGTAAAGAAAATTTAGTCTGAACTGTATCATACATCTGTTGTTGTTAAAAATGCTCTTTCTGGTTTTAATTCTCATTTTTAAGAGGAGAAATCTGCAAACTGCTCAAACTGGCAGCATCATCGTCTTAAAGATTACGATCACAGAGAGGTGCTGATGGTTTAGCTGAACTCAGAAGAGGCTGTGCCCTTAAGAGATGAGGTTATTCCCTTTTTTATTGTTTTTATTTATCCTTTTTTATTGATTATGTATTGTAAAGCACTTTAGTTCACCGAAAGGGTTGTTGTAAAAGGCTGTACAGTTTGAGAACATTTACATTCACATTTAACGACCTGCTGCTGCTGTCACTCATTTCTGCGAAACCTTCAAAAATAGAAACGATACAAAGATTGAGTGTTGAGCGTGAGTGTGAAACAGCTGTTACATGCTGCTGTGTGTGAACGAGGAGCATGAAGGTGTCATCATCATCACCTCCGTGTTCGATCTGCAGACTGTGATGGCAGCGAACCGAGGACAGATGTGAAAAGGAAGTAATAAAGGAGCTGTGTGAGATTTCAAGTTTCTTTAATCCTGGAATTTAACGTAACAAACGTCGTTTCGGATAAATGACCGAAGCTCGGCTAACGACGGATCAGAGCCGCTGATACTCTGCAGTCGTCTCCGTCTCTTTCATCATTTCCTCAGTGGAGCTGATAATTAGAAGAATAAAGATCTGAAAAAAAAAAGAGTATATGCTCTTTAGAGACGAACCTGAAAGAGGCGGACCACTGCTATTTTTAGAAGAGGAGACCAGTCTGAGCTGGGACAAGCTTCTACTGTGTTTTCAAGTCTTAATCAGCTGCTTTTAAAAACATACAGGATCTTTATTTTCATTCTTTATGGTTTCAGTGAGAATTTACTCTTTCTATGGACTTAAACTACTAAAACAGGCATGTGAGGATCAGATGGAGACAGCAGCCTGGAAGAACAACAAGTTCAGGAGGTCGATGGTCTCCACACTCCCAAATCTTAGTCCAGTTGAGCATCTGTTGGATTAAATGTTCCCTCTAGATTATTAACGAGTGACTGTGACTGGGCACGTCAATCACCCATTAATTTTTAAAAACTTACTTTAACATTGACTTCACTTCAAATAACGATAATCAAACCCTCTAAACTCGGTTTCATTTAGTTTTCTGTCATGTTTACATTTCTCTGACGTCACTGCAGTAATGAAGCACTGTGGCAGCAGACAGTGTCCGGTAGGGCTGGGCGATAAACCGAAAACTTACAGATACCGAAATTTAAGACAATAACCAAGGTTGTTGGGTGTCCAAAAAATAAATAAATTAAAGTTGGTTTTGGATGTGTGTAGGTAGGCTATGGTCTCATGTCTCTTTAAGACGCTGTCCTACGTCAGAGACGTGACTCCACCCCATCCAGTCCGTAACTTAGAGGGAAAGACAGGTGAGGAGATGGAGGACGGTTCAAAAGTTGTAGCGACTGAAGTAGACGAAGTTAATGTGGGAGGGGGTGAGCAGCTTGTGGAGTAGTTATCGTCCATTTATCGTTATTGAGGTGAACTGCTCTATATATTGTGATATTGATTTGAGGCCATATCGCCCAGCCCTAGAATCTGGTCTACGCTGAGGTAGGAAGCGTGAATAAACCAAAACAGTACCATGAGGAGCTGTGAGGGGGCTCAGAGAGACGGTTCTTGATGAACTGAATGATCCAAACCCCTAAAAAGAGAGGATCAGCAGAGGATCCAGACTCTGTTGGTAAGATGGATCACAGAGAGCAGGTGTAAAAATGCCTCATCCAGGATCGAATGTTACGCATTTAAATCTGGTCTTGGAAGTGGACTTGGATCGTACGGACCTTGTCCTTTGCAGCGTTGTTAATCATGACTGTTAACAGAAATCCAAGTCCATCTTTTTGACCCCACACTCTGAGTTTACGATCGCTGCCATGGTTGCTTTTGTGATGTTCACTTCATCAGCCAGCTCGTTTCCTGATTGGCTATCATTTCAATCAACGTGAAAATCTCCAGTGTGTGTGCTGCTGATTGGATCCTAATTATTGAACATGTTGAATGTTCATAATTTCAAATCAGTGCAGCCAGCTCAGAGGAAGTACAATCAGTGACCTTTGAAAGGAGGAGGACTGGGCCCAGACTGGTCCAGATTCTCTGATTCTGTCCTCTGTTTTGGACTTTGTGTGTCACTGAAATCCACTCTAGACCTGAGAAATGTTTGCTAATATTTTACTGTTTGCAATTCACAGGATTATTGTTTTATATTAAAGCTCCTTCTGTTGCTTTGAGTTTTCTACTTTTTTATCCTTCTGATCAGTAATTTTGCACTAAAACCAAAACAAATGTGTCGTCGGTACAAACCCACTGATCAGACATTTTAATTCTCTTCACAGACACAGAAAAGGCCAGCAGGTCCCTGATCCAGCTGAGGTGACAGCAGGACAGCCAGCAGCTGATAAAATACCTCCACGCCAAGCTGATGCTTTTTCAGCGCTGAGTCTGACCTGAGAAGAGAGCGCGGCGTTCCTCTTGACGGCTGGCTGAGATCTGGGGTCAGGGGGAGTCGGCTGGGAGAAGACCTGAGGAGGCAGACAGAGGGGGAGGCGTTACAGCGGTGAGGGTTCACAACAGCAGACACAGAGCAGACACAGAGCAGAAACCAGAGCGGCAGTGAGTGACAGGAGAGGGAGGTAACGTCCACTGTCTGAAATAAAAGTATTCAAACTTTCGAAATCGGCTCTGAAACTGATCTTAACTCCTCCTTCTTTGTGTTTTTAGATCCTGATTGACCACTCAGGCTTAAACTAAACTGATGTTCACATAATCACATATGAATTATGGGTACCCCTTAAATACTCTGCATGATTCAAAGATTCAGGAAGGTTTGCAGAGACAGGAATCAAAATCAGGTATTCAGGTCCTTTTTGGAAAGACAGCAGTGAGACAAAAACTACAGACTGAGAGAGAGCGGAGGAATCACTGAGTGACCTTCATATCACAGTCCGGAAACTTCAGAAAAGCAGCATCAGAGTGGAGTTACTGTCTGCTGTAAACTTGAAGAAGCTTGTGTTTTTGTTTTTGTAACACCTGCAGGTGAACATCAGAGCAAAGTGAAACCCATTCACAGGAAAGCTGAGACACGTCTGCAGGTGTGAGGATGGTTTTCATGAGCGTCTGAGCCGGACTCGGCGTGAGACACGAGAGGAGACGAGTCGAGACTGTCAGCCTGCAGACTAACACAGATGAGAGTTTATAGAGATGTGACTCAACAGGCAGGAAGCAGATCCGTCTGTGAGGGTCTTAGTTTGGACTTACAGGGTCCTACCTGCCAATAGTGACACAATACAGGTGCTAATTTACATTGATGGGATAAACAACACTGATAGTTTTAGAGTCGATGAGTGCATCTCCGAGTTAAAACCAAAAAACTTCAAGGCTGTGATTTACCCATCAAGTTTAAAAAGGCTTCAACATAAGGCTGCAGGATTCTGGCCAAAAATAAAATCCTGATTTTTTTCTCTGAAAACTTGATTTTCGATTTTGATTTTTTATTCAGTGACAAATTCACCAAACTTCACTTTAATAACAAGTTTTTCTATCATCCCTCAAAACGAAACCATTTAAAATGATGTAGTGCATATGCCAAGCCATATTTAACCACGAAATTAACGCCTTCTTTTGCAAACGCCATGTTTGTTTACGCTAGTGTGTGCAGGAACTGGGGAGCGCTCCCACAGGAAGGGGGAGCCTACGGTGGCCTGGAGGCACGAGACATGATAGAGAGGAAGATAGATTTGACGATTTCAATTTTTTTAACATCATCATAATCAAATTCGATTAATCCTGCAGCCCTACGTCCTACAATCTTTAGTTTTATCACACCTCAATTATTACAGAACTATCTGGTCCACAGCATCAACACAAGAGCTATATTAAGATCCAGCAGCTGAGTCCAAATAGAGCTGCACGGCTGGTTCTGAGCCGTTCAATGAGGGAGGGTGTAGACCACATGCATGACACATGCGGCTGTCATGGATAAGAGACTGGCATGTAATCTGGTCCAGGATGTAAGAAATATTCAGCTCTGAAAAAGCTGCATACTTGTACTCACAGCTAATATACACAAATGAGAGGCTAATGTGGATCCTGAATACCTGAATAAACATGAAAAAGCCTGTAGTGAACACAAACAGTGTGGGGCATGAACCAGGAGAGACCCTTTCTCAGATGTACTTAAAACATTGAAACAGAACATAATTCTGAAGAGTGAAGTCCTCACGTAAACGCAGGCTTTGTCTCCTGACAGCTGCAGGTTCCATGGGTGCAGCTTGTCCTTGTTAGCAGTTGGAGATTTGCCCACAGTGAAGCCAGAAACCATCAGCACATCCTGCAAGAAAACACAAGATCATCAACAACAAGCAGAGAAGCAGGGATTAAAACTACGAGAGCAGAGAGGGATGAATTTACATCTTCCTCCCCAGAGGGAGGACAGATTGAAGCAGCAGATGTTGCATCCTGGGAGACGTTAAGTAAGACGTCACAACAAGCAGCGGATGATAAGCTGGTGTGAAAAGTAGAGATTGTCTTTTGTTTGGCGTGTCAAGTGCCCCTGAGATACATTCAAAGCCTCTACTCAGGGCTGACAAAGGGACAGTCTGAATAATCATGTTACAGAGACACGCAGCCTGACAACAACTCTGTGATCTACAGCCGAGCACGCCGGCCCAGGCTGCCACCGCTTCCTGAGATCCATCAAGACGCAGCTGCAGGGGAACCAAAAAACACAGAGAGATGCCTCTGTCAGGGGGATTATCCCTGACGCGTTCACTGTCCCTGTCCAGGTCAAAAGCAGATCCACCGCTCTGTAAACAAACTCTCAGCTGCCTCTGTGTGTAGATATGACAGCGACAGAGTGGACTGAAAGTACGAGAGCTGCAGCGGAGATGATTCAGAGTCACTAAGTTTGTGAAGTTCAAGGGGCTGCAGGAGGGGAACTGTCACTGCAGAGCAACAGCACACGAAGAGGAATGCTAACCAAGCTCAGGATCATCGCTTCTTTGAAGCGAGATGTAATCCTGGAGACTTGGGCTCAGTGTGAGTTTGGAGACAGATCTGTTTCTTTAACACATTATTCAAAAGTACAGGTCCCAGAAACCTGGAGGCAACAAGCTTCATAAAACTCCAGAAATAAACCAGAAGAGCTCCTGGTGACACATTTCAGATTCCTCTTGAATTTGATCAACTTCATGCTTGTAATATGAAGCAACAGCAGCTACGCAGGAGCGACATTAGCATGAAATCAATGCAGCTTGATTCATACAAGAGAGTGAAGAGTCAACACAGAGAGGCTGATACCAAAGAGTTCAATTAGAAGCAGCATACACTCGCGTGCATGTTACCTGCACAGGTGTAATTAAAAAGACTGACTGATTCGAGTAAGTCTCTGACAACACAAACAGGCTGAGCGGTTCAGCTAAATGACTGATCCAGCCGTCACTCAAAGCACCTTTGCTTCTTATTACGGGAGTTTAAAAGGGACTAAACTTCAGCCAGCCAACGAGTCTGCAGGTGAGAAAGAAGAACATGAGACCATTAAAGGTTCAGAGAATCTGGAGAAATCCTCCTTAAAAAGACAAAAGGCCAAAAACACTTAAAGAGAAGCTGTTATCTTCAGGCCCTCAGGTGGCCTGCACTGAAAACAGACATAACTCTTCAGTGGAAATCACTGCATGGCGTCAAAATAACCCAAAAACAAGTGATGCGAGATAGGCATGTGGGTCAGGTGTCTGGAAAGCCAGGCAGCAGTCGGGTGTGCAGATCCCGGGTAGTGCGCAGTGGTTCATCAAACTCCATTTGTAAATAAATCCATCTCCTCCTAAAGATTGACGTCCTCCTTATCAACACTTGAAATGAAGCACTCGGCTCATTACCTTATTCACAACAAAGGTTTCATGATTCAGAGAAATACATTTTCAGTTTTAGCAAGAATACAAAACACATCTCATCAGATTGACATGAATATTCATCCTGCAAAAAAAAGCCTCTTAATTCTCATTTACTCAGCACAGAGGAGGTGGCAGCTCCTACCTCTGCTGTTTGACAAGACATGATAAAAACGGTCTGTCTGAATGTGTGTGGTGAAATAAATCAAAGTCAATATTTGCAAGTTTACAGTTCCACCTTATTAAAACACAAACAAACAGATAAACAAACACAGGACATGAACAGGAAACTGAAAATAACTCAGACTGTAAATTAGACTCAGCAGCCAGACGGCATCGTTCTGAATCATCCCCATCTCCATCACAACAGCATGTCTCCTCGGGATAAATATAGACTCCAATGATACACAGATTTGTGTTTATCAGCATAAAGACGTGGATAAAGGAACGGCTATTAACGTAATCAGGATTGTGCAGAGCGGGGAGTAAACCCTTGAGGGCTAACAGTCCAAACATCTTCAGGATCAATTATTCACTTTTCTTCAAAAGTATGTCTGACCTCATCCTGCTGATTTTCACTGTTACAGACAGAAAGTTCGTTTAAATTAACAGGAAAAAAATGATTTTATCAAGCACCGATTCAAACATATCTATGAATACTTCTAGAAGCTGGACACTCACAGCCATGGCACAAAAACAATCACATTTATAACAAAGTATAAAAACCATACTTTGTTAAACCCATTTTGTGACATCTTCGCCACAAACACCAAAAACTTAAAACCTCTTAAAGCCTTAAAATCTCTTCAGTCTGACTTAAAAGAATAAAGGAAAAAATGTTTTCACCTAATTTTACTGATAACTAAAGCATGTCTGTAAAAAAATTTATCAACATGTTTGAAAAGGTATATGAGCCCTGCTCTCCCCTCCCCCTGCTTGTCTCCCTGCTGATCTTTCTTCCACTCCCTGATCTCCTCTCTCCCCCTGCCCATCTCTTCTTTCCTCTTCCCTCCTCCTCTCTTCTCCTCCCCCTGCTCTCCTCTCTCTGCTTTCTTTTTTCCCTCCTGCTCATCTCCCTGCTCCTCTCTCTTCCTCCCGCTCCTCTCCCTGCTCTCCTCTCTACCCCTGCTCTCCTCTCCTCCCCTTGCTCCTCTCCTGGCTTTCCTCTCCTCTTCTTCTCCTCTACCTGCTCTCTTCCATCCCTCCTGCTCCTCTCCCTGCTCTCTTCTCTCCTCTCCTCCCTCTGCTCCTCCCCCTGCTCTCCTCTCCTCCCCCTGCTCCTCTCACTGTCTGCCCATTTTCCTGTCACTGAATTCTCCACACTATATCATTAAGTTCTGTATGTAACCAAAGTCACACCGACTAGATTGTTTAATTTTTTTTAGAAGATTTCCAAAGTGATCCATAAATCCGTCTCTCTATTCTGATCGACCTCCTTCATAACAACAATAACCATCAGCTGATGTTGTGAACATACCCCTTGCTTCACAGATAGGTTGAATTCTTTGGCCAGTGTTCCCATCAGGACGACATTAATGGATGCGCTCTGAGCTGAGGTGTCTGTCTGGGACTCCTCCTCTGTGAAAAAAGACACAGGAGACAGAGTTTATTATTTTTAGAGAGATGTGGGGATGCTGAGTCAACATTTAGGTGAAGGAATTGAGACAGTCAGCTCCTTTATTTCTGACAGGTACGTGATTTTGGTGATACATTTGTGGACATTTTAGGACTTTTTCAACACAAAACCCTCCGAAATAAAAGTACAGCTCCCATAAGTTGGGCTTTACTTCTTTTTTTAAGTATAACACTGGTACAGTTAAAGGTCTGTCTGTACAATCAAAAGTCAAACATTTATGCCTTCAAAATGTGTTTTTTTATCAGCTGCTGCTGTTGTCGACTCAGATTAGCGAGATCAAATCCTACAACGCATCAGCAGGTTGAATTCTGCACTTAAACTGGCCGACTATTAATAAACCAACAATAAGTGGAGTCAACCCTTCGCATCCTGCAGCCGGACACACGGGCGAGGATGTCTGAGAGTTTAAACGTGTAAAGGAAGAATGTCCCCGCCACAATAAGAGCCTCTGCTCTGTGTGGCTTTTTAATCAGGCTGCTCGGAGATAAGACGGCCGAAGACATGACAACAATGAGATACACAGGCCCTGCGTTTGCCTCTGCAATCCAGACCAGCTAAAGAGCTTACCTCACACATACAGGCCAGACAGATCCACACACACACACACACACACACACACACACACACACACACACACACACACACACACACACACACACACACACACACACACACACACACACACACACACACACACACAAACACACACACACAGAGGCAGTGAAAAAGCACATTAATGTCCATTATGTCAATCATTATAGAAGGAAAAACCACATTTCATTAACAGAGTCAATGTTAATCAGCGAGCGTCAGGTTGATGGATGGGTGTCTCAGGGTCACAGAGTCATTTTAACTGCCACACTGTTAACTCACCAGCCCGCTTCAAAAACTAATTTCTAACCCACTGAGACTGGCGGGGAGCTGCTGGGACTGATTCAGGTGGAAAACAGCTTTTAAACACACATATATGTGGCGTGTTACCTTGGATGACAGCTTTCAAGATGAAGTTGTCAGCTGCTAACACCAGCGGGCCTTTACGGACCACTTTCCCCTGGAAAATAAAACAGAGAAGCAGTGAAAAGCATTTAGCTCAAATTGAAAGTCTGCACAGCATCACCGAGGGCCTGTCAACTGATCAAAGCCACATCAGGAGAGTGAGCAGCGTTGATGAGCGCCTCTGGGAAATGAGCTGAAGACAGAAGGTGGATTATTCTGCCGCTTTGGTTTTCATAAATGTATTCCTGTGGCGTGCTAATCAAAAACAAGAATACAGCTTCACGCTGAAGGAAAAAACCAGGCAAGGTGGAAGTGAACAGATGGTGGCAGGTGGAAATATATAGATATCAGTGCAGGGAAATATATGAACCCTACAGCAGCAGAGAGGCACTTCCTGTGAAGGGCTGTAAAACAGCTCACTGCTTTTAGCTGCCTTATAATGATGTCAAACTGGAGCTGTTGTGGGGAAACTATGAAGGATTCCTGCGTTAATAAATCCCTCACAAACTTTTCCAGCAAACAGAGTGACGAGCAAAGCTTACTGTCCACTCCCACTTCACTTCACATCACATCGCTCCCTTTATTTTACAGGTATGCAGTTTCCACTTTTCTCTACAATGTTTCACCAAAAACAGCTGGAGTTGATGTTTTCTTTTATTATGCAGGAAGCAAACCGGTCTCACACCCTCTCTGCAGGTGGTCCTGCATTACAATCAGAAAACTAAGTATCTGTGATATGTCTGCAGAGGGACATGACTTATTGAGTTTTTAAATGGTGAGTAATTCATAAAAAACTGAGGTTGCTTCCTGTGGTTTGGTATAGGGCTGGGCGATGAACCGAAAATTTACAGATACCGAAATTTACGACAATAACCGAACGTCATTTTGCCCATATCAGTATATTCGGTGTCAAAAAAATAAATAAATGAAAGTTGTTTTTGGATGTGTGTAGGTAGGCTATGGTCTCATGTCCCTTTAAGACGCTGTCCTACATCAGAGACGTGACTCCACCCCATCCAGTCTGCAACAAAGAGGGAAAGACAGGTGAGGAGATGGAGTTGTAAAGTTCAAAAGTTGTAGCGGCTGAAGTAGACGAAGTTAATGTAGGAGGGGGTGAGCAGCTTGTAGAGTAGTTATCATCCATTTATCGTTATCAAGGTGAACTGATCAATATATCGTGATATTGATTTGAGGCCATATCGCCCAGCCCTATTTCAATCTGTGATATGCATGTGTATGTGAGTGTAAATATATATATTGGGTTCATATATGTGTACTTTCTCGATTATATTTTTTTATATTGATGACAAACAGCAATCATCTATGGATCAATAAAAAGTCTAACTGGTCAGCAGATATACTGAAGTGGCTTTCCAAGTTTATGTGTGGACAACTCTGAGCTGATCGCCGCTGAAGGTCATGTTTTAAGCATGGAGTCAGCTGTGTCTGCAGTTAGGAGGGTGAGACTGAGCTTGAAAATGCTAAGGGGCCAAAATCACAAAACAAAAAGGCTGTCTTTGGATCCCTGAGCACCAGTCGAGTCCTGAGTCCTAAAGGGATGAGTCCAAGTCAGGTCTCAAGTCATGTTATAGTACAACATAAATGCAGCTCAAGTCCAGGTCCCAAACTGGAGAACAACAAAATCTCAAACGATAAATAACTAACTTTCTGAAACAGATTGAAATTCCCAGAGAGAATTTAAAAAGCAGACAAGACCAGCAGTTTTTTAATGTTCGAAACCGATCAATACATTCGACTGCCAAAAGTCAGGAGGACAATACTCTAGCACGTTGACGACAAGATAAGAAAAGACTGCTTTGTCCACAGGGGGCGCCAAAGTTGACACAAACCCAAAAGTGCATCACAGGAGCGTTAAACTGTGAGAAATATTTAGTTAGTTAAACCAGTCTAACATACCTGGACTGCTTTGTTGGAGGGGTTGATTATGGGGTTGATGTCTGAGGTGGGAATCCTGGTCAGGTCATTTGGTACCTGGGTGCCTGGCCCCGCCCCCTCTGACAGGACATGGACGGGCATGTTGTCGAGTTGACCTGAGAGACATTGAAAGAACAATACAATTAAAATCAGAGCAATGATCAGAGTTAATGAGACTTATTATTGTTTTTTTAATAACGAGGTCATGAATGACATGTTCAGATTTTCAGGTCAGGAGTTTGTGGTTTGGAGGGGAGAGAGGGTCAGAGGTTTCAGGCTCTGATCTACCTGAGAGAACACGACACTCGGCTGCTGATAGACATGAATCTAAACTGGGATCTGTGGTTTTTAGGTCTGAAGTTTGAATACCAGTGTCTTCCACTGCTGACGACTCATTACAGGAGATAAAACCTCTGACAGGAAGCACCTGATCCATGTCGACAGCATGTTGGGAGGGTTAAAGTCTGTGAGGCGTTTCAGGGGGGAAACCAGGAAAAGTGTTGGCCGTGTTCCCAGCAGGTAGCACGTTGCTTCCTGTCAGAGCTCGTTAGTTTGATTTCCCGCAGATTCGACTGGCGAGTCCCTCAGTGGAACCTCGTGGAGCGAGGACGGCGGAGCGGGGACGGCGGAGCGGGAACAGCCTGCGAGGCAGACGAGCTGCTCACTCGGCTGTGCACTCAGCTGCTCAGTCAGCCAGAAAACCCACACGGGAAAAAAGAAAATCAAATAAACCTCTCAGATTTGGACCAGAGGGGAGGAGCCACAGGCCCGAATAGCGGATGAGGACTGAGTCATTCATGAGGTCATAGCGGTGGATAGAAGGAGGTGCAGACGGTTTTTGGAGATGACCTGCAGCTGTGACAGGTCACCCTGCAGTCTGAGCTGCAGGTTCACAGACTCTCCCACACCTGCAGCTTCATCATCAGGCAGGACTCTGAGATTTTAGCAGCTTTCACGACAAAATTTGTAGTTTTTGTTTCACTGAGACATGAATCTGCATTTTTTATCACAGGCCTTTGGACCATGAAGAGTCCCCCTCTCCTGCAGTCAGGTCTGGTGTGTGGACACTGTCCCTCTCAGCCTCTCTGTTCCCCATGAAGGAATCTGTCGAGGTGAACTCCAGTGACCCTCTGAGTTAATGAGGGTCCTGGAGCAGCTGAGTGGCGGGGTCTCTGCGACGCTCAGAGGAGCAGGGAAACCGCCGCCTGCTTGAGGTGACGAGTTTGTCATTTGGCAGGGGTCTGCTGCCGTCCCACCGCGGGGATCAGGCAGACTGTTCACGGCCCGCTGGTAGATTCTGATACATCACTGTTCTGTTGGAGGAACCCTGACTCTCAGCTCAGGCTGTAGTGTTGTTTTCTGAGGCTCGGGTCAGATCCATGGAAGGACAAATGTCTGGATTTTAGTCCATAAAGATAGTGGCTGAAAGAAGAACCAGTTTCATCCAGTTTGAGCCCAAATAGTTCTCCTATTAATGCCTTCATTACAAAACAATGAGATAAAGAATCATGAGAGAGAATATCAACTTAAACAGCTGCCGTAAAATCCACTCATTTCGTGAGACCGACAGCCTTAAAGCAATAATTCTGAGGGTTTCTGTGGCGTTGGTGGGTCGGCGTTTAGTTTAGTCACTCAGCAGTCTGGTATCTTCAGACATCAACTTTACTTTTACTGTTTTAGCAATCATGTCAAGTTCCTGCTACTGGGAACATCCCATTTCTGGATGTGGCCGTTTCATAATAAAGGCACCCTAACAATTTTTTTAATAATGATTCAACAATCATTAAGAAGAGTATGTCAGCGATGTCTGAGCAAGTTTATCATTAAATTACCCAAATTTGGCTGAAGTAAGTTTAGCGATGTTTCCACAGACACCGCAGAGTTTAGGGGTAAATTTACAGTCGCCCCTCTGACCGCGAGTCAGAGCTCCACCTCCTTCTTTTAATGATAACAATCTGAAATCGTGCAACAACTCTTCAACTGAGAAACAGCGCACTGACAACTTAACTAGGGTGGTGTGAAGTAGGGATGCTCAGAAAATTCAGCTCCTGAAAATTTTGGTTAGTACACAGTCAAGCCATAAATGCAATGGTACTAATTGTTGGGCTGTGAAGTCCTAGTGGACCGGTCGATTTATTGGTCGATGCGTGGTGACTAAAATTCAGATTGGTTTTAGTCGACCAAGAATTTCTTTGGTTGATAACAGCCCTAAATATTTCTTAATTTCTTTAAGCATCTCAGTTTTCGGCTTTGGTTTCCTCATTTTCAGACAAAGACTTTTCATTTCATTTTCATCCCTTGTGTGTAGTTTTTCAGGCATGTGAAGGTTAACCTGACTCTGCTCGTGTTAGACACTGTTTTCTTGGTGTTTTCGTGTTTAGACTCGTCATATTGGCGAAACCTTATTTGTTATTCAGTCCTCAAGCATGGAGCTGTTTGAGCCCCCTGCACTTATCACTTTTACAACATAACAACCTCTATAATAAATGGACTAAACTAACCTTTTCTTTCTCCTTGTGTCTCATAATTTCACAGTAAGCCTGCAAGTTCAGAAAAACATCTTTGTGCGATGGATGATAACAATTTGGAGAAATAGTGACAGTGTGAAAACAGAGTGAAGAACCCTCTGAGATCCACCTCATCCTGCTGCTTCTGTTTCAGCTCATCGATTAGTCGTGCGGTCCACTTTCACTCTTAAAGCAATGTTTTCTTGGCAGCAGCGGGCAGCTGTTTTCAGCAAAAGAGCTCCAAAAACCCCACTGTTACTCCCTCTCAGCAGCAAACACAGCTAGAGACAGGCTGGAGGGCAGCGTGAGGCCTTTAGCAGCCAACAAGTCAGATATTTTTGCCTCGGATGAGATGGAGACCAATAACAGACTTGGAGGAGAGACTGGAGCAAATTGGAGTTTAATTATAAGGACACAAACACGGCTCAGCTGCAAAGTAAGAGGTTAAAAACCAGCGTTGACACCTCAAATCATAGAAAACACTGTAGGTGAAATGATGCCACTTTAACACTTAGTGTTATTTACTGTGTTTATAATGTCATCACTCTCCTAATTCGGTCGCTGCATCAGAGTTACAGTAGACTTTGTCATGAATACAAACACCTCATTGACTCTCCCTCACCGTGCAAACTCAACTGTGCACACTCATATTTAATTGCTGTTTTACAAACTGCTATCTTCCAGAGCACACACTCATTAATTATGGACAGAGGTGAACCCACACACACACACACGCACACGCACACCGAGAGAGAGCTCAGGGTTGGCTGCAATTTGAAGGTTCATTTGAACACAACACAAACCTCCAGCTGCCACAGGCGGCACGCTCCGGCAGTTTCACCTATTGAATAAATAAAAAAATAAAGCCGCACAGCTCAGCAGGTGATTTCAGGGGTTTTTATCAGGTCAGGAGCAGCTTGTGAGTGCAGAGGGAGCGGAGGGGGAGTGTGCTGAGGGAGGGCGGCTCAGCGGTGCTCAAAGAACACCATTTATTAAAACCACTTAAATTCACACTCCAGCGCCGAGTCCCAGGCTCTCTGTGGACAAAAACAGACGGACCTGAGACACAGACAGAGCTGTTTCCAATTGTCTCACTTCTCACACCTGCATTACACCTCCACCTGGGGAGAAAAGTTTAAACCCCGAAAAGAAGACACTCTGTTCCTGCTTTAACCTGCAGCTCCTCAAACTTCAGGTCTGATGTGCTATTATGGAGGAGGTAAACCTGGACCAATTATGGATTCAACAAGATTTGGGGATTATTCCAGTAAATCACTTCTGCCAAAAGCTGCTAAACTTGCTGTATTGGCAGTAAAGTAACTGGAGCCAAATGAACCCACTTCAAGACTGTATTCAAAGCAATAAATCAGAGCATATTAACAGGTACCAATCTAATCACAATAACACCAGTTATTCCAGCCACATTACAACCTGATACACACAGTTATCTTCATCCATGAGTTGGGCTACGCCGCAGATTCAGACCGTGGACACATTTAATGCCAGCAGTAAAAGCAAAATTTAACTCCTTATACATATTTATAACTAAAAACAGGATGTATGGCATGCGGTTGTCAAAAACTGTTAGATTTCTCCTGTTTTTGAACATTTAAAGGGATTTTAACGTTTCTCTGCAGCATCGGCGTTGTCAACCCTGCCTGAAGTCTCTGCAGCTTCATGAGTGCAGGTATCACCCGATGCCAAAACGACCCGACCTGACCTGACTGTCTTCCCCTGTGACAAACTTTTTTATACCTGAGTGCGACAATATCTTAAAGCTGTGGCTTAAGCCCTCTTTTGTACACAAGGAGAGATGTTGCAGTACCAATTATTCCCTCCCGATACCGATTCCAATACTTGCACTGTGGGTATCGGCGGATACCAGGTACTGATCTGATACCGGTAATGTTATAAAAAAATATATCACACCAGGTAGGGCTGGGCATTGCATTGGAGGACAGCACAGTTGGACCAGATACATCTCAGCTGATGTTCGTGCTTTGTAGGCGGAAATTCGGAGAGAACAAGAAGCTAACATTAAAACAAAAACGAGAGCTTCAAATATTCAGATATCAGCAGGACCGCAGGAGGTGGAATGATACACACAGTCTGTGCTCTGGATGGTGTTTTTTATCTCTGAATCCCAACAAATCATACGTCTTATCTCCTCCTCAGCCCCAGGATGCAAAAACAGATCTAAAAGGTTTATTTTCATGCAGACTGGAGGACTTCCCTCTGCTGCAGGAGTTGCAGAAATCTCCCCAGGGGGCAGAGAAAGAAATGAAGCGTCCCCTGGACCTTCTGATAAGGAGAATCTGACACAAACTCAAAAATACGAACCACTGTACACAGAGAAAGAGGACTGAGTCTGCAGGTCCCTGCAGTCATAGAACAAAACGATGGTTTGGCTGTAATTCACTACAACAGGACGGCAGCACATCAAATCAAATATGAGACTTATTTGAGCATTTTTCAACCCAGTTAAAAAAAATTAATACTTTTTTCTTATCTGATTAAAAGGCTCATTTGCTGTGTAAATTATTTCAAACAAACTTATGAAAATCATCCTGCGCTTTCACCAGTTTCTCTCTGATAAATGTCACCAAGCACTACACTAGGGTTGGGCAATAAACCAAAAATTTACCGATACCGAAATTTATGACAATAACCAACATCATTTTGCCCATAACAGTATATTCTGTGTCAGAGATGTGACTCCAACCCATCCAGTCCGTAACAAAGAGACAGGTGAGGAGATGGAGGACGGTTCAAAAGTTGTAGCGGCTGAAGTAGATGAAGTTAATGTGGGAGGGGGTGAGCAGCTTGTAGAGTAGTTATCGTGATTTATCGTTATTGAGATGAACTGCTCAATATATTGCGATATTGATTTGAGGCTATATTTCCAAGCCCTACACTTCACACTCAGTACATGTACATGCACAGTTAAGTGGAGCTATAGTGCCTCATTTCTGCTCGTTACAATTGGGTTGTGTCCTATTTTGTACCAAAACAATCGTCATAACGCATCAGCAGTGGTTCACACAGAACGTACATCGAACGATGAAAACACCTTCACTTTTACAGCTCAATACATGTTCTTTGTATGATACAACAGTTTCTTCTTCTTTGTTGATCAAGGTTTTGTTAGCCGCCCAGCTATCTAACAACAAATTTATGCTGTTCAACTTCCAGGCTAAAGACATGTGCTGAATCCTGCAGTTTCAGCCGGAAGCATTAAGAAATAATCACTCCCCAACCATTGCGTACCATGAGAAGTTCTATTTAGTTAACTGGAGCTGTTTGAACGATATTCTAGGTTTCTATTTGATTCAAATGTCTAAAAATTCGTTGATATTTGATTCTGTTCACTCGGAGTGGCAGCCCGTCACTCCACTCTGACAGAAATGCACAAAGCATCATGAGCTCTGCTGCACAGAGTGAGATCTCTAAATAAAAAAAGGTGTTTTTCACATGAAAAATGACATTTTGATTGGATGCAAGTAGTGGTGCAACGGATCATCATTGATCCGTGATCCGTTCGGATCGACGTATTCGGTTCGGCACACATGTGATCCGCGGATCGATTTCTGAAAGCGGAGAAAGGAGGAGCTCGAACGCCCCGCGACACTTAAATCCCCTGTATGGGAGCATTTTGGCTTCCCTGTCAATTATGATGAAGAAGGAAAGAGGTCAGTGTACAAAACTGCGACGGAGTGTAGGCACTGTGGCATAAGAAAGCCATATGACAGTGGAAACACATCGAGCATGTTCACGCATTTGAAGCGACATCACCCGGGTGTTTTACTGACAGGTGTTGTGCCGTAGATTGCACCCCTGCCGTAGAACGCACCCCCTGCATCCCCTCCACCCGTTAGCTTCTTAAAGTGGAGATAATGATCTCATATTTGATATGAATAGCCTGAATGAAATTATTAAAGGCAAACGCTGTTGAATACATCCAACGTAAGGAAAACTTGTATTATTTCGCCTTGTTATGTACTTTCAACCGCGCTCCCGTTAGGGGGTGCACTATACGGCAGGGGTGCATTCTTTGGCATAACACCTGAGCTAAAACGAAAGCTGCCCAACAACCGCTCATCACCGCAGTATTTAAGCAGCCTCTATCTGCGCAATCCGACCAGGCTAAAGCTTTCACAAACTCTATCGGTGTGTTTATAGCTGCAGACATGAGGCCGTATTCAGTTGTGCAAAACGAGGGCTTTAAAAACATGCTGAAAGTGCTTGAGCCACGTTACGACATCCCATCGCGCACACACTTCATTTTTGGTTCATTGTTACATTTTAAAGGAAGGAGATATGCCTGTATATTGCACTTTAAGTTGTTTTTCATTAATAATTATGTTAAAAAGAACATATTATGCCCTGTGCACTACTTTTATATATTTTATTTGTCTTGTTTTTTTTCTTTTTGCTGATCCGAAAAATGATCCGATCCGTGACTCTTGATCCGAGGAACGATCCGATCCGTGAGTTTTGTGATCCGTTGCACCACTAGATGCAAGTAGCCAATTAAGTAAACACCAGTCTAGAGAAGGTGTTCTCGAACATACAGTAAGGCAAAGCTTTCTCTGTACAGCAGAATCATGTTAAAGTGGACTTGTGTTAACATTCAGTTGCTGCAGACAAAGACTTGATGAGGATAAGCAGGTCTGAAGCAGAACTTTTTAACAAAGTACCTTTTGTGCACTTTGCAGCTTTTGGTTTTAAAAATGTTAGAAGACTATTTTAGGCCAAACAAATCAGCCCTATTGAGCATATGTGACTTTTGCAAACTTTTTTCATAGTTAATTAAATTGAAAATACAGCCTTCATGGCGAGGAGGATGTCTTCTATAGAAGCTGGTATTTTGGGGGGTACGCCTCCCGAGACTGAAACACTGCAGAGTTGCTGACTGCAGGCTCCACAGAGACTCTTTTTATTGCTTTAATAGAGATGGTTAGAGGTTTAATGAGCTGCCATTATGGTATCACCTCAGTGCAAAAATGACTCCAACTGTAATAAAATCTCACTTTTTAGCTGAGAACAGCTCTGGGCCAAAGCTGTCGGCTAAGATGACAGGATCAGCAGGTCTGTAATTACTCTATCAGAGAGGATGACAGCTTAATAACACTGTTTGATTGCACTGAGGATTTGTCAAAAACACTCCTCATAGCAATGCAAGGTATCCAGTAAATAATGCCGTAGGATTAGAGACATTTTAAACGATCGCTCATCATGTAAAGAAAGGCTGTCAAACATCCAGAGTGACTGTAAACACACCACAAGAAAGATGGCTCGAACTCAACCTGGAGACACGCTGCAAATTCACAATGAAAGAGTGGGGTTTTAACAAAGGCAGGGGCTCAGCTGAGGGTCCCTTTACCACACAAATAACTCAAAAGACAGTCGAGGATGTCGGGAAGAAAGTATGAGACAGCAAAGCCGAGCTCAGACCACGGATTCTCGACTGAAAAGAACAGAAGGTGAGAACTGGAAGTCATCTGTACAGCTGAGGATGATGCTGCTATTCGACATGTGAAGTCATTAGCAGCTGTTTTAAAAACACTTTTTTTTCCCCAACAGGTGATAAGATGTCTGAAAATTTAGTTTAGAAAATCAGTTGGTCTAAATGACAGCAGGCAATAAAGGGAAAACATGCAAAGACTGAATTGATTGAAAAGTTGTTTTTTTGTTTTCTTCCAAATCCATCTGAAAAAATGGGAACATTTTGTACTTGGGGTTTAATAATTCAACTCAGGAGTCGAGGCTGTCATATACAACATATTATTATTGCTCTTCCAATATCAGCTCTGAAGACAGAACGGTCTGATGAAGCGACCTCGTGAGATCTTCAGTGATCTAGTGTGTGTTTGTGCGACATTCAGAGACTGAATCCAATCATCGAAGGTGATTTGTGATGGTTGATCTCTGAATTCTTGTTAAACCTGACTTCCCTGCCTTCTCAGTTTTGGTCTCCTCGAGTGTCTGCTTGAGGCTGACTGTAAAAACTCCATAAACTGTGTGCAAACCCGTTCATAAAAGCACATCTCAGCAAAATAAAAAAAAAGGTTTTGGTCTGAAAAGATCATTTTTCTCTCCTGGAGGATGTTGACATTTTTTTTATAACGCATTAATTCGGAAGATTTAAGGTTATGGGTTTGTATGTCTGACAGGTATGCAGACAGTAGCTGTTAGGGGAGCCAATCAGACTCAGCTGAACTCCACCTCTTTGCCTGTTGCCAAGGTAACTGAAAGTTAGGTTGAGTCAGTAAACTCAGCTTCAGAAACAAAACGCTGGCGTCACAGATGCTGCATCTGTGTTTTGTGCAGTTTACGAATCAAAGTCACTCTGATGTTGATTCAGAAACATCACTAATTAAAGGGATATTCCGGTGTTTATTTAAGTTACTGTCAAACACACCGTAACACCGAGTTAGACACCCCCTCGAAAGATGTATGTCGCAGACCGCTTGCTTCTCTAGTTATACCAACTTTAGTCATGACCGCACAATAGCAATACACAGCGGTCTACGCCTCCATAAACAAACCTCAACCAAAAAGCCACTCTATAGCCACAAATAATGCTCAGAACAGCACCTAACTTCATCAACAGGACATATAGGGTCCCAGCCATCATACTAGCCATCAAACATCTTTTTAACTTTGACTAATTTCTTTAGCAAAGAGACTAAACACAACTCACCTACTCTCCTCCAGCAGCAGCTTGTTTGTGGGGGGGCCCTGACGAGTCGCTCACTGAGTGCAGCGGGGTTTCGCAGCTCAAGGAAGAACATTTATGATTATTACTTCATGGAAATGCAATCAGAGTTTTACTGTATCTTGTTTGTGCACTGAAGATGCTGTAGCTCTTCTGCCTTCGTGTCTCAGTCCGATTGCATTTCGTAGTAGTAGTAGGCGTTTATTCAGTCATGACAACACTAAATACTGTACACAACATTGACATTTCACACAAAATCCCTAAATCACTTAATCAAGAATCATGTGTTGAATATTGACTGAAAAGGCAGAAGCAGACTGCTTATAAAAGCCTATCCTGTAGTGTCAACTTTTTAGGCTACAGACCTCCAGAAAAGCAAAGAAACCAAATCAACAGATAATTAATCGCACTTATAAGCTTCAAAAATAGCTTTACAAACCATTTTCTTAAAAACCAAAAAAGAATGATGTGTTTTTAGATTTATGTTGGCATCATTCCAGAATTTAACTCCAGTCATGGAGACACATCTCCTTTTCATAACTTTTTTTAGCTTTTTGTACAGTAAATTTGCAAGCAGTTCTGAGATTATACAGACCACAAACAAGCAGATGCTGGAGGAGAGTGGGTGAGTTGTGTTTAGTCTCTTTGCTAAAGAAATTAGTCACAGTTAAAAAGATGTTTGGTGGCTAGTACTATTGCTGGGACCCTATATGTCCTGTTGATGAAGTTAAGTGCTGTTCTGAGCATTATTTGTGGCTATAGAGTGGTGTTTTGGTTGAGGTTTGAGTGTGGATCCATAGATCGCTGTGTATTGCTATCATGCGGTTGTTACTAAAGTTGGTATAACTAGAGAAGCAAGCAGTCAGCAACATTCATTTCTCGAGGAGGTGTCTAACTCAGTGTTACGATGTGTTTGACCATTACTTAAATTTACACCGGAACATCCCTTTAAGATTCATCACTTTAGAGTGTTTTCTTATTAATTTGTTATAGATGCTTTAGACAAATCAAGTTATCACAAAAGTTTTAAACAAAGAGCACAGCACAGCACCGTGTCTTTGTGATACAGTCAATACTGCACATTAACCAGCTGGATCAAGGACTTCTGTTTAACCAGATTACCTCAGGACCAACAAAGCCCTGCATCACGAATGCATCAACAAACATCACGACCAAGATGGAGCAGCATAGAAATAAACCCAACACAATTCTGATTCTGCAGAAATACTGGCCTATTTGGAACAATGTGATTCCTGCCTTTCAAGAGTAAAGGGCTACTGAGCAGGGCATGAGTGGCTAATGGATGCGTGTTTGAATATATCATAATTATTGCATCATTATGAAGAAGAGAGAAGAGAGAGAGGGTGATAACTCTTGGTCCCTCTCTGTTAAACCTGCCATGTTTTGTTTTACTATTCCTTTGTGTGGGAAATGAAGTGAGACAGAAAATGACGTTAATTAATCTTCCTGCCAAACCTCAGCCAATCAGAACAAAGTGAAAACACAAACATGTCAGAGAGAGAGAGAGAGCAGCGCCCGTGTAGCGATGCTGCCTCACAGGGTTTGGTTTTTTCCTCCCTTACAAACAGCCTCTGCGTGTCAAAATCCCATAAGTGTCCTCTCTGTTCGTTCAGCCGACGCTGGAGAGTTTGCCAAGACACAAACCTTATTTTCTCCATATTTGCATAATCTTTCTCTCTTTTGTGGGGATGAGAGAAATTGAGGCTCAACAGCAGCAGAACCAAAAAAAAAAAAAGAGAAAGAAACTCCCAGAATAGATGTGGAGGGAGGATTGTTCCTGTGTGAGCGTGTCTGTACTGGAGCGAGTTGTGTTTTATAAGATGCAGATGAACACGCTGCTGCTCTCATTCACTTTATCTTAAACCTTTCTATGTGTCCCCCTTTTCTGACGACCTTCATCAGGTTTTACAGAGTCACCATGTTTACAAAACTCACAGTTTTTCAAATGCTGAGTCTGGCCCATGGCTCAGTTTTTCTGTCCATCTGAAAAATGATCTGAACTGCGATCAGAAGTCCCTGAACCGAGCTGAACTGTGAGATTTGTGGTCCGCTGCATCCCGTATATTTACAATCCATTGTTTTTTCAGACCTTCATCAATCTACAAGCTGTAATGATGATTTGTCAGATTTCCTACAGTTACGTGATTTGTAAACTTGAAGAGCAGCAGGCTCTAGTATATCAGCATCTCAGCTTCCCACCTTCAGCATTTTGCAGACATGGAGAGTTTGCACACAAGCTGCGGGTGGATGCTGTATTTTGCTGTGTCACAAACCAAATCTATGGCAGTGAACGTCACACTGATGAGCATTGTATCATTTATGACTGACTGGGACAAAAACATGAATAACATGTCACTGCTGTGCAACTGACAGGCACCACTAGATCATAAAAATGTTGATTTATGCCACAGCGTTGTGTGGAGAGGAAACAAACAGCTGCCTTTTACCTCAATGACCACAGCAGAGGAGAAAACTGTACGATTGGTCAGCATTAAAAATGCTTCTTAACAACTAATTTACCAGTCAACCTAAGGGGAATAAGAATTCTGAATAACTGACAAGTCCAAAGATATGAAAACAATATTTAGCACGATTAAATTGACTCTCAGCATCTGACAGGAAACAGCATCAAGTGTGTCTCACATTAGCAGAGCTAGCACCACCAGCACAGGTTTAAACATCTACATGTCTGTGCCGGTTACATCATCTCTATTCTATCTCTATTCCATCTATTCCATCTCTATTCTAACAAAATATCCGGCTTCCCATAGTGTTGTTCCGCTTACAACCCAGACTCATTTAAGTTACAAGGGTTCTCTGTACTTGTGCTGTTGTGGCGGTGTCTAAGCATGTGCACCAGTGGGCGGTAGTTTGACAACCCAGGATGTCAACCACCCCCCCAAAAAAACAGGGAGAAGTTCAGGAGAAGTTTTGTGCAGTCGAACAGAGAGAAATACACAAAGACTCAACATTCCTCTCACCACATACCAAAATGTCATCAAATGTTCACACTATTTAACTCCGTTTACTCGCTCCTTGGCCGTTAGCATGCTGGTTAGCTTGCTAGCAAACACACAACTAAAGGGGGTTTAGCTTCTCCTCACAAACACACCCGTCTTCCTTTAAAGTGTGCAATTTGATTTCAACAGACACTTAAAGGCATATAGCACAAATGTTCGCAAAAAGCGTCAATCTGTCGTTTCATGTTTACGTTGAAACGTTTGGGTAACGTAAACTGCATTACAAAACCATTGACTTTTACGTTTTAGCGATTCTACATCGTTGCGCGGACAACAGAAACATTGATAATAATTTTTCTGAATTAGCAGACGCGAATGAAAAAATCGGCGGACATTAAACACAATTTACAACGGTACATACAATAGTTTGGCTACTTTTTTGACTGATTAGTACAGCTGCGCACCTGTGGAGCTCTACGTTGATCCCTGACAGTGTACCACAAACAAGCCCGATTTAACGAATAAAGAAAGCGTAACGTTGTCAGAACAGTAAGCCGGATTTGAAATGGGGATGCGCAGATTTGTAAAACAATGTTTAAAATTGCTTCATTTGCGAAAAATACCGATAATGGGCAATGCATGTCAAAATCGAAGGGTTTGTATACGAAGTTTGGATTCAAATTCGTTTCAAAGCATAGGGAGGTTTCAAACAAATAAATATACTAAAACACACTGAATACATTCAGTTTCTTGTGTAAAACATTCACATAGCAAAATATAAACGAATGCTTTAGATTAGGATAAACTTACCGGAGCTCGTGCTGCTCGTTTGTTTTTCCCTCGCTTGGTTTCGAATTCAGAGCTGCCTCAGTGCGCATGCGTGAATGGGATGCCGGGCCAGCACTGATTTGTAGACTCAGGGAAAATAATGCAAAACACAAATTAAACAAATGAAACAAAAAAGGTGACATTATATACAATGCATTTATATAAATCAATATAGCTCTACAGTTTACAGTTAAGGTTATTTGGCAGTTCATTTTCTTAACATTTAGACCAAAACATTGATCACACTTGGACTGGAGTGGGTATTGAAGGTGTTGTATGCACTTCTGTTTATTTGCATGCATTAAAACCTCTTGGTTCCAGTGTTTTACCTAAAGAAACTCAGGCTTTTTTATATAATGCAAGTATGCTTTTAATTGCATGTCAGACATACTCACCACAGGTCCACTTCACACTGTGTGACAGTAGTTTTTTGTTTTGGCCGACTGACAGGAGCAGGAGTCTGTCAAGGAGAGGAGGTGTGATACTGACACCACGGGGTAAACCTGCCAGAGCCAAACACACACTGCAGCTTCTGGAAAATGACTGTCTCTGTGACTGCTGGTGTGTTTTAGGGGCACTTCTGGAAGAATCAGTCCTGTCAGGAGTCAAAATAAGGTGGGCTGAAGAAATGCAGCTGCTCCTGGCTTTAGAAACCCACCCTGGAAGAGTCTGTGTCCTTTTCAACATGGACTATCTGCTTTACGGTGACAAGCATCTGTGTGATGTTTATTCCTGCCTTGTTCAAGTGACCCACTTTGGCCTGTTCAACTGCTCTTGTTCCTATTTGTTGCAACTCTTTCTCATAAAAGTATATGATCGTTTTTATGTTAGAGCTTGATTTAGTGACCTTTCTTAGGTTTTAAAAGAAAAAAGTTCAGTTATCAATAGTTAAACACACCCATTGTACCATTTTCTGCATTAAAACTCATTGTATGTAACATTCAGACAGACGAAAACATGGCAGTAGATTCACTCAGCAGCTCTAACGGGCCATGTGACCCTCGCCCTGCAGGTCTGTCATCAGTCTGAAGAGAAAAGTCCAGCCTGTCGGTGGATTTTATATCAAAGTGTCGAGTAATTATTAAAATATCTCTCTGTGCATAAATCTCAATTATTCTGCGTTATTTAGCACCAAGCAGGAACAACAGCTTCCCTCTTATTAAACAGCAGCTCTGCTCTGAGCTATCGCCGTGTCATATTCATGTAACATTAAAGATGGAAACCTTAGAAGCTTTTACAACCAGATTACTGACTGTTTAATTAAATTGAAAAATGCCAAACACTCAGCGAGCCTGTGATAGAGAGCATAATTCTGCAGCCATATTAGCAGGAGGCTCATTTCTCAGCACTAATGAGTTTCTCCTGCAGTGACACATCGCAGGAGCCGGCCGGAGGTTCAGCTCCTGCTTTATGTTTCTAATCAAGCGTCCTCCTCTGTGAAGAATATGGCCAATAAACCCCATACATGAAACTGTCCTGCAGATGCAACACAACAACTTCTATATTGTCCAATTTGTCTCTGCTGCTGCTGAGGAGAGGAAGAGAGGGGGTCAGAAGAAAGTCCTGATAGATAGTTTCTACTCTGACCTCAGGCTGTGGCTGCCATCAGACTGGAAAATTGGGAATTAGAACCCAGATATCCACTTAGCTGTTTTGCATCTCCACACCTATGTAGACTGTTGAAGATGGAGTAGGGATTGGGCGATTCTTTTACTCAGTTTTCAGAGTTGTATTAAGTTACTCAGGAAAAGTGCCTGCAGTTCCTTGGATGACCACTTGAGGATAACTCCAAAAAGTTTTGTTATAGACCCAACCCAATGAAAATCTTGTTTTTCTTGTTTTTTTACTTGTTCAAATGGCATTTTTCTGATGCTAAGTGCAAAACTGCATTTCTGAGTATTTCTGCATTCAAATCGCTGTGAATCGTGGAACAAGCGTGTGCGCTAGCGAATTGCAATGCTCATAAGGAAGCTAATTATGATATTAGCTTTCATCATGTCCCCCCAAAAAAGTAGTGCCTGAGAGCTGAATAGCTCCTATGTTACCTGCCAGTTATACTACACCGGCAATGTTAGGCTACAAGCTAGCAGCGCTGTCTCCGCCCACGACACAGAAGGGAATTGCTAATGATCTACTGGAGCTCTGCGGAAGAAAAGTCGTTGAAAATGACACAAATAACACCATTTTGGCTAAAAACTTCATAATCACAATTTAAAGACCACTGAGAACACTTTAAGTAGTAGAAAAAAAAAGATCGCAGTGGAACTTAAAGCATCTTACCCTTTTTATTATTAAAACTGATGTTCAAATTAAATTGCAGTTATTAAAAAGTAGAAATAAGGTTTTAAGGCAAAAACATTTCAAGTACCAGGCTCTATAGGGGTTAAATCACATTTGAAGCTAGCCTCTAGTGGCCACTTGAGGAGTTGCAGATGTTGCAGGGGCCTTGTGCATAAAAAGATACATCAGATCAATACTAGAGTGCACATACACTAAATACCTGAGGTGACACGCACAGCTATAATTCTGATTGATAAATCTGTGTCCACGCTTTCATGCACCTGCTCCCCTGATATGAAGCCTGTGGATTTCATTCTCATTGCTGAACGTTTACGTCTCAGTCACATCACATGAAACTCTTGATTGTCTCTAAGTGCTCGGTATGCTTTGAAAAGTCGAGCTGTGCGTTCGATCAAGGCTACAGTCAAAGAGTTTAGGAGTGAAAAGCCTGCCGTCATCCATCCCCTCCTCCCTGATTTCTCTCCGTGTCTTTTATAAGTCTTTGTAGTCTGGACACCCTTGGTTTTTCTAATGGAGATAATGGAGCAGGCTTCGAGTCCGTCCTTGAAAACCTCCACAGTGTCTCTCTCAGTCGTACAAATGAAATGTGACAGAGGTATTTGTGTGGAGACTAAAAGAGCACAGAAGTTCAAACTCGGCAGACTTTTTCACACCTCCACGCATCACACAAAGGACACAGACATGGAGACCTTGCAGAGCTGTGTCTACACGTGCACAGTTGTGGGAAGATTGTGTGATATACTTTAGAAAAAGATCAGGCTTTTACATTTCCCAGTTTGGTTGTACAATCATGAAGTTTTGTTTCTCTTTTATATGTCGCATGGGAGAAAGAAAGAGGCAATGCAAGGTGTCAGAGCAAGCAAGGCAGAACAGCTGTGTGTGTGTGTGTGTGTGTGCAGGGGCAGATCTGAGAGGTGGCCAGGGGTGGCAGTCACCCCTCTTAAAGTCCAATATCCACCCCAAAATCCTGAGCTGTCATTGGCCGCTGTCTTTGCCAAGTTGGAGTTCTGTTGAAATCAACTTTTTCTGTTTGTTACACTCACAGAAATATCCAGCAGGCCTGATGCATGCTGGGTAGATTTAGGTCCAACTCTCCTCGAAATAACACAGATGACAGTAAAATACATCCATAAATCCTGACACCAAACTCCCAACAGCCTCAGGGGATGGAGGAGGGAGAGGAGGAGGAAGAGGAGCTGATTTACTCCTCCTGTCCAGGCACAGATGAGCTCCATCATCTGTGTGAGTCTGGGCCCTGAGGAGAGCAGGTGTTATATGATGTTCCTGCAGACGGAGAGCTGGGGGTGTGGTATCCTGCGATCCTGACAGAAACACAACCTGAAACCTCCACTCTCTGCTCTCCGCTCTTTCTTCATCTGACAGCAGCCTGGTGTTAAAGCTGCTCCGGTTCATGTCAACGGGATTCATCCTGGAAACTGGACTGATCCATATTTCACCTATAAAAGTATATCTTAGAGAAAACGGCAACATGAAACTATCACTGCACACAAATATTTAAAGTTTCTTTCTCCTCCAAAGTCTGAACTTTTACTTTAAAACTTCTGCAAATTGTAAATCAAACAACATTTATGAAGTTTGTACCACTGAATTCAGCCAGAGTGAAGCTTCTGTTTGATTTACAGCGAATCTGAGACCCACCAGAAACAAATGAGCGATAAAAAAATATGATAGCATTAATTTTGAGACATATCTGAGGGGTTGACTTTGTCTTAACTTTTGATCTGCACATATGGTCCCTTCTAAAGCTGCGAATTGGACTGTAGCTTTAAGAAAAACAGGGAGTCGTTTTGTGAATTATGATGTTCTGGCAAATTTTACACCCGTTCATTTCAAGTAGATTACAAGAAAGAAGGTTTTTGTTTGTTTCATTCTGCTTAAGGAAGCCAGCATGAAGCCCAAGTGTAACCTCAGTTTTACAGCAAAGCTGAGACTCATCAGAAACAAATGAACGGGCGCTGCACTTAAGGACATAATGAGAGGTTTGTGTAACAATAGGATTGTTATGTTTGGTATGTGGTCCCAAACAGACCGATTTGAGTGTGACACCAGTGCAGTGCAGCCGAGCTGACTGATTTCTGCTACGTTCTATGTTAAATAATTAAATAAAAGTGTAAGCAGCTACAGTTGCTTTAATCGTCCATTCTATGCATGGAGGGAAAGAATGATGCAGTTTGCTTTGCAGACTTTCAGCTGGAGGCTTAAAGAGACAGCAGCTAAAACAAAGCGCTTTTAATGGAGGTTAAAATAATTATATCTAAATACACCAAAGCAAGAGATGTGAGGCTTTTTTTGATCTGAAAATCATGTAAAACTATAAAAGAGGAATCAGAGAGGAAGTATAGAGTCTGAAAAAAAAAGCATAATACCCCTTCATTAAGTCAGGAAATCGAAACAAAGTCAGGGCTTTTAACTGAGCTGATTAACACCTTTTTTCCTCCCTCAAATACCGAACCACGACCCAGACTCCTTTGGTCTTGTCTGTTTTCTGGCTGATCCAATCTTTCCTGTATTTCTCCTTTAATCCAGTTAATTCTTAGTTTAATCTTAAAGGAGTTTATGACGTGTAATAGTTCAGCACAGATTACACACTGAACAAGAATAAATCATTTCAATGTACTTTCCAAAGCTTCAAGTCTAACTTATTATAACTTGTATTAAAACTTGTTTCAGAAACTCAGACTGAAAAGTTCTAATTTAGTTCTCTGTCACGACTGACATCCATCAGGAAAATGAGTCTGGGAAACTGAACTTAGGCTAATTGATTGCAAAATTAATACCTAAGTTGAAATAGAAAGTGCAAATAACATTTTATGGAGTTAATTGCCGCGGGCTGATAGTGTGAGAAAGAGCGGATCATTTTCTTGATCAGGCGTAATGTGAGGGAGCATGTTGATAGCAGCAAAACACTGAGGAATGAACGTGTGGATCATTACAGACACGAGACATCGGGGGAGATTTCAGAGCCAATCAGTCAGACTGAGAGGATGACAGGAGAATATTAATCCTGGAGTTTGATGGGATGAACATTCACAGGACGTCTAATGATCAATAATCAGGGAACAGTTTCAATAAATAATTGATCTGATGTGCAGAACAGAGATTCAAGATCTTGAGTATTTTCGATGTCCTGATCTGACATGTTCTTGGGTTCAGGCTCTGAAGTCGGGCACACACTGAAAAGGCCATATAAGGTCACACACACCCCAGGACTGGGAACGCCTCTGGTTCCTGAAGGGGGAGGAGCTGGACAGTGCTGTAGGGGAGTGGAAGGTCTGGATGAATGGATCAGTGATGGATGGATGATAGATGGATGGGTGGATGGATGGATGGATAAAAGGAAGGATGGATGGATGAATGAATGGATGGATGGATGGATGGATGGATGGATGGGTGAATGAATGGATGAATGATAGATGGATGGATGGATGGATGGATGGGTGAATGAATGGATGGGTGTATGGATGGAAGGATAGATGGATGGATGGATGGATGGATTATAGATAAATAGATGGATGGATTATGGATAGATTGATGGATGGAAGGATGGATGAATGGATGGATTGATGATAGATGGATGGATGGATGAATGAATGATAGATGGATGGGTTTATGGAAGGATGGAAGGATAGATGGATGGGTGGATAGATGGATGGATGGATGAAAGATGTTTGGGCGGATATATGAAAGGATAGATGAATGGATTGATGATAGATTGATGGATGGATGGATGGTTGGATGGATGGATGGATGGATGAATGGATGGATTTTAGATGGATGGATGGATGATGGATAGATTATAGATAGATGGATGGATGGATGGATGGATGGATGGATTATAGATAGATAGATGGATGGATGGATGGATGTCTCCTTGTCCCAGTTTGTAATCAATCGTAAGAATAGACATATTAATGCATGTTTGCCTCTTCTAAAGTAGGATACAATGTTTTCCCTGTAGCTTGTTGGGTCATTTCCTGGTTGTTCTACAACATTCAGTCACAGTCAACTAACAAGTTAGCGACAGTCGACTTCAACTGTGGGGATTTCTGTAGATTGGTGGAGAAACCCAAACATTTTCAGAGTTTGTCTTTGAAGTTTAGTGAACTTTCAGATAAAGATGAGATGATGAGAAGAAGGGTCTAAAACACCAGAAACCTATAAGAGGAAAACCTTCACTAACATTCAGCAGGTATAAAATATTGCTGGCATCATGACACCCTTTAAAAGATCTCTGTAATCTATCATAGTAAAAAAATAAAGCTAAGTCTTTGGAAAAAGCAGATCTAGTCTTGTTTTGTGTAAATGACTGTGAGGTTAATTAAATATCTGTTTGTTTGTCCAATTATCTGCTCATTACTCATCTAAAACCATTAATACTATCCAGTATACAGGACTGCAGCATCCCACTACCTGTTGTGAGCACACAGACTGATGAAATACCATCATCGAGATTTGCTTCTTGAATTTATGGCGTGAAGTGATGAGATGAAGCTGTTTGTAAACCCTGTTATATCCTCTCTCTGGGAAAACTGATGGACCGTCATGGCGCCTCAGTTTCCTCTACAAACTGCATCAGTCTCTTGCTGCCCGTCAGAAACAGGAGGCAAGCGGTTTCCTTCACGCCACCGCTGCTCTGATTTATTCTAATCTGCGGTTTAATGAGTGACGGCCTCTGAGGGAGCGCAGCAAGAACTAACAAGCTGGAGGTGTTGCTTTAAAAACTCCAAATGCTGTCATCCTAAAGAGAAATAAAACCAGGCAGCTGTAAAGAAGGAGTATGTTTTGGATAGGGGCCTTATTTTAGAGTGGGCGTTTCTCTGCTGTCTCATAACTGGGTGAACTGGGTCAGCTCTTAGTAATGCTGCTATAGGTTTAGACTGCTATAGGGGGTAGTAGCATGCAATAAATAACCTTGATGAATAGCAAAAGCTCTGCAAATGCACCAGCAATTCAACGCAAAAACACACAAACAGAAAGCAGATGGAAATACAGATACCAGCATCAAATGATTCCAGTCCTCCAGGCCTGTGGGGGGCGCTGAGTGGAAATCTTTATCATCAGTGGATTTCAGTTGGCCTTGCAGGTCATAGTGCTAAAGCTACTTGGCGACCAAGCGCAAGTAAATCCATCTTCTCGCTTCATTCGCGCAAGTCTAGACATCTGAATGAAAAGTATTTCCTCGCTTCAACCGGCAGGATCAAGTGATAGACAAAGGTTGTTTTTTTTTTACAATTTACCAGGTAATTCGACCTCTTCACTCACTGCCTCCAGGTGAGCTTCTTTTTATTCCAGTTCTGGTAATTGAAAGAAAAGGTATCATATAATTCGGAGCACCCACACACCAACATGATCAGTTTGTCCTCCATTTTAGATACCAGTGAACACCCGTCTGTTTTCATACATCACCCACCAACTATTTGCTGCTTAGTTATCGCGACACGAATATCCGCTCAAGTTGAGACATTTTCAAGCTCAAAAGTCATGAAAAACTTGTAACCTTAATTCCTTCAGACTAACTCCCTTTATCTGAATCAGACCGTAAGCACACTCATTTTAAGGTAAACTTGGCCTGTTTTGAATGAGTGTGTATGTGACTTGTGGTGCTTTTGGGACCAGCCCCCATGTGGCCGCTCAAAGAACTGCAGTTTTTTTCTATATCAATTTCTCAAGGCAGTAAGTTGCAGTTTGGTTTGTTTCAGAAACTTTCCACTTTCCTTCTCTGGTGTCACCTCTCCCTCTAGTGGATGTAGCAGAAAGCGTTATGAGGCTTCAGGAGACGTCATATCGGTTTGAAGAGAGAACGAATGAAATGCATTTCCACTTTATCGTTGTAGACAGCTGTAAAACTCTGACTTTGCTCTTCACATTCATTATCTTACTCCATCTAAAGCTGCAGCAGCTGTAGGTGAGTCACTCATCCATTCAGTTGGACTTGGAGACAGACTCTGGGCTCAGCAGACCACACCGGTGTAATGACGGTTTACAGCCAAGCGTTGACTGTTAGCACTCTCAGCTGATCTCCCGTGGTGTCCTGTGGCGTGATGGCCCGTCCTCTGAGAGTTATTACTGATCGGTGAGCTCCGTGAAGGCCCCGAGATGAAACAAGCCTGGTCTTTATGATCAGAGGTGCAGATATAACAAGATCGAGGTGAGGGATCATTATGGAGCCATGTGTCGGGTGTGAGTGGGTGTGTGACGACATGTTCGACAGCTTCTGGACACACAGGGTCGGTTGAGTCCCCTCGGTGTCAGACAATTAAGAGCTGCAGAGAAAAGGGGTTTAATATACACGGTGTGAAACAGGTTACATGCTTCCCAGAGTTGAAGAGGACAGGACTTAAGAAGCTTTTTCATGCGAAAAAAAAACCTTTAGTAACAGAGCTTGAAAGCAGCTGAGTCAAGTTTATGCTAAAACAGATGGAGGTGTGTTTTAAGCACATGCACAAGGTGACGTATTTGTTTAGCTGTTTAATTAAGATGATGTGTGTATATGTCAGTAAAGCTCCCCTCAGTCTGATAACACCCGGAGTGTGTTTGTCCGAGCGATCTCACGTGAAAGATGGAAGTGATTCACCTCATACAGGATCTTAATGATGGTACTTCAGGCGTCGAGCTGTGCTAAGAGAGAAAAATGGCTCATTATTGGAATTGTTCTGGTGTAAAAATGTGATTAAAGACTCTCTGCATCCTGCTCTGCTGCCCGTAACTCAGAGTTATAGAGTGGTAAAAGTTAATGAATCCTGGAGGACGGCTTCACAGCAGCTGGATTGAAATAATCTCAAAAGCTCGTTTGTCAATCACAACTTTGAATAACTGTGAAAAAAAATAATAAACACAGAGGTTTTTGAAATTTGACAATTCCTCATTATGAAAGATTTTGTAATTACATCAGTCCTGCTGCCGAGCGCTAATCTGTGGAGTTTGGTGTTTTGCATAATAACTTCAAACACAGCGGATCCAGAGGGACGCAGGCTTTCCTGCTCCTTTCAGATCACTGATTCACAGTTTGGAGAAGAGAGACTCAAGACGTTAAAATCATGATTTAAAGAAGCTCCTGTAGATTTTGAGGGGCCCTCTCAGGAGCTCTGATCATATGCTGCAGTCCAGTTGTACTGGAAGTCAGAGTTTTCAAGCTCTGTGTTGGAAATTAATCTGGAACGCCCCCCTGAAGTCGAATTTCTGACCCGGAAAGTCGTACGATCCTCACCAACCCTGACTTGACGACAGCGTCATGATCCAAGATAGCAGCGCAGTGCATCAACGGTAGAGATTAACAGTAAAAGCTCTCGTAATGTTTTATTTATTAGCATTTCTGTTTTGTTTTTGTGAAATTAAATAAGTGGTTTATGTTGTACTGCCCAACGTCTAACTGTGAACACGGTGTTATAGTGTTTGAAAGAGTAAAATACTGTATTATGCGCTGTTTACAACTGGTATAGCTAACAACAACTAACAACAACTGACGAAGGCAAACAACTGCTAACAACAACTAACAACAGCTAACAATGGCTAACAACAACTGAAAACAGCTGACAACAACAAACAACAGCTGACAATTGCTAACAACTGCTAACAACAACTAACAAAAGCTAACAACAACTGACAACAGCTGACAATGGCTAACAACTGCTAACAACAACTAACAAAAGCTAACAACAACTGACAACAGCTAACACCAACTGAAAACAGCTAACAACAACAGCTGACAACAACTAACAAAAGCTAACAACCACTGACAACAGCTAACAACAACAGCTGACAACAACTAACAACAGCTAACAACAACTGAAAACAGCTAACAATGGCAAACAACAACTGACAATGGCTAACAACAACTGACAACCCCTAACAACAACTGACAAGGACTAACAACAACTGAAAACAGCTAACAACAACAGCTGACAACTACTAACAACTGCTAACAACAACTGACAATGGCTAACAACAACTGAAAACAGCTAACAACGGCTAACAACAACTGGCAACGGCTAACAATAACTGATAACAGCTAACAACGCTTAACAACAACTAAAAACAGCTAACAACAACTGACAATAGCTAACAATGGCTAATAATGACAACTGACAAAGGCTAACAATAACTGACAATTGTTAACAATAGCTAACAATGGCTAACAGTAGGCGTCCTTTTAGGTTTTCCGACTTGTTTGCTGGAACACTGTCTACTTCCAAGGCTACTGGAACGTAGCAATAGACCGGATAGACTTAGCAGAAGGAGTAATCATCTATTTAGTCTGAGGTCATTAAGTGTCAGTAAGTTTCTATATTTTCATGTGAATTGAAGATTTCCCGCTCTTTCTTGGTTCAGAAAGTTACTGAAGATTTCACAGATGAGTTTCACCTCCATGGGGACTCAAACCCACCGCCCAGTTTGACTGAATCGTCAGAAAACAGGAAGGAAATATTGCTGAGTCAGTGAAGGAGCTTAGAGAGAGAGAAAAAAAAACTCCACCTGCAGAAAACCTCCAGGAGACTTTTTTTTTCTTTATCAGCCTCATCCAGACGTCCATGTTTGATTTGATGCTTTTTACACGCTTGATTAGAGTTTTCGCCCCACAGTAAACTCACACATTTACCTCTGCTGTGACCTCGTCTTATCTGCATGAATATTTCACTCCTCCTAAAAACTTGAAATGGGGAGCGAGGCATGCCGCTCTTTAATTCTTACGTGTTGAATAATTGATGCTGTTGGATTCAGTAGCCTCTCCTCTGGAGCAAATTTACATCCGCTTACCCACTGATCTACATCTCCCATCAGGCCTGAAGTGCTGCAGGGTCCCTCCCCAAACAGAGAGAGAGACATGAAACAGGATGAAGTTAGTTCATCGCTGTCGTTGCAGAGCTGCAGCTCTGTGTCTGACTGTTGGAGAGTTTCCTGTGAGTGACTCCTCCTGCAGTTTTGTGAAATCATGACTACGAGGGAATATCTTCAGCGTTAGTTTTGCGTGTGCATGACTCGACGGTTAACTGTGAACTGAGCAGCAGTGATTCATGAGCGAGACTGTGAGCGTGGTTCATCCTGGAGACAGAGATCAGCTCTCCCTCTTTAAGTTCTGTTAGTTTAAAATAGTCGTTTAATTCATCAAATTTGCTGCTTTTATGTTGATCACTTAAGATGAAGCTCCAGCGTAAGTTCAGTCAGGAACACTATAACTGCCGTCACAGCTGTCAGTGTCTTTCCACGCCTACTCACTCTCCCCGCTGCCATCACTCAGAGCAGCCATTGGTTAATTGGTGTCTTCCCTTATCCAATAGCATGGTAACAGACACTCACAGTCAGCCTGTCCCCGTTACGCAGTTTTAAAACGACTCTCTTCTCTGCCTCTAGTTCTTTCTCGCCGCTGGTTTGAGCGCAGCACCCTCCACCTCCCGGTCTCCAACCGATCTCAACAGAATCAACAGAGCCATCACTCATCCATCCAGTCCCAGTAGTCATCAGCCACCACCACTAGCTTCAGGACTCCATCGGGGGGATTTTCCTGCCACCGCACAGATCAAGCTTCCTACGATATCACAAATCACCCCATTGAGTCCGAACACCAAAACTATAGTTGGCGCATGGGAGAATTATGGGGAGTTTTCCTTCTCTCCTTTCCCAACTGATAGTCCAGTGTGTCCTAAAGGAGGTGATACAGGGAGCTCCTTTAGGGTTAGGGTTAGCTCTACATTTAGAGGATTTGAACAGCTCTTCTCATGGTCGTCACTCAGAGACTCCCAGACCGTTTCACTGGGTTGGGAACCCTCCTAACCAAGAAGGATCGTCTGAACCAGGACCCTTGGTTTTAGAGGTATGAGAGGAGAGAAGAGACAAACAACAGCAGTAAGAGTGAGTAGAAACCCCAGGTAGATTAGGCCTTTACCCCCATTTTCAGGTGGTATGAGAGGAGAGGTAGGAGTTCACCTCATCAGCGTTCATGGACTTGTCTTCATGTGCTTTCATGGACCACAGGAGGTCCTGAACCAACACCAAACATGAAGCAGAAGTCTAAAATTTCTGTTTCATAAGTAAGGCAGCTCCAGGACCAGGACTTCTTCATTCATTTACTCCTTCAAACTCCTCTATCTGACTTTGTCCTTTTCCAAACCACTCCCTCTGACTTATTTTCATGGTTCCAAAATAAATCCTAATTCCTGGGAGTTAAACCACCTCCAGCTTTAAACTCAGACACTGATAAGGAGGGTTTGCAGAGGACAGTCCTGGATTTGGCTCTCTGCATTTCTCCCCTGTGTGTGTGTAATCTGTTTATTACTTTATACTCCTTGAAAAATACAGCATCATTTTCTGGTTTTATTTTGTTGTTTAGTCAGAAAAGGGAGCTTCAAACTGATGTTGGATCTACAGCAATCACACCTCGTCTCTGAATGTCAGCCCTGCTGTGATGGACTGGTAACCTGTCCAGGGTGTACCCCTAATATTTTCCAAGTACTGAAGACTTTTACTTTTAAAGTTGTTCAAGTCTTGTTAGATAATACCATCAGTCCCACAGAGGAGAACACAAACGCTCAAACATCTTACTTTAACCTCGTTCTCTGCACAAACAGCTGGCTCCGGTCTCTATTTAGTTCTTAGAGAGTAAAGGGATTCAGGTTTGTGCTTTGGTACCTGCACTCACTCTGTGTTTTCAGGCTGTAAAATCATTCCTGAAGCTCTGGAGGTGTTTTAACGTAGCGGCGGGAAGCTGCTTTTTTTCCTCCAGCGGGGCAGAAAATGCGAAACGCTTCAGGGAGTTTCATCAGCCTCTGAACTGAGACAGAAACTCCTAAAGTGCTTTTATCACTCCGGGGAAACGCGGGATTTCATGGCTTTCTGCTGCGATTCCTGCCGCCTGGGACTGGAAATGGCTTTCTGCTGTGAAGTACCTGCAAAAGCACAAATAAAAGGAATAATGGCAGTGAAACCAGTTTAATACTAATGAAAACAGGGATTTAAACCCAAGTGACGCCATGTTTGAAGCTAGAAACCCATGTGTATCATGGCTGTCAATGGATTCATACTCCACAAACTTTTGGTCCGGACTTCTTTCAAAGGGAGCCACATGGGATACCTGTCGTATTATCATAAACATTATATAGAAACGCTCTATTTCATAACACTTTGTTTTCTAGTCAGTTACTAGTTAGTTAACCTTTACTTGTGCCATCCTGAGACTCGATACGTCTTAAGCGGTCTACGTTACAGAGTTGTGAGTCATGCTAACGCTGCAAATTCTTGTTCTTCATTTGGAGAGAACAAAAAAAACATCTTGATTTTTAAGGCAATATTACTTTTCAATCTAACATTTAGCCACCAAAGTCTTTAGCTATTTTAATTTTGTGATTCAGTCCACCACCAGGGGGCGACAGAGGAAAAGGGTCTGGCTAGTGCTTTTAGGATCGTCTTCAGAGGTTTGACAGTGAATGCAGGGAGGTCTGCCAGTAGGGAGTTGTTGTCGTCGATATTTGATATTACAAGCGCCGATACCAGGAGCTGTGCTGTGCACTCTGTCAGAAAAGGTCTGATCCTCCTAGTGGGATGGGGGGGAATTGACCCATCGGTAAGCCCCACCCCCCTTAGTTACTGTTGCTAACTCAGAGAAACAATCAGAGCTGAGCAGTGCATTACAATGGCCATTGCCGGTGTCAAAACTCTACCCCAAGAGGGTCTCGACAATTCCTGGGCACAGAAAGACCTGATTTCTTCGAGAAGCCTTCAAAAGGGACTTCATTATGCCACCTTTAGCGATGCTAGCTAACGTTAGCTAATTTACCAAAGGCAAAAGCTCTGTTACTACATCACTAATGACGATTAAATTACTGTTGGTAAAGTTAGTAGATTTAAAGCTATGTTGACGTAACTTACCTTAGAACACATTGACGTTACGTTGGCTGTGTGGTCTGCCACATCACTAGCCCTAGCAGACATTTACTTCAGTCTTTCTTTGGTTTTTGAAGGGGAATAAAATACACCCCATTGCCCATCCTGTCGGGATACCTTGTGTCGGTATTACATCTACCCCATGCACACCTTTTTACCATGTTTCTTTCTGTTATATTAAAATTAACGCCAAAAAACAGATGAAAATTCGACGAATTCTAATGCTTCTCCTATCGAGCAGAAAGCTTTAGAAAAGCTCCTAGTTCTGGTCCTGGTGCAACTGAAACTGCCATTGGCTCATTTGCGTTCAAGGGGCGGGGCTTAGCAATAGGTTGATTGGCATGACCAAGCAATCAAGGCCACATGAATCAATCATGACACCCAGATTCTGAGCAGACTAAGTGGGAATGAGTACATTTATTGTCTTGGTTGGACAGGTCGAGCTGAAGGTGGTGTTCCTTTATCCGTTTGGAGTATCAAGTACCAAGTACCAGCAGAACAGTCTGTTTTTTTTTTTGTATTTTAAATGGAAGTAAAACTTTCATTTTTGCTGTTTTATCAACCTTGACGAACGCTGAATCAATATGGACTCTTTTTTTTACGGGGACTGAAAGAGCGTTCGTCAGAGCAAATTAGTCACTAAGCTGACCCATCTTTGCCAGCAGCAACCCACTCGTGTTCCTCTTTCCTTCCTCTGAAGCTAAGACATGACACAACCTCCATACAAGCCAAGGCGGGAGGATGAAGAAGGCAACAACTGAGGTAGACGTGAGGTTGCCAAGTTTATTTTCGGTGCCAAACGAGGAACTCGATCGTTTGCTTGAAGCTCAGCGCCTCAGGGTTTGGGGTATGACGTGTAAATAAGTGGTGGATTTGTTAACACCCCGCGGCCTTCTTGTGCATCTTTGTTGCAGCACGCCGTGGTCAGGTTATGCTGACCAAATGTTATGCTATGGATGTCATTAAGTGTCCCAGGTCCGGATTTTGAATCTGGTTTTAGTGATTAAATCCACAATCCGAGGAGGTGCACTTGGTTTCCACCTCTGAACAGGAAAGAGCAAATACTGGTGCACGCTTCCTCACAAACAGACTCATTCAGAGCCACCCACAGAGAATTACAGTATAATTACAGAACTCATTATCTGTCTCTGCAGGAGGTTTGCGTGCTTTTCTCTGCTAAAAGGGACATTTAAATCAGTGTGAGGGACTACAGAGATAAAAACATGCAGACTGGTTAAAAAAGCTCAGATTCAGCTCGGAGTAGAGGTGATCAGATCTGTGAGGTGGAGGGTCAAAGGTATCACACCAACATAGAAACTTCACTTAGATCCTTTTCTTTTAATTAAACGTCATTCAAGCCAAGAGTTGGTCATTTCGATGCACAATCATTGCAACGCTGCTATTTGAATGGTCTGCAGCAATGAATGACAGCGATGAAATTCAGCCGTCAGTGTAATTGTTTATGCGTCAACGGCATCTTACACTATCATTTATGAGAAAAATTAATCAAACATTTTAATGCCAATCAAAGCTCCAATGTCCTTGAGAAGCTGCCAGGCTTTGACCGTCGCCTCACTTCTCTTTTAAAAGCAATCATTTCTTTTGTGTCAGTCGCAGGAAGCGGCGCTATTTTGACACTCTATATTGAATTTCTAACTTCTGTCTGGCTCTGTGTTTTTTCTTCCTCCGTCAGAAGACTTATTGCTGTGTCACTCTGAGATGCAGCACTGCCCATTTATTTTTTCATTATTCCTGCTGATAAATATTTTTATGTCTCTGTTTTGGTCGAGGGCGCGTTAAAGTGTCACTTGAAAGTCATAAAAAAGGAAAGATGCTCTGAAGACCACTCGAACTTTCTGTTTCATCAACGGCCCTTCAAACCTGTGCAGAAATCAGACTAATCTCAGCACAGGTGAGGCTCAGAATACAACCATCCTTCATTTTAAACCACATCTGATCACTTACATCAAAATTTCAGTTTTTGTTTTTTTAAATTAACATGAATTCATTATTTTTTACATGTTCAGCAGCGACCGTTAAACTGCATTTCCTCTACTGTCCACTAGGTGCGGCTGAGTCAGCTGGTGTTTTGCAGGTTAAACACTCCACCGTTTGCTTAATTGGTAACTTGCTAGTTTTTTGGCGCTGGTGTGTAATGTTTAGTTTACCAGTTAATTGTTTAACTAGTTTAGCATCTCTCAGTTTTACTATATGTTGATTACTTAATTGGTATGATGACACATTGATTGATTGGTTGGTTGGTTTGATGGTGTTTTGGTAGGGTGACCATATTCTGACCTCCTAAAAAGAGGACACGAGTACGCTGGGATGGAGTCACAGAGTCGCACAAAGTTAACTCAGTTAGTCCATGTGACACAAACTTGAAACTCTCATACAAAACCGAGGACATCTGAAAGATTTCATCAACTTGCCCGGACAAAGTCGGGCAAGCCCAGACAGCCCCCCAAAAAGAGGACATATCTGGGTAAAGGAGGATGTATGGTCACCCTAGTTTTGGTGGGTTTGATTCTTTGTTGGTTGGTTGGTTAGTTTTCTGGTTAATCAGCATGTTTTCTTGTTGTTTTGTTTTTTAGTGGTTAGCTGGTTTGGTTGTTTTTTATTAAAGTTTGTCGGCATGTCTGTTTGCTGGTTGGTCAGTTGATATATTATTGTTTTGTTTTATCAGTTGGTTGGCTTGTCGGTTTGGTTAGTTAGTCAGTCCGTTGGCTCGTTTGTGTTTTTGTTAGTTTGTTGGTTAACTGGTATGTTTATCTTTTAGTTGGTCAGTCGGTGTTATGATACACTGAACGGTTTATTGCTTGGTTGGTAATTGGTTCATTTCTTTGTCGGTGGGTGAAATGCCTTGAAGGTAAGCTAGCTGGTATGATCGTTTTGTTGTTTGTAGTTTGTTGAATTGTATATTGATTGGTTGTTTTGCTTGTCTGTTGGTCGGTTAAAGGGTTCATTGGTTGGCTGGATGGTTTTTTTGTTGGTTTGTCTGTTTGGGATCAGTTGGCTGGTTGATGTTTTGGCGAGCCGAGGCATTCAGTGTTTATCGGTAAGGTGAACGGTTCATTCTTGGCTTGTTTCGTTGATTTGTTGAAAAACTGTTTGTGTCGGTTTTAAGTGTTTTTAAGATCCACAGTTGGCTGACACATTGGTTTGTTCATAAGCTGGTTACCTGGTGGGTTACTTGGTCGACTCAGACTCCACAGTCCCGTCTCAAGGTTTCTTCAGTTCAGTTTAAATGACACTTTCTCTAAATCCTCTTCTTGAAAAAACACACAGGGATCAGAAGTTCAGGTGCCACCTGCAGTTAGATCTGACAGGATGTGAGTTTCAGTCTCTGCTCTTTATCAAGGACTCAACTGTTTGCACACATGCAGGCATGTTTCTGAAGAAACCACAGGTTGATCTTCATGCCCGATGACGGCATGATCACTGAACTTTAAAACTTTGAACTCATCAACAGTTTAGTCTGTAATTCCCTGCGGCAGTGTTGTGATATGTGGCTCTGTTACAGTCAGTGATGCCTGTCGAGGTAAAAAAGCCGATCAGATGCAGGCTGAGACGTTCAAGAGGAGGATTCCTTCTGACTTACTGCCACATGTGACACAACTGTATTTACAAAGAGGTGCGTTTGATTTTTATGTGCGCAGACAAGAAGATGGGGTTCAGCCGCTTGGGCTCAGCGTGGAGCGACGACTGAAGACAACATGTTTGATGACAGCAGGAGACAACTGATGAGTAACAGCTGAGCTGAAGGCTCCTGTGCAGCTCCACGT